ACATACTATTAATTTAATTTGAGTTCTCTCTCATTTTTCCCTCTACACATCATACAACACTGACAATGTCGTATAATATTTCTATTATTTTAATCTACGTTTTCATCATTGGGAAGATTATACATTTTGTAAACGCATATTTTAATTAAAAATGTATGCATTTCGTACCTATAACAAAAATATCAAATTTTAACACTGTGTATTAATATACTTGCCTGCTTAGCTATATCCTATTACACCTAGTGGATTCATCTTGTTTTTCTTTTCTTTTTTTTAACCGCAAAAACAAGTCTAACAAGTATCATATAATATTCTCAATCATTAAATCATATATAAATGACATGGTATTGAACGCGAATCTGACCTAAATTTGTTTTTAAATTTAGTAATATCTATTTCATAATTACATAATTAGTTTCCAGTTAACCTTGCGCAAAATTTCCTGAGCCCACCGCCAGTACGGGTGACCACAAATGACAATAGTACCCAACACAAAAAATAATAGCTATTCTCAACATAAAAAACAATTAGGTACATTTCGAGTTTTAAATGAAAAACTTTTGAACATGTAGAAGTACGTTTAATAGGTCAGAACAATACTAAAGTCAATTACACTGCAAAAAAAAAAATTATCAAGTCAGATAAACATTTTAATTCTTCGTGTTATAGCGTAGTGAAATAATAATACAAACAAATACAAATAATATGTGCAATTAAACTGAATTTTAAATATAAAATATTTAAAAATGGTTTTGTTATAGCAGTTTTATTACCCATTTGTTATCATTAAATTCGAGAAAAAAAAATCGCATACCGAAACTCACCGGTGACAATAATTTTCAATATTTGATATTTGAAATTAAATTTAAAACTCTATCGGTGGGAATCCTTCACCGGCTCCTGCAGCGGATACAAATCGTTTTCTTTTTTTTTTTTAATATTTAAGAATATGTGTCTTGCGACAGAACAAATTGTCAGTGACGTATTTTAAATTATAATTATAGGAACGCGTAATATTAATGAATATTTGTATAATACAATATATTACATATAGATCAAAAATCATAATATTATGAGCCTATTATTTTGAATTACTATACAAAAACTATAAACCTAGGTACATAGAAGTATTAAAGAGAACAAATTTACCCGACTAAATTTTTATTTAAAATAACTTGGTTTTGTTTGTTTTATTTTTTTTTTTTAATTCTTTTAGATTCTGAGAGAAGTGAGAAACGTATTGGTTTTACTATAGCTTGTATCAATAAAAAACTTTTCTACTATAAATCAACTTACATGTTTGTGGTACGTAGTAGTTTTGATGTTTAAACCGCTGTTAAATTTGACCTATTAGTATATGTAGATACAGAATTAAAAATTATAATTATATTAAATCATAATTAATTCAATTTAATATTTGATAATCTGAATCATTTTTCAAACAAATTTGTAAATTTTGACATACTTGAAATATTAAAAATAAAAAAAATATTGACAGTGTGACTTATTTTATTTTTTTAACCGAGTTAGGTTAACAGTTTTTTGAATTTTGAATATTAATTCAACGAATTCAATTTATTTTTTGTTCATATTTAACAAAAGGCCTTCCGCCTTTAACTGTTATACGTTGTGTAATATAGTAATATAGTAATATATATACTATGCTACTAATTATTATACATATAGATAAATATTTAAAACCATACTTAGGTACACAAATAATAATTAAAACATGACAAAGAGCTGATACTGGGTATGGGAGGGACTACTGCTAGTGATAAGTTAGAAAAGTAGGATACATAAGGTTATTTAATTTATATTAGTAAACAACGACAAACCATTGCTTGATGAAAGACGATTCCGAGCGTAGTTCGGTAATACATAATTTGAAGTGCCGTATTTTTTTTTTTTTTGCGATTTTCGTTTTAATTTGATTTCAAATCACGCTTCTTAAAAAATAAAATCTTCCAAACGTTTTGGAAATTTTATCATGTTTAGGTAAGTTCAATATAAATATTATTACCAAGATTCAAGTCTCTCGTGTATTTATAACCGAATTACAGCAAAAGAACTTCCGAAAATGAAAATTACTTTGGAGCTCAAAAATGGTTCAAAAGTTTTGCCGATTATGCCGTAAGAAAATAAATCAAAAAGGCAACAAAAAAGATATCTTGTGAATTTTCAATTAAATCCTTTTTCTGGTAAAAAACTTCGTCCGTGTTTTTATAAAATAATGAAATCGTGAAATTGTACGTTTTTTCCCACTTAAGTGCTTTTATTTAAAAAATTACGTCTTTAAAGTACAATCTAGTTAACTTGCGATTTCAGAAAAGCTACTACACGTAAAAATCGGAGCAAGTTTACTAAGAAAAAAAGAAATAAACATTTTAGTAAAACCAGTAGCTCCCTCGCTAAGCTTGCAATCGAAAAGAAGAAAAGGTAAAAAAAAATAACAGCGTTTAAAGTGAATTATAAGCACAAAATTATGTGCGATATAAATCGAGCGGAAATCTAATCTGAATGAAATATTCAACAAACTTAAAGAAATTGCACGTTTAAAATAATATCACATTGTAGACACCTGGTTAAAACGATCAATCGAATTCGTAGTTTTATTTACTCTTTTATCATGTATACACGAATTTTAATAAATACGACGATATACAGAAAATAATATTGTTACCTATCAATCGTGGGAATATCGTTTACTTTTCAGTTATCTCAACTGTACCCGATTAAGTTCCCGAATCGGAGTTGTTTATTTTCCCCAATTAAAAATCCGACACGAGCCGGGGAGCTGGCGAATTAACTATTTTGACCCCATTTTACCGACTCAACATTATTTTGGTAGGTAACAAATCGAATGGCTTAATTGCGATTAAAAGCCGAACTTTGATCGCGCACAAACGTCCATCGGCCAAAAATAATGTCAGCCGAGTGCGAGCCAATGTCGGATTTCAATTGAAAATAAACCCCGATTTGCTTGCAAAACCGCGTCGGTAACAGGTAACAAGAGACCAAAATAATCATCTCCGATAGTCGAGACAATCCTCGAAATAAGCGAATTGTGACACCCGTCAGTAGTCCATCACATACAGTACAGTAATCGACACCGCCAAGAAGTACTTACCGAAAATCAATTTAACAAAATATCGATTCCGAGTTCAAACAAGTTTTGAAATCATTTCGTAGTTTTTGAAATTGCACTTAACATTTGAACTTTAAACGCTTATGAAGAAGAACTACTATAAATTAGGTATCTATGCTAATTTTTATTTACCGCTAAGTATGACTATTATAATAAACCTCCTGTTAAACTATCGAGCATTATCGCTGACCCAAAACAATGTTATCCTGATGAAAATAAATAAAAACCAAAAAAACCTCGAAATTTTGACCACGCCTAGAAAAGGCTTAAGTATTGGCGAACATTTTAGGTATCCATAATTATTTTTTAACTGAATTACACCAAAAATAACATAATCTAAAAACCAAAAATGGTATTGCTAACATTTTCCTGTTTTTCTTTTTCAACTATTCAGAAAACAAGGATAATCAAAAAATGATTTCTCCAGTGTACCGATAAAATTTCGCTACCAGAAACCACTCCAGATGATCCGAGCAAGACTTTTGGAAAACAATTTGTTCAAAAACAGAAAAATAAAAACAATTTTAAAAAATAAAACATACACATCGAACCTATATAGAACCTAAAATTTATAAATTTTTATCAAACAATAATTTAACAAGTATTAATTACACATCTTATTTTTGATTAACTTTTACCATTTTTATACCTAATCAATTATATTAATTCAACGGAAAATAGTGAAATAGGAATCTTAGTAATAATAAATAACATAAGTAATAATATTATTAAAGTTTATACTACGGTTTGAAAAGTCTCTAATGTTTTTCCGAGAAATTCGGAATAATTATTTAAATCGGTAACGGTGCCTACATTTTGTTTTAATTTCATTTTACATAAAATAACAAAACAAAATAAATTTTATATTATTAAATCGATTTTACTTTGACACGAAAAACATATTTTTTAATAATATAAAAAAATATTATTTGGTCTCAACTCTCAGGGAAGAAGATCTTAAACCATTTTTGGGAATTTTATTCCCAAATTGTTCATGATTTTTTTTTTTTGTTTGTTTTAATATAATATATTGGTCCATCTTTTCTGGGACCAAAGATATATAACTAGGAATATAATAATATCATTAACTTCGGAATATTATAAAAACGCAATTCTAAATTATTTTGTAGGTACCTATTTAAGCATTATTTTTTTTTTAAGGTACCTAATCCTATCGAGTACCGGGATGTGTTTGATTGGCAAATTAAATCAGATACCGGATTTACAGGTACGGTTTAAAAGTAAACACGTTATAAAAAAAAATTAAAGAATTACCTCATCTGGTCTGGGATGTAAATGATTGCAATGTCTCTGCTCGAACATACCAGTGGCCAGTTGAACGGCCAACACCAAAACCGCCGCGAAGACGGTTTTCCATTTTACCTTGGCCGGCATGTCGGTGGACATGGAATTAAACAGCACTTGTCATAAAAACCATTTAGAGTCTTATTATGTTATTTCGGTGTTGCACGCGCGGAAGCCGGAAAGGACAGTAATTTGAAATGATGTATTGTATTAGGTAAAGAAAAAACGGCACGTTGGTACGGTACACCAAACACGAATAGATAAACTAACGACCGCACACAAATACTAACTGATAAGACACTAAACTGTGTCCAGCATTTTTACCTGCCGGAACGCGTCGGCGAACGTGCGCGGCGGCATAAGTGAAGTACGTGACGAAAACGTGCCACCACTACTCCATGGCGATCAGAATTTAGAACCGAGTACCCAGTAACAACCATAGATAATGAAATAATTATCGTTGGTAGCAACAACCACGGTTATTGATAACGATTATGCTAACGTTAATAATTCGCAGTTTATCACTAATTTGTATTCAATTTGTAAACGATAACGTTCGTTGATAACAGTAATAATATACTGAATCGATCAATTCATTGGATATAATAATTATTGTAGTCCTCCGTCAATCATCTCCAACACAGGCCATTTTCCGAAGCCTAATAGTTCATATTTTCCAGTGTGTGTCGAACTATCAACCTCATGGATTTTGACAGCCCGGACGTCGAAAAAGACTTCCCGGGCTTATATGCCTCCACTGAAATCGGGCACAAAGATTCGGACGGTAAAAATATTATTTTAGACAGTTTATTATCAATACGTTTCTATAACTCCTAGTACATTATATTGGTTTTTAGGTAAACGAAAAGACAAAAAAGATCGTGGTTATGCGGCGTTAGAAGGCGAAAGTTCTCCAGAAGAAGAACCCGATACCAAGTGAGCAAATAATTGTATTTAAATATGTTGAGTTAGATATTTAATGAAATTTAGAAATCAAGAATATACTTAACAATATTTGCCATGGGACCATAGAGCATTTCATTTGTTCTCCTTATTCACTAATTGCTAAAAATGCTTTATTCTAATATCCCTTAAGTTAATATTCCTTAGATGATTTCAAAAGTATATAATCTTCTCAAAAACTAAATCTAAATTCTTAATTTAATAATTTACATTTAGTTTACTTCATACGATTATTGTATTTATAGTTTTTCAATGTGTTGTATGAAGTAAGTACCTACAGATTTTTTACAAGGATTTACTATTGTAATATGTGTGGCCACTGGACAGTAATGTTTACATTATTTAAGTAGTAAAATCTTTGTGGAATACTCTGTATTATTAGAATATAATATAATATCATTAATTTATTTATAATTACAAATTTTTATTATACTTATATTTTTTTTTTTCCAGAAGTCCTTCAAAAATCAAAAAAATAAAACCATTTAAATTTCCAACAAAAAAAGAAAAACACGATAAGCTTAAAGATAAAGATTCTAAAGATATACAAAAAGAAAAGAAAAAAGATGGAGAAAAAGAAAAAAAGAAAGATAAACCCAAAAATAAAGTAAAAGATAAAAAAAAACATAAAGGATCTGATGGAAAAGATACAATTGATATCGGTGCATTATATGGTAATTAATATTATGATATATTTGAAAAAAAAAATCAATTATAAATTATAACTATCTAGTTCTTTGTATATTACAGAAAATCAACCCGTTTTTGGCGTTCCCTTAGAAATATCATTTGATCGAAATCCGTGCCATGATGATATACACTTGCCATTAGTATTGCGCAATTGCATAGATTATGTACAAATGAATGGTAAGCACCATGAATTTGTTCTATAAAGATTTACTAGTTATAAAATGTTAATAATAATAAAAACTTCATTATTCCATCATAATATTATTTATCAAATAGGCCAGGTTGCATAAATATAAATCTGTAAATAAATTATAAGTTGTTTCAGAAAATTTAACCATATGTCATAACTGAATAAACTGTAACTTCTCCACTTCTTTGAGATCTCAGTGGCATGATCAGTACTTCAATAATATAATCATGATCATTTATACATTTATCATGATGATAACAACAAATCTATAATTTCCATAGCAATTTGTGGCTATGCAATTTATAATTTACAGTAAAAATATCAGCCATAACATTAATAACATTGATCTGTAAAATTTACAAATACAAAGTAGTAAGTTATTAGTCCAACTTTGACCAACAAGTTACTGGTCAAATTTGTAATAATTTATAGGTCTTTAAATACTACAGAACATTCTATCAACATCCAATGTTGTTTATAGATCTGTGTAAAAGCCCTAGTGACTGCAAGTTGCTACAAAATATTTATGCAACCTTATGGTAGACTGTGTGATCTGTATATTTTGGTTGAATTTTAATTGTTTATTTTATTTTAGGATTGTGTACTGATGGTGTATATAAAGTACCAGGTGTGAAATCTAAAGTACAAAGTCTTAAAGTTCAATATAATAGACGCCAGTCTGTCAACTTGGCTGATTACGACTTAGCAGTTGTCACAAGTCTATTAAAACAATATTTAAGGTTTGGCTTTATTAAAAATAATTATTGACTTTTTATAAATGTATGACTGAAAATAAAAATTCATAGAGAACTTCCTGATCCTATATTAACATCGGACTTATTATCAAAATTTGAAGATGCTGGTGAAACACAAAATACTGAATTGACAAAATTGTTAATTTCAGAACTTCCACTGTGCAATAAACATACTCTAACTTGGTTAATAGTTCATTTCACTAGTATCATAGAAAATGTAAGTTAGCATAGTCAACTATATTATTAATAGTTTACTAATTTACTTATTTATTCTCCTTTAGGAAAAATACACAAAAATGAATACTACAAACTTTGGTTGTGTCCTTTGTCCTGTTCTTCAAATGTCCCAAAAACTATTCTCGTTCCTTGTTACCAAAAAAAATGAATTATTTCCTAGAGCCATTTTACATAAATATATACCACCTTTAAGATGCGCTAGCCCCTATTTACCATCGGGTAAACAAGAAATGACTATTGAATTAAAAAAACAAGAATCACTTCTTAGCTACATACATCGTGAAATGAATGCTGGTTTTGTATGTAAAACTAAAGAAGAAGAGCTGTGGGATGTACAAAGGATCATTACACAACTAAAACGAAAACTCAAAGTACTCGAAAAGGATAATCACAAAGTTTCAAAAGAAAAACCAAAAAAAGAAAATCATATAAATGGAAAATTTGAAGCAGTTGGAACTCAGACTCAAACAGCATTAGATAGACAAAACTCCAACAACAGTGTACTAGGCAAAGCCGAAGTAGTATCCATAACAAGTGATACAGCTAACATATCTAACTATGATGGTTCATTAGTCGATGATGATATACAGACAACAACTTCGGGTAATTAATTACATTTATAGTTAACATCTATAATTAAATAAAGCTAAACGTTATATAAAAACTAATCTTTAGATAGTGATAATGAAGAATTAGTCTTACAATATGAATCTGAAGAACTAATGTCACTTATTGCTAACTTAAAAGATAATATAGTTCAAGAAAAATGTGAAATTGATCGATTGCAATCAAAGTTAGTATCAGTTGGGAAGATAGTGAATGTTAGGTAATATTATTTTTATTGTTAACCAATTTAAAATTATTTATTTATTTGTTTTGTATTATATTTAATAAATATAATTCATCCCTAGGGAATATTTTACGTGTCCAATTGATGAAACAGCCGTAGCAAATAGTGTTTTGTTAACTGAATATAAAATGCTACAAGTAAGACGACAATAGTTATTTTTAGTGACGCAACTAATATTCATTGACTTACTATTTACTATTTAGTTTCAAAAAATGAACATACTGAAAAGTATAGAAGAGGAACGCGAAGCCATACTAGATTTAAAAATACAGATAAAACTAGCTCAACGAAAACACATGGGAATTGTGTAAAATATATTAGGTATTAGAGTATTATAACTGTATTTCCTGTTAGTATTTTCGAGGTAAAAAGCTAATTTAAACCAAAAGGTGATAAAATTAAATTTTTAATATAATAACAAAAATACTTGACCATTTTTATCATATATCATAACTATTTTTAGGTAAAATAAAATGTATATTTTTGTTTAATTGAATTTTTCTTTTACTGTTATTATTTTATTTGTTAAATATATATTTTTTTTGTTGACCACACCAAAAAAAAATCATTATTTTATACAAATTATATCTCTAGATAAATATTTAATTTATTTTATTAATTAAATATTGTATAACTTCAATGAATTACTTTAAGTTTAAATTATAATAGATTATATGTATGTATATTTGATTTTTGAAGTTGTTTCAGTGTATTTTATTCCTTGTATTGATTGGCCTGCCTTGTCATAAATGCACTTCCATTAAAATTACATATTTTTAGTAGAAATAGAATGCTTACAACAAAATCATAATATACAGACTGTAACATGAAGATCTAACATCTACAATAACTTTTGTTATGTTCAGTATTTTTAAGTTTTTTGTTTTCTTGTGATAATTAGAATAACCATGCACTATTTCTCTATTTTATGATTTTTCTAACACTAAATATAAGAAATTGTTTTTAAAAAATCAAAATTTACTATTTTAAAACAAAACTTTAACAAAAAAAATGCTTATGACCATCAAAAAAAAAAATTTAGGTTAAATTAAAATTAAAATTGTATATAATATCCATTACCACTACTAAATAATATCAATCAATTCACCTATTTATCCATAAAAAAAAATTTTGTTAATGAATTTTGTAAACTTTAGAAAATTGTAGAAATCTAAAGATTCAACATTAGTGAATATTTGTAACATCAAAATTGTGTTTCAGAATATAATATTTATAAAGTAGCCATCTTGGTTTTTGTAAAAAAAAAATTCAAATTTGTCATTTTTAGTTTTAAAAAACAAAAAACAAAATAAAGAATTGTGGGGCAAAACTCTAGAAATTATTACAAAAAAAAAATGAGATGATACTGCTGATTCTTGCAATACTGTTGTAGGTGGGAATTTGGAAAAGTAGATTACATGCGTTTTATTTAATTGTTTATCTGTAAGCAATGATAAGCTATTACTAACAAAATGTGATTCTGAACAAAGTTCAATTTTACAGAAATGCTGTAATTTTTAAGATTTTTATCAAAATTTTATTTTTAAACAATTATAAAAAAAAAAAAAAACTATTAAATTACGCTCTTTTTTACATTTAGAGCAGAGAGAGTTATCTAATGTTTAACCAACTAAATTTTTGAATTTTTTTTTTCTATGTGTGTAAACAACTTTTTGTAAAGAAATATTACTCCAATATATGTAGCACCTTTTCTGAAAGAAAATTGTATCTAGTTGTGATGCATTACAGAAGTCATTTTTTGATTTTCAATTAATTGGAAAAATCCAGAAACAAAATTATAGGTGAAATGGCAATATTTACTGTGTGCCATAGTGTTACCAATTTTTATTTTTCGCAATCTATCAAAAATATTACTCCTATAAAAAAACAAAAATATACCTTTTTTGTTGCATTTTTAATTTAATTGGTGGTAAATATTTTGTTTTATAATTTTCTAAATAGTTTTAATTTTGTGTTTTTATTGTTATTGAGTTAAAAATATTAATAGACGAAATTTTAACAGAAAACTCAAATTTTCTTTTTCTAGAAGTAGTAAAATTTTCAACATTTTTGAGCTTTTCATAGACATTTTAATATTGCTGGTTTTTCACATAATTTTTATATTCGGTATATACATTGTGAATTAAATTTTTAGACCAAACAGAAATATTTGAAAATTTAACAGGAGATTCATTATAAGTTGTACTTTGTGGTAAAAAAAAAAAAGTTGAGAGTAATGTATTTTAATATCAAATTTTGATGAAATTCTTAAATATTATAGTTTTTTTAAAACATGTGTAACCGAATATCACTTATTCACTTTGAATCGTTTTTCATTAGCATTGGTTTATCGTTGCAGATAATACTCGTATATACCTAGGTAAATTAAATAACTTTATAAATCCAACTTCAAACCTATAAAAATAACACCAATCTACACTATCGGCTCTTTATTTTTACCCCTAAGTAAACTTATAATGAATCTACTCGTATATTAAATCTTTAAGCATTTTCTAATTGGTCAAACAATTTTATCCACATGGTACCTACCAAAAAAAAATTGAAAATGTAAAATTACTATAAATAGCTTAAAATTGCCAGAAATTTTACCCCATTAATAACACAATAATCTAAATATTCTGTGAAATGTTCAGCTCTTTACAATAATTCGTAACAATTTGTTACAATGATTTACAACAAAAAATCAAAATCAAAAATAAGGAACACATAAATTCTTTAAACTTCCCCTTATTTCTTACGGCATAATCTGGTTTTTCTCAATTATCATGAAAACTGGTTGGAAAATAAAAATTTGACTTTCTTATTGGGTATTTTTTAACCAAAGGAAAATGTTTAGAAGAAAACATAAATCGAAACAAATTTAAAATAATGATTTGATAATCCCGTGGCTCACTGTAAATATTTGAAATTTAAAATTTTATTTCTGGTTTTCTAAACTACCTATTATGAAAACCCTTGTTAAAGTCAAAAAATTAATTGACCTCTTTAATGCACCAACTAGATTAAAAATTGAACAAAACTGGTCTTTTGTTATTTTTTAATTTGAGATATCTGAAAGAAAAGTTGTTTTCAGGGGTCATTTGTTGATTTTTTTCTGGAAGTCTTCTTAATAAATGGAAAAAACTGAATAATTTGTAATGGGATCAGTCTACGACGAGCACCAGCTGAGTATTTATTTTATATAAACTTTGTTTTAAGAAAAATACAGATCATGCGCATACTTATCAATATAATTATCATAACCGACTAAACTAAGTATTTATTAAGATTTATGGAGACTTGTTATCAATTGTAAATCCTCACAATGTTTATAAAGCCCCGAGAAAGGCCCTTAAGTGAATCACCTCATATTCTATTTTTATTAGTTTACTTGCAAACATTCGTAAGCACACGACGTTTAAAGTTTAAACTTTTTATGTAGCCATTGTTATTTATATTTAAATATTCACAAAACTTCGCTTGCCACCGGCGTTGTTTAATTTTAAAAGAAAAATAATTTGATAATAATATAAACTCCCAAGCTTTTGGTTAAATTTCCATTGAAAATTATAATAAGTAGATAAATGATGAGGACCTGTATATGAATGTTTTTTATCGTTTTTCCTATTACTTACTTTTTAAAATAATATGCTTGATATAATGACGTATATAACACGATCATATGTTCCTAAAAACGTTTACAAAAAGGTTTACAGAAAGGTACCTAGATATCACATAATATTATGAAAAAAAAAAACTATAATAAATAAAACAAAATAATGTAGTTTATTTACTATTTTTTTTTTCTATTTTATAAAAAATACTTTTTATGGATTGTTTAGCATATTGTACGCATGGCAACACAACAATAATGAGTATGTAGGTATAGATATCGATTATAATTATTGCGGCGCGTTCTTTAGACCACAATTGAATGCCTGTCACTCCGTCGTTTGTGCGAATAAATGTCCCTCGTGTCGGCCGTGGAATTCATTGCGGAATAATCGATGGGGAAGAATTCGGGAATTGGGCCGCACTTTCCGAACAACCATTGGCCGCATCCATTGGGTTTAGTGCCCAACAACCAGTTGGCAAAACATTGACCCCAAGTTTCTCGATCCAACCTAAAATCTCCGTTCTATACAAACACATTAAAACAATATGACATTAATGTATTTAACAAAAAAGGACCATGTTACCATCCGAACCACCGTTACACAAGTAAAAAAACGTTAATTGTTCCTTTTTATTTTTGTCAAATTTTTCTCGAAAATGGAGGTGATTATCGAACTTGTTCATCCACTCAAAGTTTTCAAAATGTACCTAAGCATGAAATAAGTTTTTTTATGGGTGGTTCGAACTGATAAAAGCCGAGTTAAATTTGAACACAAATTTCAGCATCATATTATTGTTCCAGGAATGTGTGCGTGTTTTTTAGATTTTAACTTACAGAATTAAATTTCGTACATTATATGCATTACATTAATGTTAAAAATGGGCATTTTGGGGATTTTGACGTTCCGCTTAATATACCGATTAACCTAACCTAACCTAACGATATACATCTAAATATATGGAAATTATCAAAGTTTAAAATGTTCACGTTAAACGCATTTAAATTAAAGCTTAAAAATAATTTCAAATCGTTAGTTTATACTGATAGGTTAGTACCGTAGTAAAGGGTACAAACCTTAAATAAGTAGGTACTCACTTTTCATTTTTCAAAACATATGTATACCCAAAAAAACAGGGAAAAGTCTGCGGGTACACGTATACAAATTTGTTTTGTCATGAGTATACCCACTCGTGTACCTTTAACTTTACTTTAACCTAATGTTTATACATTAAATGGTCCGCCCTTTTTTAAATGAAATTCTGAACTATAGGTACGTAAAGATTTGGATATAGTCAATTATAAAACTGCCGATAACAAATGATTCAGAAAGAATAACGCCACCACTAATTCTAATGCTAGATTTTTTTTTTCTATCATCTTGTATATAATCTTACCTGTAACATATTTTATTACTAGTTATGAAAAAGAATTATTATTAATTCCCTACAAAAAAATGTGTAAAGTATTATTTAACTGAATAGAAACGAATTATTAAGTTATTAATTGTGATTTATTATTTTATGTTTTTTTGAATAAATCAAACTAAACAATAATATTAAGAATAATGAGGATGAGTAATGAGAAATTATTTAGCTTATGCGAACAAATTATATGGAAGAGTTTGGAAGCGAAGCCCTTTACGTATTATTGACCCTTATGCAAGTAGTTTACACGTTAATTTATTTAGGTACAAGTGTTCAATTATAACCACTAGTTAAAATACTGTCTTCAGGCCCGTCGTTAGGGTACTAGCAATACATACGTTGTTTTAGGAAGGCATACAATTTTAAAGAAATTTAAGCGGAAAAATGAAATTAGTAATACAACAGTAAAATTTTCACTTTAAGGCGGAAAATATCTTACGATACGTCTATCTTATTACTACGAGTATAAACCGGGTGATTCATTTAAGTAGGTACACTTATTATCTCGGAAAGTATTAACTTTTTCTGGAATTTGTTTTCTAGAACATTTAAGAAACAAGCTGATCTACAATTTTATATTTATGTTATTTTTTGGAATAAAACTACCACCTAGGTATTTTTAATTTTTAAATGACAACCTGTATTAAAAATTCCATAAATAATTTTTGATTTTCGTCATCTAATAGATCTAATAGATAGTCCGCTTTTATGTTTGGATCGGCAAAGAGTAGTGGACAATTATGTTTTGTGAGGCGGCACAGCGCGTGACGTGTTAATAATGCACCACTACTTTCCCCTAACCGAAACTTAAAAGTGGAATATCTCGTCAATGGCTTGACATAATCAAAAACTTTAACACTCATATTTATTTTAACTAATACTCCAGCTATTTATGGATATTTTAATATCCATTTGGAAAACAAAATTAGGTAGTGGTTTTACCCCCAAAAATAAGGGTGACAAAAAATAAAATAAACATAAAATTGTAGAGCAACTTGTTTCTTAAATTTTCTAGAAAACAAATTCCGGAAAAAGTAAATACTTTCCGAGATAATGAGTGTACCCACTTAAATGAATCACCTGGTAATTGCACAACACTCGGACCGCTGTGCGCCTATAATACCCATATTCCCAGTCGATCTCGGGAATTATATTATGGAACAGTGCTAGTTATGTAATTATCAATATGCTAAATTGGTCCCCGGCCTCTCGAGAGTATATAAGTATCGATAGGTAAGAACTTTTTATGCGATTTAATGGTGACGCAAATTGTAAAATGTCAGCTTTGAAGGTTATTCTCCACAACACGTCAAACTCAAAATTCAGTATATAATGTTTGAGGAGAGAAATTATAAAAATTTAAATAATTATAGCTGTATATTTTATTAAAAGTATATGTAAAATTAGATTATACAACTTCGCGAAGGTTTTGAAATTAATTATTTTAAACGTTCTTACCTATAATGTATTTTAGTTTCTGTATGCAAGGCGAGGATGCTGTAATTTGTTTTTAATGTAAAATGTTTTTAAGTATTTTTTTTTTTTTTTACAGACTATATAAATTTATATAAGGTTAAAATCCGGATCTGTAATAGTTAAAGTTGTTTCTAAATAATTATATTTTAATATTTTATATTATAGCTTACTGTTTTATTAGAATACAAAATGTATAACAACAAAATACGAGTATGACGACTTGTATACCACGAAACCCGGTCAAAACTTAATAAAGGTACAAAATGATATTGTTCCCCCCTATGATTATTATAAATTATAATGTTAGTAAAGTGAATAAATGGTAAAACAACTGACAAGTATAAATAATACTCACTGACGTTAGTGAATTGTATACCACGTCGATCACAACTTGTTTAGCTTCTTCGCAGTTTGCATCGAGAAACGTACTGTAGAATCTTTGCAAATTCGCCTTTTCTATTTCACCTTTACCTAAAAAAAAAAGTATTATACACCTATTATAGTTAATTCGTCTTTTGAAATGTATATATGATCGTAATTTATTACCTACCCGAATCCAAAGATTTGAACAATATATTCTGAAAATATTTCAGCCACAACGGCATGTCCGGGGCCACGGCACAGCTACTTAACGTTTGACACCATATTTTTAACCAGTCGTCTGTTGATAGACTAACAAACGCAACGTCTAAGAATATTACAAAAATTGAATTCGTGCGATTTTTAATTGCAGAAAGAAAATAATAATATAATACAGTATATATTTTAACAATATTTTTATTTTTAATCTATCATAGTGCAACTAGGTACCTACCAATAAACACTGTAAGTATAATACACAGTTATGTAGGAAACTGTTTTAAATATTTAACGAAAATAGATTGTTATAGTGGGTATAGGTACCACAAATGATTTTATATACCTACTAAAACATAATATTTATAATGTGAATTTAACCCTAAAAATGATTAATGTTTTAAATATGTATATGCATATACGAACTTAAAATGTTTCTCGCGGGATGCATATCATTCTATCTAATTTATTTCTACTCTGCAACACCCCCTAAACACGCACGTATACCTACCTAAATTATACAAATAAACGAATCATTCCTTTGTCGTATAAAATTGTTAATTTATAATAATTATTAACCACGAAACATAATATAATATTTAATATTTAACTTAGTAAATTTGTTGGTTTTACATTCATGTAGAGATAATATATACATAGACACATTGACTGCAAGCCCAATTTTTATTCATCAGATATCCTTTCGGACATGTTTACCCACAAAATATTTATAGCAATGTCGTAGAATATAATTTCACTATGCATTACTTACTTTGACCGCTTTCACACGGAATGAATACTTGAATTAATTCTCTTAAAACTTGTTTCAAAATTATATATTCATCACTGCTCGGTGACCAATCAGCGAAACGTCGTAGTTTCTAAATATTATAATAAAATAATACACAAATCACAATATAATTATTGAATTTATTTAAAATATAATTTACTAAAGATGTACCGTCTAAATATTTAAATTAAAAACTAAAGGTTGGATAAATAATATAAATAAGGAAACTATGAATCTTAAAATTAGTAGATATCTAACTCCTAATTACAATTTTCTTTGTTGAAAGAAAAATACTTACGTTTTTCCGGCGTGTTTAAAAATGGAACCCTACGGATAAATATATAAAGGGTATTATCAACCCAGAATCAAATAAAAAAGCTGTCCTAGGATAGTGGAAATGGGTGCAGCCACTATGGTAGGTAGGAAGTTAGGAAAGTAGGATATAGACAGGAATTTAATGTATATTTGTACGCAACGATTAACCATTGCTAATGAAAAACGATTCTGAGTGGAGTTCGGTTGATACAATTGCTTTGTCAACAATATATATTTCATATTATGGTAAAATAAATACATACCTATGCATTATATATTTTCTTTAATAATATTTGTTTAATATTGTACCTATTTTCCCGTTTTTCCTACGTTTTTCCATGTTTTTTCCCGGTTTTTCCCATTTATTGGTAAAACTCTTAGAAAAATCAAAAAAAATTTTCCTTAAAGTACTAACTCAGTCAGATTTTCTTTCAGAAAAAGTGATATACTTGTAATTCGGACCAAAATTTCTGGTAGAAAAGTTTTTTACAGATAAAAAAAAATATAAACAATAAACATCATTGTAAAACCCAGAGTAAAACCAATACATTCCTCGCCCCACTCAGAATCTAAAATGCAGAATATACCATTTGTCCATATACAAATACAAAAAAATAAAATCATTCCAGTTTCTGTGAGACACAATATTACTAAGTTGTGGATTTTTGAGTACTAAATGGAGAAATATCACCAGTCGTTTTGATATCCTTTTTGCCTTTGACACCGGTCGTGTAAATGTAAATTCGGTTGCAAATCGATTAGTCACTAAGATGGACCAAACAAATATTTTGTGAAATAAAAGTTTATAGTATTATTACAATCATAAAAATAAAACATGAACATAAAAATTATCTTTTGGTCCACCCTAATGGTCACTTTCTGCTGTTACTACATTCAATTTTTCAACTAGTCGTTTAGTCCAAATACTTAAGAGGGACCTTTCAGATATTTGTTTAAAATTATGGATCCATCGCTCAACGATATAGTTAAATCTATCTAGATCGTAATTATTATAATGTACGCAAGTGAGGTCCGTTTTTCTCGCGATGATCTACACGATTCACGTATTGAAACACGTGCATTAAAAATAATATTTATATCTGTAGATGACGAACGTTATTGTATAACTTTTTTTTAAACTTCTACTACACACGCGCGGATAATTACCCTGAAATATATTGTTATGCTCCACTACTCTTACTCTACCCAAACTTAAAAAAAGTGTAATATCTCATCCATCAATGAGTATGTAGAAAAAACAATTTCAACACAAAAATGTATTTAAACTAATACCTACTCCGTATATTTTATAAAATGTTTAATATAGGATGTCATTTTAAAATCAAAAATAGACAGTGAGGTAGTGGTTTCACCCCCAAAAATAAGATTAAAAAAAATGGTAATGCAATATTTTACAACTGCTTGTTTCATAAATTATCAAAAAAAAAAAAATGAAAACTTTTCGAAATACCACAATGCATATAATATCTTCGTGAGACCCCGTAGATATATATATATAATATAATATAATACCTATAATATATGTATACTCATACCTATAAAAAATAATACATAACTCAATAACTGTGTATATTTTATGGATAATAAATAATACATGTTTATATTTCCTTATATACCTATATAAATTTCTCGCCATGTGTATATACTATATATCCTGATTAGTGTTTATATTTTATTGATATTAATCCGTCAAATGTTTATACCACGCACGTGATTTGTAATTCAGAAACCACACACATGGTAGAAGGTTAATAATTCTTGATATTTTTATTATAGATAATATAATGAGTAGGTACCTATATACTTGTTATATTTGTGTAATGTATACTAGACGTGTCTTAACGGATAAAAATGAAACTATACCGAATCAGGATATGGATTATGTCAGGTGCCTACCTCAGCAAACTGATGAAAATCGTGTTCGAATACGAAACCGTCACAATCGCCGTCTAAATAGTATTTGAAAAAATTCAGGAATTTTTCCTCTTGCAAAGTTGACAGCTTGAACGGCATATCCAATGTCTTCGACTCGTCTTCACTGGCGTAACGTTTCATCCAAGATGCTATTTTAGAAATTAAAATGTGAACATAAGAAAGAAAAATAAACTTTTATCAAAAAATGTCCAAGTTACAAATTATACAGTACTAAAATATTAATATCCACCGGAAAGGAAAGCGCAGATATCAATTGAATTTTTTAGAGTAATCATTTTTTTTAACATTCCTAAAATTATATGTTGGCTTATTTATGATCAAAATATAAATATCTAATTATTTAATAATTTTTCGAGAGAAGAATTTTTTAGCTTTTGGCACTACTTTATGTATGAGTAACAGTGACGTATTTACAAGGAAGGGCAGAGAGGATGGACTTAAAGCCTTTAAAAAAAAATATTTATATATATAAAACATATTTGAGTTATTTATTTAATAGATAAATATTTAATAAACAAACCAGCGCTTTCGTGTTTTAAGTAAAATACACACGAGTAGTCTACATTTTTTTGAGGACGACATAGCGTAAATATAATATGTTACAAAATAACGAGGGGTGTAAGTTCTCCTAACAACCCGGTGTTTTTTATTTTTTTTTTGTTCATTGCTCACAATAAAAAAAAAAATTGTAAATACACGTCACTGGACATCATCATAATAATAAAATAAAAGCCGTACGCACCGTAGATATTAAGCCACTGCTGTATAGGTGGAAAATTTGGTAAGTATAGGATAGTTGATGTACTGAAAGCCCAATCGTTACAATCAAAAATTGATTTTGAGAGGAGCTCGATAAAATAGTAAGGTTATAGTATAAGTTGTTCTTTTTCCTTGTACCCAAGTAACCCAGAAATCAACGAAGATAAAACTGACGCATCGTCATATATTGTTAGTTTTAGATTCTGAATGAAGCGTTGGATTTATTGATTTTACTATTGTTTTTTAATTTTTTTTCTTTTTGTCTGTAAACAACCTTTTCCATAGAAATATTACTCCAATCAAAACATGAAATAATACCTCTGTTGCTGCATTTAATCTCTTGTTAGTACTTTAAAAAGATCTTTTTTGATACTCTTATTAATATTGGAGATAATGAAGAAAAACTGATTTTTAGGTTAAAATAAAGTTATCATTGACAGTTTAATGGTTTTATTTATTTTTTTTTTTTTTTGTTATTATTTAGTTTTTATTATTTTAATCTTTTTTTAAACAATCTTTGTTGTCTTAAAAAAGGATATCAGAATCGTTTTTCAGTATAGATGATTAATAGTTGCGTACTATGTATAAACTAAATTCTCTTCTATATCCTACCTTTTCAACTTCTCACTTACAACAGTGGCTACACCAGTCTCAAGCCCTTTTTTTTTGTTTATTGCTTTAGAGTAACTGTTGAAAATCTAACATATGTTTTCAAATAAATAAGTACCACTGTGCGAAAAATCTGTATCTTTTTTATATTTTATGAAAATATCGGAGCATTTTTACTAGCAGAAAAAAGGTATCCAATAAAACAAAAAACCACACATCTTATAGTAAAAGACACTCAGAATCTAAAAAAATATTAAAAATAAATGACGAGGAAATAAAATATTGGGTAACTTGAAGGAAATATCGGTTTATTATGCAACATCGCTGTATACAGGGTATCCCACGAAGATACAACCGTTTTAATATCTCCGGAAATAATAAAAAGAATCAAATTCTGTTTTATTTTTATTACGTAATTTTTTTATAATTTTGTATAAAGTTCAGAGAAACAAAGTGTATTTAGCCATAATAATAATACCTTATCAATTAGCGAATGTGATTACCGTCTTCTGCGTGTAATCATTTTAAATCACGAATTTAATGAAAATAACAAGTTGAAACGTCAACATTTTCAGAAGAATAAACTCAATAAAATGGCCATCTTCAAATTGTATTATCTCAAGATAATGGCCCAGCAATGAGTATATCTTCGTGGGATACCCTGTAGGTGAAAATCCAATATGATTATTTAAATTTACATCATTCCGTTTATAACGTGTCTTTTTTTGACAGATATTTCATTTCGGATATCTCATACTATATATACATTACCTATATAGTATGTCATTTTTTCGCGTATTTCTACTATACTGCGTTGTATAATGGACGATTATTCTTGGAAAATACGAAGAGAATTTGCCTTTCATAAAAAAAACATATAATACTCACCCCATACGTGTATCTCCCATGTACTCGATATGTCGTCTGGTTTGCTTTCTTCTGCAGGCTGCTGCATAACGATCGTATTACTTTTCCACGACATTGTTCTCCGCAGCAGTTGCCTAGTTCGATCTCTGGTTCGATCGCACGCCTTATTATAACATTCAATATAATATTATAAATTAATTTGTTTTTATTTCATAAATCTTGGATTCCGGGGAATAAGGGCTTAAGTAGGGATGCGAAGTGTTTTAAACTCTCGTTAAAAACTTTTCAAACAAGTCCCTATTTTTGTAACATTATATACACAAATTGTGTAAATGCAGTGTGATTTTTCGTATAAGTGTATGCTCGTTTATGCATTTAAGCAACAAACTTTATAAGCAAAAAACTAATCAGTTAAAATCATTCAAAATTATTTGATTTGGACACCTTTTTATATAGCTAAAAAAAAAAAATTAACACGGAATGTATTATTGATAAGAGCGTTCGAAAGATTTTACAATTAGTAGTAGGTAGAGGTAATATTATTATTAGTATTATTCTGTGGCTGTGGCGGCAACACACATATTACCAAAAAAAAAACTGCAATGATCACGGTTACAATGATTATTACGTTCACCTCTGACGTATGTATAGTGTATACCCTACACATACAGTATATGTAAGCCTTAATTTGAATAGATTACCTATACGAACAATTTTTAAAAATGAGTACTATTAATAAAGTAAATTAGTGTGTTTTTACCTATAATACATAAGGATTTTCCGTATAAAATTTTCTGTAGTAAACAATTTTTTTTTTTAATTCTGAGCAAAGTGAGGGTATGTATTAATTTTACTATGATAGTTTTTATATTTTTTTATTTTTTTTTGTATCCATGAACGATTTTTTACCAGGAATTCGACTCTAGTCAAAAACTGTACAGGAATTTTCTTGTAGCAGATAGTTTGATCTAATTGGATCAAGTGCTTCAATTAGGAAGTAATTTTTTAACAATTACAAAAATTGAAAATTTTGTTGATTTCTGGGCTAAAGGGTCAAAATACGAAAAATACGACTAATAAATGAATATTAAATACTAAATTAAGAAACGAAACATTACGAATTCTTCTAGTATACCTACAAGCTCAAGCTTTCGGAACAAATGTGTTTGTATTTTTATTATATTATTTGAAATAATAATAAATCTATCTATCTATCTAATAATACTCTGTTTAGAATCATTTTTCATTAGCAATGGTTTATCGTTGCGTACAGATTTAAATTAAATTACTTCATATATCTTCCCTTTCAACATCTATCCTAAAACAATGATACACTCATCAGCAGTATCAGCATTATTTTATCTTTAATATATTAATAAATCTAACAAATTACAGATAAAATAAAAATTGTGTACAATTTCGTATCCTTTGAATTTTATTAAACTAACAATATTGTAATTAACTCAGAAAATGCGCACTCATATTTTATACATAGTGTACGTCGCTTATAAAACTCATGGATATAAGGTTCAATCACTGATAAATTGCGTATCTATAACCCTTTCCTACTCCTCCAGTCTAGACTTTATGGTTATAAATACTTTAATGGTTATAAATCATAAACGATTAATATGATATTAGTGTTATGCATATCACAATTTCTAGAAAAATATTCGCTATTCAAATCTATGTTCAAGAGGGGTTCTATTTTATAATCAAGATTATGTTCTTATTTAAGACATATGGAGTAGAGGAAAAATTTAAAAATGGTTTTAACGATTTCATAATGATTAGAAAAAACAGAAATCAAATTCACTTAAAATTCTCTAAGATAATTGCTGGTTCATAATAAAAAAAAAATCAATCTGTATATGGCTGATAAGAATTACACATATTTATATTTAAATTAATTTTTTATGTTTTGGTAAAAACAAAAAAAATAACTATTTTATTATTTTATATGATGCAAAATTATAGTTATTTTTTCTAAACGTTGAAAATTATTAAAAATTACAAATCTGATGAAAATAAAAAATTGAAACGTCAAAATTTTCAGAAGAATAAACTCAATAAAATGGCTATCTTCAAATTTTTCGAAAATAATAAAATACTAAGTTATTGTTTTAGTTTTTTATAAAACATAAAAATTGAATTCAAATATAAATTTTTGTAGCCCTTATCACTGTGAGTAATATATAAAAAAAAAAAAAAATAAAGTTTAATTATCTTTATTTTATTATCTTATGAGTATATCTTCAATCTTCATGGGACACTGTATATGTTACATAACACCGTATTTAATTAATAATATTATATTTATTTAATAATATTTTATAAATAATAATATCTAAGATATATGTAATACTAGAAACGTTATAGGAATATAAAATTAATAATTAATTAAAATGTTTGTTTATTTCCCGTTTCACCTATATGATTCATTCGGTTATAAGATTCGCTGTGCTAGTTACAAAGTGGGTCTTATAAACGGCGTCATATATGTATACATACATAGCAGGGATGGGCAATATACTTCAATATGAGTATCTAGATACATTAATAATTTGTTTATAGAATTTAATTACAAGATATTCAGTAAATTAAAATTACAATAATAAATTGATATTATTATATTATATTATTCGAATAGTTTACTAGATATTTAAGTAGCCAAAATCGTAGTTAAAGTAGGACGGAGTCCCCGTTCTTATTTAATGAAAAATTGTTTGTCCCCTTTAGTTTAAATCTTCGAAGTTTGGAGCTTTAGTTATTTTTAATGTAATTTTAAAACCCGAATTAGTTTTATTGAACCCCTTTTAGATTATATATAATCAAACTATATTTTACTTATTTTTACTGAGCAGACATATGTGTGGGTAATATTTGGGAGGAGGAGGTGCAGTTTCTTTTTAAATCGTAATATTAGCATACATACTGTAATAATTATTTTTAAATATTCCTTTCGTTTAAAAAATGAAACTGAATATAATAAGTCGGAAGTAATTAAGGCTTTGTAAACTTTGATTTTTATCATTAAAACATATAACTACCAGAAATTCAGATTTTTGATAGATTTACTTACTATACATTTTTTCAAAATAAAGAAACTAACCCTATTTGTATTTACGCGAAAATTTGATGTAGATCAATGTGACACTATATTCGTTGTTTTTTTTTTTTTGTCTTTGCAGAAAACACATTAATATATTCATTTTCCGTCTATGGAAATTGTTTTATTTTAAAATTTGTACCATCCATAAAGATTAGAATAGATAAATGATTTTCTATTTCAGACGGCGTATTGTTCTAAATTATAATATAGATTTTAATTCCTACACAATTTGTGTAGATATTCGTTAATTTAAACGAACGTTACTTCGTTAGTCGTCTCGATTCGGTGCGAGTGGCGCGTGTGTCAAAAAAAAAAATATGGCTTACTTTATCAGCTAATATGGTCTTTTAACAAAGCACGTAACTTCGACACGATTAAAAATTAAAATCTTGTCATTATCGTATTAAATTTGTGTATTATAATATGGGCATTTTTCAATATTCCAAAATTCTTCACAGACAACTATAACCTGACCTTGGGCACGTAACTTCTTCATTCGATTAATCGAGGGTGTTCGCCTATATATTCATGTCAATAATTTAGCTTTTATTTAGAAAAAAAAACACATTTTTCAAAGTGTATACATATTTAATATTTATACTCGTAATACACCTATCAAGTATAATAAAATACTTTATTGCGATACAAGACTTAATACAGTAATCTAAAATACTCGAATCGAAGATACTGTCCATCCCTGTATATTATGTAGGTAAGTATATTATTAATACGGCAAAACAAATTTATACACTCGGGCTCGTCGTGTTCCCATGGAAACATTAAAACATGAGTAACAACACTAGGCGGGATAGACACTTAAAAATACCTACTTACGAAGTGTTTTACATTTTCATATGAGTATCATTTTTAGAGGCGTAGGTTAGTGGGGTAAACCCGACCCCATTTCAAATTTACTACGAGAGTATAATGATTTGCTCAACTCCCAATACACACGATTACACTTGAATTTGATTCAAAATCGGCCAGATTTCAGTCAATAAAGTTTTATAGTTTAGCTCCTGATAAAAAAAAAAAAAATGGATAAAATAGTGTTTCTCAACATTTTTTAGCGACCCCTAAATAAAAATTGTATATTTTTGACAACCCTAAATAACTTGTTGGCGGCACCCACGTTGAGAAACACTCGGACAGAGTATACTACGTATACATAAGATGAGGTATACTTATCAGACGTGGTCGATTCGACGGAAACGCGCGAACACTGCGAAAAATAGAAAAGCGTGCGAAAAGCCGGTCGTCTATCGCCAGGATAATAATAATGGAAAAAAAAAACACCTCCCACCCATTGAATTTTCGATCGACCAGTGTGCAGGTAGATATAGGCAAATGTGCATAACAATATTGTTATTAATAGCCCGTGAGTTTTAGCGGGCGACGAAACAAGAATATTAAACCTGTTTCCAAGTGGACGTCAATTTTGCCGCCGAGATTGTCGCGTGCGAATCGCCGTCGCCGCCGCCGTGGTCGTCCGGTTTCTTGACGGTGCCGTCGATGACCGCGGCGGCCACCAGAGGGAAGCTCTTCAGGCTGTGCGACCGTACGTGCTTACCATTCGGCGGCGCGTCGCCGGTCGCCATGTGTCCGCGCGACGCCCGCCAACCGCCACGGCTCGTTACGTTAACCACTACGACCGCATACCGCGTTTCGGCGGCGCGGTATTGGCCACTGTAATTTTCCCAACGAACCCGGCCGTGTCGGCGGTACCTACGGTCTGCAATAACGAAATATCGCGACCGTTCGGTAACCCCGGATGGCACTCGTGTCTCGACCCGGCAAACAGTAATGTCAATGGAAAACCTTACGGTTTAGGCCGGCCGTCCGTCGGTGCAATGCTGTACGGCAAAAACAAAACGCGCTACGCAATTTCGGCGTGCTGCGTGCTCGCGATCGCGTTGCCGTCTATATGATGAAATGTGGACAAATGCCGCGTGCCGGCGCCGGGCGTCCACATCGACCGGTCTACGCGCGTGCACTGCGGTCACCGGCGGCGTCCCGTTCCGGGGCGGAGCGATTGTCGCGAACGACCGCGCGACCGGGTCGCGTAATATTATTTGACATTTTTATTATTGTTTCATTAATGTTGTAAGGCGCGCGAGTGCGGGACACACAGCAAGGCATAATAAGGAGTTTAATTGTTTTCGTTATCGTGCGCTATGCTGCGCCGTGCGACATTGACGGGCGTGCGCGACGCGATTCGTCCAAGAGACCGCGGAAAAAAGAGAAAAATATAAAAACCGCCGGGAGTAGGGGAAACACCGCGATAATATTAATACATTAAAGGGGGTTATTTTTTTTTTCTATTCTGCAGGTAGATAGTATACGTTGTCGTCTCGCCGCCGCGTATACGCGTGCACGCGATATCGTATGCTCACGCGACGGGGTTGTTTTATGTATAGAGTGTCTAGTACCTATACCAATACTGTGCTACACCCCATACCCATCCGTATAAACAGGGTGGTTTCTCCGTCCTTAATTGATTTCTGGTTTATTATTATGATTTTTATTCGTTTTAACCATCGCGGGAATCGCCGTTAATATAAAAAATCGTACGAATGTTTGATTCTCAAATGGCAACCATCATCCAGCCAGCTCCTCTATTTAAACACATATTCGGATAAACATTTCTAAACATGTATATATGGATTTAACATATTACTATTGTATAAACGATCGGATGCACCGTTTATGGGTCATTGAGTTATAATACAGTTTGAAATCGTTTAGACCGGATGAATAGAGAAAGGTAATAAGTTCCATCTACATTTGTAATCTTCCCTTACACATGTAGTTTAAATTGTTGACTCTTGACTGTTATAAACTGCAATTTTATGCTGTTGTGCTTATCAAAAACCGTTAGAAAATAATCTCTTTTCGAATTTGTGTTGAAATGAGAGGGGGACGAGGATGTACGAAATAAGAGTAAAATCTTAAAATATTGTCAATAAGATCACTAAACGATTCTATAATAGCAATGTTAGAGAGCTTTGTATGATCTTTAAAGGATAAACCACGCTAGCCCCCTCAATCTCCACCTATGATTGGTATGCTTAACTCGGAGGAAAAAATAAGTATACGGAGTGAACGATTTCGATTTATTTTATATAGTTTCATACGCATATATTAGCTCAAATGAAGCTCACATTTTATATCAGCCGTTCAAAATTGAATGTATCATTTGTCATTATTTTCGATGATAATATTATATTTTTCGTTTCGTTGCATTAAGACTCTAATGATAAATGTGATACGAGTAAAAAAGTAACAAATAACCGTTGTACACACGCTATCAAAATAAAAACATGAGGAATATGATTATTATATATGCCACTATATATATCAGTGGTGTGTCGTAGACCGTTTGTGGCCTGAGCTTCAACCAAAATTGGTAACTGGGTTATGAATTATATATACCGTCTATATAGACGGTCGTAGGCGTAGAACTTTAAAATCATTTTAACCATTGAATTTTAAGTATGAATGCATAATAACTAACAAATAAATTTATTACCGATTTGTTCATAATGAGGATGAAGTATGGACTGGAGGTGGTGGTAAGTACAGAATGGTGGGTCTCGCACAAACAAAAATATTTTACTTGTCATTGCAGTATACACTGTACAAAGAACAAAAGAAAAACGGACGAAGAGATACCTATCTTTAGTATCATTCAAATTGAAGAATCTACAATGATGAATCGTATAAAGACGACGCGCGACGGAAAGAAAATATATGCCAATTATTATTCTACGGTTATAACATTATAATGATTATTGAAAGTACAATATTGAAGGACGCAATATATAAGTTGTAAAAATACGAAACAAAAAGTTTCTCTATTAAAAAAGTAGGTTTATGCGGGAGAAATAAATACAAACTTTTGACTGACGAGGTTAAAATACAATGGTGTCTGGTACAGAAAACAACAACTACAAAAATAAAAAAAATTACTAAAGTTAATAAAGCCTTATTAAACTGCTCACGCTATCATAACAACAACGCCAACTATATAGGTAACCAATTTTCGAAAATCACGTTTTATATTAGTATACAATATTTTATTAGTTTAAACGTTATTATTTTATCATAAGTAAATAAAATAAAAGCTACTGTACAACCCTTATTCCTCAACTCCATTATTAAAGTGTGTCTAAAGCCGTGTATAGTAATATACAAATATGAATGTTTGGTGAAGAACGTTTTAGGCGCCTGTAGTCCTATATCCATTTAGTAAATTAAAATTAATATATATTTAACCAATATTGAATATTCCATAGTAATTTGTTTACAAACAATGTATAAACAATTTTTCCTTGAACTTTAATTGTAAATATAAACTTACAATAGGTACCTACACCAATCCTAGGGCGTGCTCACGGGGAGGTTGGATTAGAGTGGCATATCCCCTATTTAACCTTTTTTATTATATTAACCCGTTTATGGTTTATGGAATTTCCTATAGTTATTATATTTTTTAAATGCTATTTACGGATAACACTATTCAATACTAAACCAACGCATCAATCATTTGCTTATACATTATTTTACTTTATTATGAGCATTAACTGTTAGGCATTATTACGTTGTATTATCGTTTGAAGCCTCGGAGGGGTAAATACTCACGGCTATTAAATAAGGGGCAAAACGCAGGCAATTTCTAATCTCCACTCAGTCGCCACTCGGGATTTTTGTGTTGGTCGTAAATGATTATCAGCGTGAGTGGCGGTCGATGTACGTGTACCGCTCCACCTACCGCGCCATAATAGCAGTTGGGTACCGATGCATGATGCGTTATCGCAACATTTGTTTTTGGATATACACTATTATCAAAATACAATATTCTTTCGTGAAAAATATTCTTTGACGTTTCAGATTCTGAGTGGATCGAAGAAGCTTATAGTTTTACAAAGATGTTTTATTTTTTTTTTTCTGCACTTACATCTTCGCGCAAATTTTCTATCAGTAGACTCGCTCAGATTTTTATAAAGTGTAGCACCTTATCTGAAAGAAAGAGGTAATTTTTCGATTTTCTAATCGAATTCGAAAAAACCGAAGAAAAAACTATACAAAAACATATATTCGGTATAAAATGTTTATGCCTATATCCTTATCGTTTTGTAAGCACATTGTTACGGACTCTGTCCTTCACGTGTTCAGGTTAGTTAATTATAAATTAATAATTCCACGCGACTAATTATGAAATCGGTCGTCTCATTAAGTGTACCCACGTAAGGGCCACTAATGCGGGGCCGCTAAACCGACGACGTTCCCGTGCAACAACGGGTGACGCGCGTTCATGGGCCGAAGGGAAAACGTGTCCGGGTACGGACGACGTGCCGCCGGTAGACAACGACGGCAGCGTCCACCACCAGCTAGGCCCCGATCGAGGCGACAGACGTATACAAGGGGACCGCGGTCACCACCGAGAGAGTTCAGTCAGCAAAGGACAGCGGTGGGTATGCCTGTGCCACCACCACCGACGCACGACACGGAGCAGCACCGTCACCTCGGCGCCAACCCGTTCGGTCATTTCTATGGTGTACTTATAACTGACAGATGCTACCAAATCGTGACCCGGGTCTGGTCTCTGGTGTCGCAACGGCATTCTCTCATAATTATAATTTGTCAACCGTGTTTCGTTTAAATATTGATAAATACCATTTGCAGACTTGGACGCACTTGTACATCTTCCCGACAGAAAGCCGTGTCCGAACGGCCCGTGACAATATTATAACGTACATGGGGGGGAGGGGGAATAGTCTGTATATTAATTATCAAAATTACCGGTTTCGTTATCGGTTTATTGTTCCGCAGCGGTCGGGTACTCGCACACCCGAACAGCCGCTGCGACCGCTGGCACGCGCGTGCGCGCGTCGCTATGTCGAAACAACGGAGATCCGTCACAAAATATAAAATTTAATTTTCACCCGTTTTAGACCACTGAACGGCGGAAAATCAGACTTGTACTTTTCAAGTTAGTTTTATGATAATTTTAAATTAAAATCGGATACCGGGAAGTATGTCTAATTTCCCACCACTTATTGGTCTAAAACGTGTGAAAACTAGGTAAACTCCAGCTCCCTTAATACCAAGTATCGTACCAGTATTTCTGTCTGAAAATGTTTTAGCGATTTTATACCTATAGCTTTCCTCCTCTCCACGTGCAAATACTCAGCACGCCACTATTAAACCTACCTGTATCAATATTTAGTTTAAAATATATACCTACTTGGTTGCCGCGAAATTCAATATTAAATTTTCCCTGACTTTTTCACGTTTCTTCTTTCCGGAATATTTTTTTCAGTTTACCATAGTAAACAAATAATATGTAATAAAAATAAACAAAAATATACTTGTTAGGTACTTTTAAGTTTCGTTCTTTATTGAAATAAGCATTTCAAATATAATTTGAACATGCATGATTAATGTGTTATAGCGCAGTGGTTCCAAAAATGTGCACCGTGGCGCCCGGCATGCCTCGGAATCTGTACAGGGGCGCCATGTAACCATATCGAATATTTACTGGTCTAAAAATAAAGGTAAAACCTAAATGACAGCTAAAACAGTAAAAAGCACTTTTTTGGTTAATAAAAAAATTATAAATTATTTCCACTGTACCTTGAAAGATGTGAGTACCTAGAAGTAATTAATTAAAAATAAATAAATACAGACATAGTTCGCACGATGTGTGGGTCACTGTTATAGGTGAGAAGTTGGGAAGGTAGGATATAGAGGAAAATTATATCTGTACGGAACGATTAATCATTGCTAACGCAAAACTATTTTGAGCGGATTTAGGTTATACATGTTTTGAACTGTCGTAAAATATTTAAGATTTTTGTCAAAATTTGATATTAAAATTTTTAAATACAATAAGTACGACTTATAACGAACCACCTGTTAAATATTTTTGGGTTTTTCCCAATTATCTTGAAAATCCCTCAGAAAATGAAAAAAAAAGATGTTCCCAATGCACCAATAGAGAAAATCACCTTCCAGGAAAGATGCTAAATTTAATAATTCGGAGCAAAATATCTTGAAGAAAAGTTAATACAAAAAACACACACCATAGTAAAATCAATAGCTCCTTGTTACGCTCCGAATCTAAAATAAACATCATTGTAAAACCAATACATTCCTCGCTTCACTCGGTACTTCAAAATATGTCTAGATTCTCAATCATTTTTCTCTAATATAAAAAAAATAACCCGACAACAATTGTTCAAATATATATTTTTTAATTACTTTGGTTAGCTTTGGCTATATTATAGGATAAACACCCCGACTAATACTACTCCGATTAATTTATTTAGGAGATTTAGAAATATTTAGGAGAAATTTGAAAGTTGAAACCCCCAAAAAGTTTATTTTTGATAGGGTCTACACCATGTTTATACAAAATTTAATTTCTTAGGCTTCATTTTGGCTTTTTGTGGGATCTGTGGGAGATAAGGTGTTGTATACCATTCTCTTCGTATATCATCCTCTAAAACCTAAATATACTTAATATTTTATTTAGTTAACTGTACACCATTTCCTTTGCATTATTTTTATACAGATTAGTGATTTTAATTAAATATTTCTGTTTGCTCTATAAAACTGGATTTTTGCATTTCCAAAAAAGGTTTCAATTACCAAAAAAATACATTTATCATCGTAATTATATTTTTTATCAGAAAACTAAGAGTGGGTACATACACATAAACATATAACTATATAATGTACCCAAAAACGCACTTTCAGAATGTGGTAGTAATAAATTTATGTTTACATTTTTTTAGCGTGATTTTTTTACATCTACATTAATATACACGAGTTTTAGTCATACATTTTTAATAAAAGTACTCAAAAAAGTTCACCAAAATCTCAATTCCGTGATTTTACGAAAACTGTAATTCAGAGTAAATGTATTATTGTTGAATTTACATAATAATAATCCTATTTAACTTAACATAAACTTACAATTAAATTATATACTATCGTCTAGTGGTTATTAATTATGGTTGCCATAGAGCTTTTAAAAACCGGGAAAAGTCAAAGAAAATCTGAAATAGACATGGAATTTGTATGCAATTTTAGAATTTTAATTTCAAACTTCAATCTCTGCTTTCATAATTATTAATTGTTTAAAATTCGAAAAATATCATATTATATTATAATTTACATGTATATTATTTTGTCATTTATTTAATTCTATAACTACTATAACTTATTAAACATGTTCATACATTATTCAATTTTAAAAAGAATTAATACTACTGATGGATGTACCACTGTTGTTGGTGAGAAGTTGGGAAGAGAGAATACATAAAGTTGTATAATTTATATCTAATGATAAACCATTGCTAACGAAATACGATTCTGAGCAAAGTTAGAATATACATGTTTTGAAATGGCTAATATTTGGGATTTACGTTAAAATTTGATATTAAAATTCTTATAAAAAAAACTGAATTAATCTCAACTTTTTCTTGTCGACCAATAAATACAACTTATAAAGTACCTCCTGTTAAATTTTCTAGCATTTCTGTTTCACAAAGTAACTAATACAAATTACGTAAAAAACTCGCAAAATTAAAATGTCTTATAGCTTAGAAATTACTTAAATGTTTTGAAAATGTTACATCTAGAAAAGGCAAATATAAATTTTCTGTTCAAATTTCAAGTCTCTACGAATATTTTTTATTGAACTACAACAATTAACAAAATTGAAAATAACATAAGGATTACTACACGTATAAGCATGCGAACGAGGGAGAGGGTACAGGGTGTGAAATTGCATCCCCAGCGAGTTCAGTTATAATTATTATTATTTATGATTATATAACAATAAAGTAGATAATGTTAAAATAAAGTAATTACGCACTGAAGTATCGCTACATAATATTCCGGCACTGGCACGAAGACAAATTATTATAAATGCTGATATGTAATCTATTTCGAGAACATCGAATAATAATGAATAAGTGCATGGAAGTCAATTATGTCTCCTGGTGGGGTACACGATGAGAGACGGGTAATGTTGACGGCAGTGTACTGTTTAATTAATACCTCATCTGCACGATTGCGCAATACAATATACCCTAGAGCAGTGTTTCCCAACCTATGGGTCGCGATGAAAGAAAAAATATTTAGATTATATAATATATATAACATAGTAAAATAGAAAAAAAAAATACAAAAAATAATAGTAAGAATAATAAGAAAATAAAAAAATAATATGAAAAAATAAATTTTAAAACTTTTGTATTATTTTATTACGATTGTGGAAAATTTCGTGTCTTATCGCTCAATAAGCTAATCGCTAATAAGTCTTATACTGTGTGCCAGGTCTCCTATCAGTGTCATCGAGTTCTGCAAGACAATGTCTGCGTGTCGCCTCAAAGAATCGATAAAAGTCCGTATAATGTCGAACTGTATGTAAACTATAAAATAAATAACAAATATTCGCATATTTTACGAACATTTTCAAAACACGAACTTTACAGGCTTATAAAGAAAAAAGATACGGACATAATTCGCACGAATGGGCCACTGTTGTAGGTGAAAAGTTGGGAAGGTAGAAGAGAATGAAATGTATATCTGTACGCAACGATTAACCATTGCTAACGAAAATCTATTTTGAGCGGATTTCGGTTATACATGTTTTGAAATGCCGTATAATATTTAAAATTTGTATAAAAAAGTATTCTACATTACATTTGAAATGTATTTTTTTAAACACAATAAGTACGACTTATAACGAACCACCTGTTAAATTTTTTTTGGTTTTTCCCAATTATTACGAAAAATACTTTAGTCATTAAAAAACGACGGTAACGGTGCGCCGTAAATATTTGCCGCTCGACCTATAATTTTCTTTCGGAGTTTTCCCAATTATTTTGAAAATCCCGACCACGGGCGTCCGAATTACGGCGAAGAATTGCCAAGTAACGGTTGGTCCACCGGGAAGTTTCCGGGCGTTTAACGGTCGGGAATTGACCGGATCCCGGACCGTATACTGCTGCTTCCCACAGTCCGCCGAAATGCGGAAACACAGGATAACGCGGTGGCGATAATAACGGCCTGCGTCGTGGTGCTGTTAGCCAGTTGACGGAGCCGCCGGTAGGCGCCGATGAAGTTGGTCCCGCCGTCCGAGTAGACGTAGGTAGCTTCAAACGGACCGCTTTGACGCTTAGGCACACACAAACACAGCGACAGTCCGCGCATTTCGTGACTGGTGTTCTCAGTTCTCACATCGTGACGGGCCCGACGTAGTCGATTCTGACGCGCGCGATCAGACGGCACTGGAGCGCCCGTGCTTCCCGCAAATCGGCCACGACCGGGCGTGGATTGGACGCGCGGAGACGCACGTAACGGGTGTAACGAGTAGCCACCGAATACACTTTACGGGACTCAGTCGCATTCATATTTTACATATTTTAAACCCGCACGGCTCTTTTGGGGCGGTGCGTAAAAAAAAACTGTAAATAAACGACCGCGCCACCGGGTGACGGGCCGCGATAAGGCCGCTCACGGATAGTAGGCTCGGGACATTTCGTTTTTTTGGTATTATTCAGCCGCGACGTATTGTCGGTGTCCACACGTTGGTAGTGCGGCCCACCACTGGGTGGTAAATGAAAATTTTCTTCCGATTTACAATGCTACTACTTTTTCTGAAAAGAAATTTTTCTGGGGAGGTACTTTAGAGAGGTAATTTTTATATATTGCCTATTTAATTATTTTATCCTAAAATGTCATATATATTGTTAACAATGCATCACTATCAACTGAATTCCGCTCAGAATCGGTTTTTTCGTAAGCAATGGTTTATCGTTGGTAACAGATATAAATGAAATAACCTCATGTATCCTACCTTCCCAAATTCTCACCTACAACAGTGGCCGCTCTCATCCCCAGTATTTTCTTTTAGATTCCGAACGTAGCAAGTGCCCTTTTGGTTTTACTAAGATTTTTTTTTTTTTTTTTTTTTATTCTAGTCTGTGGACACGTTTTTTCTAAACTTGCTTCGATTTTTACGAGTAACAACCTTTTCTGAAAGCTCTTGTTGTCTAGATAGTACTTTGAAGAGGTCATTTTTCAAATAAAAGCACTTAAGTGTGACAAAATGTAGGAAAACGTACTATTTCACGATTTCATTATTTTATAAAAACACGGACGACGTTTTCTATCAGAAAAAATGATTTAATCAAAAAATCACAAGACACCTTTTTTGTTGCCATTTTGATTTACTTTCTTACGGTATTATTGCCAAAAGTTTAGAACTTTTAGGAATTTTAATTTTCGGGAGATTCTTTACTGTAATTCGGTTATTCAATCACGTAGAGACTTGAAATATGGTAATAGTACTTATATTGGACTTACCTTGACATGGTAAAATTTCCAAAATGATCGGACGACTTTTTTTCAATTTTTTTTACAATGGTACTTATTTTTTTTTTTTTTTACACTGTAGACCACTTTCGTCTATGAAAACTTTCTTCGATGTATAAGTGTAACACCTTTTCTGAAAGTAAATTTTATCTACATAGATCATTTTTTGATTTTCGAAAAGGTATTTAAAATAAAAACGATTAACCAGAAAAAAAATACGGTTTTTTGATGATTTCGTTATTTTAACTAAGTACCTACCATGTTTTTTAGCACAAATTTGGGTCCAATTGAAAAATGAAAAGAGACCTTTTTTGTTGAATTATTTTTTAATAAGTGTTTTGAACTCAAATTTAAACGAAACTCACAAAAAAAATTACGACACTTCAAATTATGTATTACCGAACTGCGTTCGAAATTTGATGGAGGTTCGTTATAAATCGTACTTTATGGTAAAAAAAAAAAAATATTGAGTATTAAGTGGATTTTTTTTTATATAATAATTTTAATATAAAATTTTGAAGAAAATCGTAAATATTACAGCCTTTCAAAACCTGTATAAACGAACTTCACTCCGAATCGTTTTTCGTCAGCAATGGTTTATCGTTGCTTACAGATGAAATAACCTAATGTATCCTACTTTCCCAACTTCCCACCTACAACAGTGGTTGCACCCGTCCTCAGTATTAGCTCATTTTTTTCCATTTCGGGACGCAATTCATACGCAGCGACGTTTCATTATAATTTTATTGACAGTTTTTATTTTTCTAGAAGGGACATTAGTTATTCATCATTAAAAAAAAAAAAGTTTATATAGGGTACGTTTTCTTTACTTTAAATGTATTATGTTTAAATTTCACGATTATGCGCATATTTTTTTTTTTTAAGTATACAGGTACCTATTACCTATATTATCTACGCATACATTATATTAAATTCCCGTGCTTTATAAATAGCTTTTCTGTGTACCTATAATAATATTCTATACTGTATAATATACCTATATTATTGTATAGCATATTATATAAAGTAGGTCAACGTTCAGGTGTTATGGCGCACGTCAACGGGTGTACCTTTACCTATAGAACCTAACCTGTACAATTAAATCAAAAAGCGCACGAATGCCCGAATGTTTTAGCTGCTACCCATAAAATTATTATGTAGCCATTTACCTAGGTGCTTATTAAAAATAACACGAGTAGAAACAAAAATACCCGCGCGGAATTATATTATGAATATATTGATATTGTCAGGTACGATGTAGACATGCAGTAGAAACATAAAAACCGTTTAAACATATAGTCGAAACCGTTCGAAAAACATATAGTTTAGTGTCACATCGCGTACTGAGATTGTGGTAAGTGTTAAAAAAAAAAATAATAATAATAATGATTGATTCTAAATTACTTAGGCGGGTAAGTACTATATGCTTATGATAAAATTGATTAATGAATAACGAGTCATTATTAATGACAATAGTCACTGAACATTAATATTGTTTCTAGATTGGGTCCAAATAATAAACTCGATGTTTTTCAGATGATGATTGGTGTGGAAAATATCGTTTATATTCGATTAAATACTTTTATTTACCAAGAATAGTTCGTTATTGATGCTTAAATGCTACCAATCCAGATAGGTTTATCCTACGTTTTAGATTCGGAACGTAGCGAGGAATGTATTTGAACTTGTAACCCGTTACAATGTTTTGGACGGTACAACATTTTGGCGGCAAGCGAGGATTTTTTTTGGGATGTTTTTTTTTATTTTATGTTAAGTTGTAACTTCGTAATTTTATCGAGCGAATAATATGGTAGATGTAGAACACACATAACATAATATTGTACAGTATACTTAATAATTATCTATGCGTAACACATCATGTAGTAATCTGTTGCATAACTGCATATAGTATAATTGTTGGCATTTTTGCCACCAAAACACCCTCCTTCGCTACGCCACTGGTTACAATGATACCTATTAGATGACCTATAGGCGAGTGTGACGCGTTTGTTATGAGGGGGAACTATAAAACTGCCGAAAATGAAGTTCCTCTCTTTATTTATTTTTTATCACGCTTATCGTTTTTTGGAAGGTCTGGCCCTATCTCTTTAAAACGGGAGGCTGTGACATTTTCAAATAAAATATAATAGTATCGGGTATAATATCGGGTCAAATATATTTGTCTGCTTAAGTACGGTTCGCCCGAAATATTTTTTTGGCTGATTTATATTCGGTTTTTACGCACTCCCGTTATTTGCCACGGCAATCTTGTTAACTTACTAGCGCCTAACTTAAATGTAGGTACTAAACTTTCTGTTATTCTATTTCGGCTATTCTGTAATAGGAGCGTCAACAGAACGACCTTAAAGATGATCTGGCAACTTGCTTAATTCTATGTGCGGAGACGATCCGGGGCTTGGTTTAGTTATGTGGCGCTACCTATGTCACTAACATTACCATATTCAACAAAAACGGAATTATGAGAATAAGTCAACAGATGGTGTACTTGTCACTTTTAATATATTACTGCAAATAGCTAGTAATTTATTTTTATATGAATTTGTATTTTGAATAGTATTTGTAATCATTATTATCAGTTGGTGATTTTATTATTTATAAGAATAGGTACAAGTTACAGAAGAAATACAAAAATGATATGAGTGAAAATAAGTGAATCAAGTTACAAAATAAAAATTGATTTTTTTTCCAAAAAAATGTCCCCCTCGAAAACAAACCGATTGAAAAAAAAAATTGAAAAATATTTAATATTACCAGCTCAAGAAAACTTCATTGAACATGGTGGGACTCACTGTATAGTCATAACCATGGAGTTATACAATCTGTTGGGTTAACTAAGTAACTTAAATTGAGTTGACTTCAGCCAGATATTTTTCCTGTAATAACAATAAAAATATATAATTATAAATATAATTAATTATACAAATACCATTATGAAATATGATAGTTGATTTATAATTTAAAAGCATACACCACAAATTAACAATATTATATTATGATAAATAAGTTTTAAAAAAAATTAAGAGCATAAACCAGTAGCACAAATTAAGATATCTTAATTCATGACCAATATTAAGTATTTAAATATAAATATACAATGAAAATAATTATTAATTATAAAATAAATCAATTAAAATTAAATGTAAAAGTATTTAACATGCATAAATTCCAATGGCAAGAGTGCTTAGGTCATAATGTTGTATAAAAATAAAATATATTGAAACTGGTAGATATACAATTAAATAGATACTTATACTACATAACTTTTGTGTAAAATCTTTTGTGAAGAAGATTATGGTTTTACAAAGATTTTTATTTTTTTATCTGTTAACAACTTTTCTACCAGAAGACTTGCTCGGATTTCTACGTGTAGCAACTTTTTTGAAAGGAAATTGGTATGAGGAGGTACTTAAGAAAGGTCATTTTTCGATTTTCTCAGGAGTTTTTCCAGCAAATTAAAAAAATCGGGTTAAAACATGGGAAAATCGGTTCAACATAAAACAAATATTATTAAAAAAAATATATAATGCCTATTTAATTATTTTTCTATAATAAGACATATAAATATTGTTGACAAAGCATCACTATCAAATGAACTCCTTTCAGAATCGATTTTTCGTAAGCAATGGTTTATCGCTGCTTATAGGTATACATTAAATTACCTATAACAGTGGCTTCACCAATCTCCATGACATCTTTTTTAAGTTTAAGTTTAAAACTTAAAATACGTAGAGAAAAATATTAAACAAACAACATAATAAGTAAATGATATACTGATATATTATTGTATATGTTCATAGATAATACATAGGTGTAAATTTTAATATTTGAAGTAATAAAAATGAAAAAAAACGTCTTCACAATAAAAAAAAAAATTAGAAAAAATAAAAAAAATTAACATGGTAAAAGAAATACATTCCTTACTTCACTCAGAATCTAAAATTACATCAGTGATATATGATAACGGAATGTTACACATTTTTATCACAGTTACCGTTATGGTTTCTGTGGAAGTCTTTATGCGCACTGTTTTGAGTCTTATCCTTTATGTATTACCTATGTTTGTGTTATAAAAAAAGATAACAGCACATTTCTTATCTGCTGTCTTTTTCTTTCACGGTATCTCGGTTATGTTTACAATATTGGTCTTGTGCCGGGTAAGTATATGCCATATAGCGTTCAATGATCAATACTCACTCGTTTCTTTAATGTGTTCTACAATCCTTTACTCTGTTTTGTATATGAGGTTCTACCTAGTATATTTTGCTTAGAATTATTTTGACTGATAGGCATTATATTACATTTTAGGAAAAGCATTAAAATCATTTATTCAATAGCTATTTGNTTCTTTGACAAATTCAATGTGAGTAAACGTATTAATTATTGCTTTTATTTATACCTAGGTAATATAAATGTTTTAAATTGTATTTTTAATAATATTATAAATTACAATATTATACTATATTTTCTTAATTTGGGATCTCTTCATTTAATTTTGTTAATGTCCACATTCCACTTGCCTATCATAGATGCCTTTGGTCTTATGAGACCTAAGATACTTAATTGTCTCATAAGACAATTTTTTCTTAAAATCTTTTGGTACAGTAATTTTGACTCTGATAATGACAAAAGTGACAATTTTCCATTTGCAGTTGTTTTCCCTAGTTAATCTTCTCATGGCTTTTGCTTGTTATAAAATAGTTAATGTCTATTCTTAGGTATTTAAAGTATTAATAGTTACAAATTATACATTTTAACTAGAGATAAGTACCTACTTAATCCAGGTTAAAGTCTAACTTTTAGAGCAAAAAAAAAAGTCTAAAAATATTAAAAAACGTATCAAATTACATATATTTTCTGTACTCCGTTGTATGTCTTGCTAATGTTTCGCAATTGAATTTTTAACTTTCCCATTTCTTGCAGAAATATGATTGATATGCATTCATGATTTTAGAAAAATTTTGATCCATGAAAGTCTATCTCTTAATGGTCAAAAAAAAGTTAAGGTATTTATGTGTTCCTTATGTAATTCTTATATTCTAAAATTGTTTATATAATCAATAAAGTAAATAAATAAAGAAATGCTTCGCCTGGAGTATTATGGTAAGTGTATTATACAGCTGGTTTCAAATTAAAATTCGTCATCAGGTATATCATAGTCAAAATGTAAAACACAACTGAATATAAAAAAAGTTTACAAATTGGTCGTTTTTTATTGAATATAGAAATAATTTATTTTAATCTTACAGATCATTTGAAATTATTTATTATAAATCATGGATATGTTAAGAAATACAAATTATTTGGTTATTATTTATTATCTAAAATGTATTAATATAAGATAACATTGGTTTAAACATTTAAAATATTATAAAAATTATTTTTCTTTATTTCATTTTGTATGTGTAATTCTAAAACTGAATTAATGTAAATTTTATTCTGGATATTTAATATCTCTAAGTCTGTATTAATATCAAAACTTGTATTACGGTTATTTACTAAAACATATATTTAGTGAAAATTGGAATCAGGGGCAGTCTTTTTTAAATTTTATTTCAAAAATTTTTTTTATATAGTATTTTAAAATTTCTATTTGTCTTACCCATATAAAATTTATTACAGTTACATTTAAGTTTATGTTTACCAGCATTTTCAAAAGAAGGGGAATTTTTGTGAAGTGTTTAGTTCTTCTGTTCATTTATTAAATTAAATTATTATTAGTCTTCAAAACAATTTTTAGATTATTTGTATTATTCAGAATTTTAGCGAATTTGTTAGGCATATTATTTTGATTTTTCTTACTACAATAAATAACAACATTATATAATAAATATTTTTTTTAATGAAATTCGCACTCCATTGGACAACTCCAGAATCTGCTACTGATTATAATATATTATTATTAAAATTTGAATTTACACCCTTTAAAAAGAAAATTATTACATTACATTTGATTATTTTGTCCACTAATTGTAAATCAAACATTTTAAATGGCTAAACTGAATGATTTGAAGATTCTACCATGTCTGGAAAGAGTTGTATATAAGAAAGTAGGAGATTATATACTTATATAATACTTATTCAGTATAATTTCCTGTTTTCGCGTTTATTTTTATTGGATAAACAAAATAGAATATAACAGGAACTAACAAGAAAAATTTTTGGTAGAAAATTTGTTAACATACAGAAAAAAAAAGAATTATATATCATAGAAGAATCTAAAATAAATATTATCTATTATGTCCTATTATTAAAAATTGATTATCCTACGCACGACTACTCGCTTGTTTGGCAAGCTTTAAATATGCAAATATTTTTTGACCGTCGATTAGCTGCTGGCATCAGTTTTGTTTTGTCACTTTTTAGTGGCTCCTTTGATGCTCCTATCCTTCTTTCTAGCATCCAGTTCTGTCTTCCATCCTATACTACGTGAGACCATACTTTTTTTTATGTTGAATCCCACTCTTATGGGCACAATTATCCATTAAATCGCAGTTTTTGCTACTCGAATGATACATTATTAACTGCAGCTTATTCCTTGAGCTTTATATATGTATAATTATATTTTTTTCATTCATCTTTTTTCAATGTTTATGTTAAACAAATATACAACTTATTTAATATACTTTACACTTGTTAATATTGTAAACATCTTCACATATTCTATGTTAAATTGCTCAATTAGGCGTTGGTTAATTAAATTATGTACACAAAAAGTTAGCCAGAAGTAGTTGGCGTTATTATTGTTTATTTTCGGAAAATTATAAATTACAGAATTGTGTTTAAAAATTGTTGTGGGGGGAACACTAATTCTTTTTATGTTTTATATTCTCTCAGAGTTGTTAATATTAGAAATTTATGATACTATGAAAGAGTAAACAGAATTAAATATCAGTGACCTAACCAGAGTTTGGGATTTACAGCAATAATGATCATTAAAATAAAGGCTTAAAAAAAGTGTTCAAATATTTCATTTTGAACACACAATAAGCACTTGAAATTATTAAATAAACAAAAACAAGATTATAATAACTATGCACACATTTTTTTTCTAAATTTTCATTTAATTTTTCTTAAGAAAAATTAAAGACTTAACATCTTTAAGTTTTTAAGAATATTTTAACTTCTTATTGATTTTTTGAAAAAAAAAATTTTGAATCTTTTAAATGTTTCTGAGCAGATTTTAAATCTTTTTAACCTAAAAAGCCAATTTGTCCTCTTTATCTTAAATATTATTGTAAATTTCAAAAAACTGATGTTTTTAAAGTACCAACTAGTGGTCAAACGCAACAAAACAATTCTTTTGTCATATATTTATTGGAACAAGATTTTTAGGAGTAAAGTTGTTTATAGAGAGAAAAAATTTAAAATATGTATCATGATAAAATCAATTCATTCTTCCCTTCACTTAGAATATAAAACAGAAATCAACTAAAATTTTTGTTATGAAACAGAAATATGCAACAAACTAAAAATTTTATCTCCATGATAATTTAGTGAAGTTGTTTTTTGATTTTCCAAACAGTGTTTATAGTAGTTGAAAAAGACAGACAAAATGTAGGTATTAGTAAAAAAATATTACGGCAATTTTTTTCCTTATTAAAATAATATTATTTAAGAAAATATATAAAGCATGTGTAAATTATATAAATATATTGTTGACAAAATAACACTATTAACCAAACTCTACTCGTAATTGTTTTTTAGTAAATAATAGATTATCATTGCAAACAGATAAACATTAAATTTCCCTTTTACCACCCCAGCGTCTCACCTTTAACAGTGGCCCACCCATGTGTGAATTATGTTAGTCTTTCTTAAATATGAATTGTTGAGTGTGAACTAATTTTATACAAATACTAACTAATATTTTATTTTATTTTGATTTTAGAGTTAATGTACAAGTTATAAACAAAAAAATAAAAGAAGAGTATACTGAAACACATATAGAGTGAGTAATCTACACACTACTCTAATAATTTATTCAAGTATAAATTTTATGTTTTTCTAAATAACTAATTTGTCACATTTTAACTAATACCAGTGCAAATCTTAACTTAAAAAAAAAAAAAAAAATTGTTTAATATTAGTTTTACCTACTTTTTAAAATGTAAATTGTTAAGTGTCATAATCTCATTTGAAACTTAATGTAGGGTTGGTGTGTTTAAAATATTCTACAACTATTTTAATTGTATGCCAACAAGCGTCCAAGAACTATAGAATTTATATTACTGGATTCTGTGATTTCTCCTGATAAAATCTGTTTTTGTATATCATTCTTTGTTTTGATGTCATCAACATTTTTGTAAAAAAAAATTTTTTTCGCATTTNTTTTTAGGGGGGGGGGTAGCTTTTTCATTCCATTTTGTTGACAAAATCTTCTTTATGGAGGAATGGAACGTTTCACATGATTTGCCAACAAATTACAACTCGGAATACAACACTCGCACCAAATAAATTAAAATAGTTTTGGAACTTTTTAAACGCACCTCATACTAAAAATATATTGTATTTTTTGTTACTTTAGAGTTGATAAACGAGTTATCAAACAAGAATTTAATGAAGACAATACTGAAACACAAAAAGAGTTAGTAATTCATAAACTCTAAAATTATCAAGTTTAATTTTTGTTTGTTTTATAGTTTTATTTCATATATTTTATATTAATTTACTGTATTTGACTATTGAATGATATATATACTTTAAAAATGTCTATATCACTAATATTTTTTTTTTATTATTATTTTTGATGATAAATTCAAAGGTCATATTCTTAAAGCTAAAGTTTACATTATTATTGTAGATAAATATTTTCTAGAAATTAGTCACATTTTAGCCCGTGAATTTCTTACCTTTACTTTAAGAAGTAGTAATAAATTGTTTTAATATTTGTTTTACCTACTTTTATAATTATAAATTGTTTAGTGTCATAACTAGTGCTCGGATTTTGTAGCAAAATAAATTCTTAAAATTGCTTTTTTTGTAGCTAAAAAAATCATTTGTTTCAAAATCCGAGCACTATTTGTAACTACTTTGAAACATATGATAAAAATATATTATATTTTTTGTTATTTCAGAGTGGATGAACAAGTCATACACCAAGAAGTNTAATATTTGTTTTACCTACTTTTATAATTATAAATTGTTTAGTGTCATGACTAGTGCTCGGATTTTGTAGCAAAATAAATCCTTAAAAATGCTTTTTTTGTAGCTAAAAAAATAATTTATTAAATTAATCCTAAATAATAAATTTAAATTACACATTAAATTAAATATTGAAAAATGATAGGTTATGTTAAACAAATTTAAATTAAATACTAAAAAAAAATGTACGACCTTATATTTGGTTGTAAATTCCTTTCATTAAAACTCATCCTATTGGGTGTTAAAATAAAGTTTACTCCATTGAAATCGGAACATTTCAAAAAGTTTTTATATATATAAGAATTATCTTTCTATTACACCCCTATCAAAAGAAACATTTGTTTCAAAATCCGAGCACTAGTTGTAACTACTTTGAAACATATGATAAAAATATATTATATTTTTTGTTATTTCAGAGTGGATGAACAAGTCATACACCAAGAAGTGAAAGAAGACGATACTGAAACACAAATAGAGTGAGTAATTCTTAAGTAAAATCTTATTTGGTAGAGAAATGTAATGTTTTACATGACTTGTCAACAATTTACAACTGAAAAACTGTAGATGTGCCGAGTGAAAATTTTTTTTGAAAATATGGAGAAAAATCTGTTCTGGTTTATCAGGAACTTTTTGGTATGGTATAAATAACAGTAAAATTGTTTTGACGATTTATCAATAATTATAATCATTACTTGTATTAGTACGTTATCGTCAAATTTAAAACAAAATCTTTTACCAACTCCCCCCCCCCTCAAAAAAAAGACATTTCTTTTAGATATATTACAAAATTACCAAATGTAAAAAAAATATTTTAAGAATATAACACTCGCACCAAACAAATTCAAATAGTATTAAAACTTTTTGAACACAACTCTTACTAAAAATATATTGTATTTTTTGTTACTTTAGAGTTGATAAACGAGTTATCAAACAAGAATTTAAAGAAGACAATACTGAAACACAAAAAGAGTAAGTAGTTCATACACTTCTCTAATAATATTATCAAAATTAATTTTGATGTTTTCAAAAAAAAAATCCTTGCACAAGTCGTAACTAATTTGAAACATGTGACAAAAATATACTATATTTTTATCTTTTTTAGTAATCAATGGTTTATCATTGCTAATTGATACAAATTAATATCCCTCTATATTTTACCTTCCCAACTTCTCACCAATTGAAAAATAAATAAATATTTACTAACAAATATTATAGTATATTATTTTATTATTTTAGAATTGATGAAGAATTTATAAACCAAGAAATAAAAGAAGAGAATACTGCAACACATATAGAGTGAGTAATTCACACATTACTCTAATTATATTATTAAGTTTAGTTTTTGTTTAATCAAAATAAAACTATATTAAATTTAAATCAGAATTAATTTTTGTTTGTTTTATAATTTGTTATACATCATATATTAGGGCTGACAGTATACTCGGTATACAGGTATATGAACATGTATACCAAAAAAACAGTAGGATACGTGATATCGTAAAACTGTGTATAACAGTCAATTCATAATTAATTTGAAGCATATACTGAAAAATTTATTCTATTGTTTGATATTATAGAGTTCATGAACAAGTTTTAAATCAAGAAATAAAAGAAGACAATACTGAAACACAAAAAGAGTGAGTAATTCACATACTACTCTAACATTATTATTTAGATAAATTTTTATAGTTTTCAACAGCTTTTGTTTACAGTTTTTATAGTTACACCCGTCTCCACTATCATCTATTTTGGATTCTGAGTGAATTGAGGAATGTATTGGTTTTTACAATGAGGTTAATTTATTATTTTTTATCTGTGAACAACTTTTCTACCAGAAATCTTACTAAGATTTTTAAATGCAGCACATTTTCTTAAATGAAATTGAAGATCATATTTTGATTTTTAATGAGTTTTCATTATAATATTGGGAAAACCGTTAAAAATATCGGTATTTTTTAATGTACTGGTATTTATCGGTATTTCACTTTACCAATCATATCAATATTTTGTTGTACTGCACTTATCTGTATACCGGTTCAAACCTGTATCAAACACAATACTTTTGGTATTCATTTTTTATGTGATCTTCACATTGCAAAAAAAATCGTGGGACATCATGTATAAATGGACAGGGACCACCATGTACAGGGAAAAAAACCAGAAAAGTTATTTTTTTTTTTTCTAAAATAACGATATTGGTATCAAATAATTTGTATTGACCTGCCGTGTCTTATGCAATTAAAACGGCGAAAAACTCGGGTTGATCGAAAGTACAGAGTGCTAGAAGTTTAGGCCTACTTAGAAAAAAAACAGAAAATCAATTTATAACTAGGTAAGTATTGGGTTAATATACGGTTATGACCTTAAATAATATAACATGACATGTGGTCACTAAATTTCGAAGTTTAAAATTGAACTTAATCCGAACTTTAACCTTGTAAACTAAAGTTTTTACATTTTTAAGTTAAAAACACGTTTTTCTCTTTTTGAAAAAAAGTGACTTTTGGTTTTGTTCCTGTACCCTTCATATATAAGTATTGAATATACTTCAATCAAAATTGTCATCCAAAATTTCTAAATGATGGTTTTGGTTTAATAATTTTTTAATATCATTATTATTTCCAATAAAAAAAAAAATATAACTGATGGTTTTAACAGCAAATTAAATTAAGTTTGGTTAATTTTCTGTTAGTTAATAAACTATAAATTATTTATTTTTCAGATACAAATGCAATAAGAAAACTCGCACTGAAAAAACAACACGCACTGTTAAGCATTCAAAAACAAAACCATTTCAGTGTGATATCAGTAATAAATCATTTATTGGACAAAATCCTGATTTGAATGTACATGTAACAACTCAAAACATACGTTATAAATGTGAAATTTGTGAGAAACCATTTGGACAAAAACAAAATTTGATAGTACACGTGAGGACTCATACCAAAGAAAGACCTTATAAATGTATTGTATGTAAGAAATCATTTGCACACAAAACTAATTTGACAGTACACATGAGAACTCATACCGGTCAAAAACCTTACAATTGTAATTTTTGTAAAAAATCCTTTTCTCAATTTAATCATTTAAAAACTCACCAGTTAACTCATACTGGAGTTAAGACTTACCAATGTGATATTTGTAGCAAATTCTTTGCACTCAAACAACAATTAATAGTTCACAAGAAGACTCATAGTGGCGAGAAGCCTTTTAATTGTGATGTTTGTAAAAAAAAGTTTTCTCAATTTAACAGTTTAAAATATCATAAAGTAATTCACACTTAAAATAAGTATACTTATTTTCTTCTATGCATAGTTTATAGTTTTTTTAAGTCTTAACTATTTGTAATTTATAACTGTTAATGTTTTCTTGTTCTATTGTACTGCTTGCCATGTGTATCACATACTTACTGTAATAATTTCATTGTTTTAAATGATAAAAAAAAGTATTTCATTTATATATATATAAAAATAAAATAAAATAAATAAGCCTTTCAATTGAGACTTGTTTAATAGTCACTAATTACAAAATTTATTAAGCGTATTATGTTAGTTTACACAAAAAAAAACTCATAAAAATGTATTATCGGAATTAAGAATATATTTTATCAATCTTAATATTAACAAGGACATTTGAAGGTTAATACTAATTTTAAAACTACAAAGGTTATATGTCAATCCAAATTTTGATCTTGGAGAAACTTTTATCAGTGTACAAAATATACTAACATCATATATTAAGGGACCCTCCTTTTTTTTTCAATTTAATTTTTTTGAATCAAAGCACCCGTTAATTCAATGTATAAGCCATTTTTTTTCAACCCCTTGGTAGACCCCCCTAGCTACAAATTCTATTATAAATTAAGTGCCACTGAGTTTTATGTTAAAAATTGATCTTAGATAGAAGAAACCCATGACTTTCAGTGCTTTGCAGATGGTAACATTAATGTGGTGGCTGAAATCAAAGAAGAGTATGAAATGTATACCAAGATCTTTAATAATAAAAACACTCCAGGGAGAAGCCATTGATATGGTAAGAAAAGAATGTTGGGTTATGACGTTTAGAATAAGTCATTATATGATATTTGGCTAGGTTAAAACTCAGCCCAAGACGCGGGACCCATTGAACAAACTTGTTGAGTTGGTGTTGCAGTCTGATAACAAGAAATATCTTTAGATTCCAAAAAAAAATTAATACCCGCAGAGAAGAAATTTAGCCTTGGTGATTGACATACTGATTGAGTTAACAAACAAGATAAAAAGTAAGGGACTAAGATAACCTCCTTGGGAGTCACCAGAGGGTATGTTAGCTAGGGATGGCTTACAATTATTAACCGTTACAAACTGCTGCCTATTGGAAAGGTAAGAACTCAACCAAGAAAGAAGAGGGTCATCGATATCTAGCAGGTCTAGCTCATTGATAAGGAAGCTATGGTCAACAGTGTCAAATGCTTTTTTGAAGTCAGTGAAGACTGCATCTACCTGACCACTCTTTTCAATGAGTAAGTAGTAAAACCAACACTACTAGTGACCGTAGACTTGCCAGATCTGAAACCATATTGTTCATCTAAAATTATATGATTTAGACTTCGTTTAATATTAGACTAAACTAGAGACTCAATGAGTTTGGCTAAATGTGGAATTATGGAGATAAGTATATAGTTTGTAACATCAGAAGGATCATCTGTCTTGAGAACTGGCATTATGAAACAAATTTTTCAGACAGATGAAAAATATTGTTAATTATAAAGTTATTTTAAACATTTACATATTACAGTATCAAAATTAAAAAAGCTGATGATTGGGGAGAGTCGTGTTGACATCTTTAAGTTATTATATAGTAAAAAAAAATATCAAAAAAGTTAATAATTTTGAGTTTTTACTTTAATATGTAAATGTTTGAAATAACTTTATAATTAAGTTTTAAGTAGTAATATAAAAAGTAAATATGATAGGTAAATTTTGATTTCACTAAAATGTTGAGCATGAAAATAGTATGGTGCATTTACAAAATTGAAAAATTTTTGGTATTTTATATTTAAAAACACTGAAAAATTGAGAAGGTTTTTTAACATAAGTCCCAAGGAAAGTTTGAGTTTTGAAATTTACGTTTAAATTGAGCATGCATTAACACATATTTTGAAGAAAAAAAATCGCTTGAGCTGTAAACTAAATTTATACCAAAATTACTGCTCATCTTCTTTGAAAAACAAAAAAACTTCAAGAAAAAATACCTAACGTATTTATAATATAATCTGAAATTAAAATTAATAGTACAAAATAAGATTAATTACTGAATGTAAATTTGACATTACTTATTTAATTTTCAACATTAGCCATAACATGTTATAAGCATATTGGGTCGGTTTTAATGATTTTTCTGGGCCTAAGATACCTATGCCAATTCGTCTAAATAGGTATTTAAGTATTTTCAAAACAGAAATGCCTTTACAATATTTTAAAATAAAATAAATTGATATAAATATACTATGACGTTTGCGATAAACAAGAATCAGTTGTAGTAGTTTTTTTATTTATTTTTATTTTTTTATCGTATCTACTAGAAATTTTGCTCCAATAAAAAAAAAACGAAAGTGCTTTTTTGTTGCATTTTGGATGTAGTTGGCGCGTTCAGGAAGACATTTTTAAATTTTTAAGGGGTTTGTAAAATAATTGGAAAAAAACTTAAGAAATACACAAACATTTACGGCATTAATGGTTTCATGATTTTAGTTTTATCGTATATCAATTAAAAATTATTGCACAGAGCTGAAATTATCACAACATATTTATATTAACATCTTCTAGACTCGGTGAAATTTCCAAAACTTTTTGGTGATTTTTTAGCTATTTCCAAGCAATTTACATTTATAAGGTTTTTTTACGTAATTATTTAGTAGATACTATGTGGATAAAATTGTTTGACAAACATAAATTCTTGAAAATTTAACAAGTTATTATTGTACTTAAAAAAAAACATGGTATAATTTAATAGTTATGACTTTTTGAGTTCAAATTTTGACGAAAATCGTAATTCACTGAAAATTGTTTTTCATTAGCAATGATTTATCGTTACTTATAAATTACAGATATAAATTAAATAACTAAAAATGTAAACTAAATAAACATAAATGTGGGTATCTCCAACTTCTCACCTATAACAGTGATGCACTCATTAACAATATCAGCTTTTTTCATGGGCGCCCGTAGGGGGAGCAAAAGGGGCCGTTGCCACCCTCCCCGAGATATCCAACAGTATGTACTTTTACCACACATGACAGCATACCAATTTACTATAACGATGTATACAATATCTCTAAAGTAAAATGTTTTTACGGGTTTTTCCCTCGGGGTGAGATTTTATCCTGCAGGCGTACTTGGCTCTACTTATTATACTGAGCCATTGTAAGATCACCTCTATTTTTTTCATTAATAAGAGTGAGTTCGTTTCTTGTGATTTTAATTCTTTAACACATATTTCACATAAAAAAGAGAAACGTTAATGTGTGAAATGCTAAATCATAGTACCATACTATTCGGTAATCAATAATCAGAAAAAATTATTTTGTAAATATCATCACTCTTGTTTAGCCGTTATCATTTTAATATTATTTGAATATCCAAGGTGAACAAAATATTTTGGTTGTAACGTCTTTGGAAATTCTAACTTACGTTTGTCTTTCACACATATATTTACTTCAACAAAATACACTACTAGGATATGATATGCACTTCCATTTTTCATACGTCCATGCATATGGTACATCGGTAACATAATATTATTAGAGTACCTACATGTATAGACGTTTCCATAAATGATAAAATTATCATACCATGCACCGATCTCGAACACCTATCCGAAAGTATTACTTATGCTCATCGTTCATATGGCAAAGATACAAGTATTTTTAATAGCAATGAAATTAATAGGTACGAAATGTAATAATTCACGTCGCCCTCCGCGCACATTGCGGGTACAAAGGTCGTGATTTTCCGTTTTACGAATATTATTCCGCGCTCGCGTTGCCCCGCATACCCTGTGATCACGATCGTTTGCCGATGTCAAGACAACAGATTTTACCTATACGAAATATAATAGACGACGACGACAAACCGGTGTGAACCTATCGGTCCAAGAGCTATAACGTACACCTCTCCCGCCTATCTACCCTCTACAACCGTCGAATATTATTTCGTCTCCACACGCGCATTCGAGTCTCTCGTGTACCCTCCGTTACGAACAAATACTATCTATACCACAGAATTTTTTTATTTTTTTATCATCGACCTGACAGACATGTTCGCCGTCAAAATACAAATAATAACTCATCACGGTACGTTAACATAACGCCAGATATTCTAACACGTATAATTTTTCACTGATTGACGAAATCCTGTCAATCATACTAGACACACTGAAATACAAATCGAACATATTTCTAGAAACTGGCAATATTCTAGTGATCACGTTGTGTGTACAAAAAGGAAAACGTCCTTGTAATGGAAACAAAAACCGTGACCGGCTAAAGCGTCATATTAAACAGACAGAATTTATAAGCACTTCAAAGTTTGAATGGAATGGTGCATTTTCGAAACGCACGGAAAACCGCCATCAGTATTAAAACAATTTGATCAGATTGGTCCTTATATAAATGAAGAAATTACCAAAATGAAAACACGGAACGTTGATGGCAAGTTTACATAAACTTTTAAGATTATTACTTAGCTCTTCATCTTCGTCTTTGTCCTAACTCTTTGAAGTCGGCCACCTTCGTCCTTAATTTCCACTAGACCTGATCCCCCACATAGTCCTCGTATACACCCGCCGTCATAATATAATCATTTCTAATCGCATTCAACCACCTTTTTTTCGGTTTTCCTCTCCTCTTTCCTCATACGCCTATTATCTTTGCAACTCTTACTGCTTCTGATTCCTTTTTCCTCATGACATGCCCAAACCATCTCAGTTTATTTTCCCACATGTTATCCACTATCTAAACTACACCTAAATTACCTTGTATGCACTTATTCCCCATTTCTCATTGTCATACTCCACTCAAGCGTCCTCATCTTCACTACACTCATTCTCTGTTCTATTTTTTGCTTACCACCCAACATTCCGAACTATATAATATAGCCAGTTACAATTTACCTTTAAATCTCATTGGAATCCTATTGTCACATAAAAAATTTGATGCTTCTCCACTTTATCCTACCACACTTAATTCTATATTTCACATACTCGTCAAAGATTACTTATCTAATTTATATTCTAATAATTAGGACAAATATTTTCACAACAGTGCAAAAAAGATGCCCAAGTACTACTTAGATATGAAAAATTCCCTCATGGAAGAATACATGGCTAACAGTGTTCAGCTAAAATTAGTAGATCACTATAAAGGAATGGCCGTACACGAAATTCAGGCATCTAAAGTTATTGACAAAGAATATTTTAATTACAACGGAGATGTCGCGGCGGATGCGTACCACAAAATAAATATGGACGTCAGACTACTTAAAGAATTGGGAGTCAGTTTTCAAATGAATTAATATTTTATCAAAATAATATTTCAATGAAAAACTATTAATTTTTGAATTTTTATTCTACACAGGTTCAAGTGTACCGATTTTCAATTTGCTGCACAAGAATAATTCCATCAGTACACGAGCATTTACTGGGACAAAAGGGATTAGAATATTACAATAAATTAATCAAAAATGATAATAACACTATTTAATGGTAAATACCAATAAATGCTATATATCTATATTATATTATATTATACAGTGGATTCTACTTAAGTAGTAAGCCCCCAATATGGACACAACAATCTAATCCCAATTCTAATGTGTAAAGATGCACATTTCGGTTAAAATGGGTAACCACTTAATGCTGTTACCACATTAAGGTACTGACGCGAATCATACTACATTAACTCGTTGCAATTTATTGCGGTTAAAAGAATTACAACCTCTCATTGATTCATATATTTTTTTAAAACAATGAATTAAATTTATAACAATTATGTTTTGATCTTATTTATTCATTATTAAAATGAGATATTCAAGATTATCAGAAACTTGTCAATGCAGTACATTTGTAAGCACTTATATTCATAATTTTAATTTTAATTTAACCGAGCTATACTGTGAACAGAAATGTTTTATACACTAAGTTCAACAATTTCATCATGAAAGATTGAGTAATATGATACTTCAAAATTTGGCATCTTTAGCATTATCTATATTTTCCTTTCCATTTTTAGAGACTTAGAACTCTTAGCTATCAATTGGTATGATTAAAAATATAGTACTAAAATGTATTATTGTATTTTAAAATTATTATAAACAAATGCAATTATTAGTATAGTATGTTTTAAATGTATGTTCCAAGATTTATCATAATATGTATTAAATTATTCGTTATCATGTTATTTTTCGTATTATGGTCACCGTAGAAACAGATTTAGAATATGTATTTTTATATTGAATAGATATTATAGCATACCCCTATTTCTCAATAAGTTTGAGAGAGGTAAGGATCATAAGACAGTAAAACTATGCAGTTTGTACACTAATCCATTCATATCAAAAACATTCATTCCCTGTATAACAACCTTCTTTTGAAATATTACAAATATGAGAAAAATTGTATACTTTAACACATATTTTCATTTAATATAAATTTTAATGAATATAAGATATTTTTAATTTTTCATATAATAATAACATAAATTCAAAGCATAATATAAAATTATAATTTAGTATTAATTTTTGTTTTTTTTATATTCAAATTTTCATTTCAGTTCAGATAATGTTATGCAAACACTAATATTAAATACACAAATTAAGTATATATAATAATTGTTTAATATTCATATTTTATAAGTACTGAAACCTGTTTCCGGATTTTTTGTAAATATTTCCAGCCCAGCCTATATCGTCTCATTTATTATTGTTATAAATTGTTGGATTTTAGATCCATTGTCATCAGTTTTCAATTTTAGTGTACATTTTGTTACTTTCCATCTAAAAATGTATAAAAATATATTACAGAAACTATATTTTATTATAGCTAAATTTAAAATTACTGCTCGTTAGGCACGACCTCTTCCATCTTTGGTCTGGTAGTGGTGAATCATCCAGTAGTCTGTCACTTTTTTATCAATCGGCTTTTTCCAAACATGGTTTTTTTTATCGTCATTTTTTATAAATAATGAATTTTGCTGTATTTTGTTTCGTCAACAATTGCTTTTTGCAGAATATGTTCATAGAAATTATTCGTCTGAAATATAAGAATAAAATATTTATATATTCTATGTAATTAAAAATGTATAGTTTTTGCGGAGGTTGACTACTTTTTTAATTTTTTTTAGACCCTTTTCACTGATTTCTTTTCATTACATTTTGTTTAGTTTCCGTTTTTATTACCAATTGAGGGGTCATGTTTGTATCACTGAAAATAATATTAATTATTCTGAAAAATACTTACCTATAAGTTACATCTCTGGTGCTATTTTCAAAATTTGTTAGTTCGCTAAACTGGTTCATATTTTATAGTAAAAAATAATATTTTTGCACAATATAAAAATATTCAATATTGTTTCTGGTTTAGAAGACTACAGTGAAAACAAAAAAAAAAAATATATTAATATATTAAATAATTAATTTACAGTTCATTATAACAGGTAAAATAGAAAAAATTATCAACGAGCAACGAGAGATGGCGTTGAGCGCCGTATCACCGCCGTCCCGGTATGCCGTAATCACGCCCACTATCTCGGTTTCATGACTACCAGTTCGCGGAGTTGCGGATGGTTTTGTATCGCGCCGTAACGCGTTTTATTATTTTATGGGCGGTAGTGCTGTTGACATAATTAAAATTCACGAACTATAGTATATATATACTATATAGACAACGAAAACTGAGCGCTGCCCGTCATGTACCAAGCGGCAGTTTACTAGAAGTGGTTATCAATTTTTGAAATAAAAAGCCCGCGTTTTTTTTTTAAAGATCAAATTATTTATAAAAAGGTATTATTCTTTTTTATTAGTTATAGATTTATTTTACATTCCATTATACAAATAATTCAAAATTATTTACAATGGAAAAATAATAAAACACAAATATATTATCGTTAAATGACAATTTTTATAAAAGTGTTTCGACATCATCTTCACTGTCTTCGTATATGCCAAAATCACTGTCTTCAATTTGGAAGGTTATGATGATCGGCTCTAACAAACTGCCTCTTAATATCTCCTTTTCATTATCTTGATCCAGGATTGTCTCAGCCTGTTTGACGTATTTTTTCCAATCACATTTTGATACCAAGTCCAATGCCTCGTGAATGAGTCTTTCGAGGTCCATTTTGAACGTTGAATTATTTTTTGCCACTTCGCCTTTCACTTGAGCCCATATAAGTTCAATGGGGTTTTAGTGAAAATGGTACGATGGCAGTCTTACTACTTCATGACTCATTAAACATGCTATGTCATCTAATTCATATCTTTTATGTGACGGTTTCAACAATTTCACACGTTTGCGAAGTTCGGCTAGAGTTTCCAATGGTGAATAATTAATATTTTGATTTTTCAGCCATTCCTGCACCTCAGACTTTCGAGCATTACATTTTGGATAATTGTTCACCAACATAGAATGATAGAGTGCGTTATCCATTACAATTACACATGGTTCGGGAATTAGTTTTAGCGTATTTATAAACCATTTTTTAAGTACATCTGAATTCATTGACGAATGGTAGTTAGTAGAATTTTCAGCTTGACATTTAAAAACTAATTTTGATCCCTCTATAAATTCGAAACGCGATGATCCAGCGTGACTAATTATTATACAACCTCCTTTGCCAATTGGTATTTTGAATTCTTCCGTTTCTTCATTATTCTGCCAAATATGAGACCTTAAGTGATTTTGATTTACCCAGGTTTCATCCAGGTAAACCACAGGTCGGGTATCTTCATTCTGCCTGAGTGTACATATTGTACGTAAAAATTTACATCGTAAAGCGACTATATCGTTTCGCTCCATAAGCATTTTGCGGCCATTATTGCACTTCTTAAAAGTAAATTTTAAATTTTTTAACAAATTTCTCACCGATCAGACGCATCCTTGATAATGTGGTACTTTTTTTTTAATTTCATTTAATATTGAAAAACCAGTCGGATATTTGTTTTTTTCGTAAAACTCGTGTATGATCCGGTGAATCATATCAGCATTTAAATCGTCTAGCTCCAAGCACTTCTTTGAACGTTTGTACAATTTACGAGGTGATTTAAATTGCACTTCTTCATCACTATCGTCTATAGATTTTTTTGCTTCTACACATATACGTCGCATTGTCATTTGTGAAACACCACAAGCTTGAGCTGCAATTTTTTGTGCACCTTTAAAAAAATCTGAATTCAGATCTTTTTTTTCTGAGCACATTTTAATGAAATTATAAACACTAAAAATTATTTTTTTGATCTGACTATGTATGTCACGATTTTTTAACGATATTTTGAAGTTGAGAATCATTGGCCTTAACGGCGGATATAAACAACAGGTCGCTGAAGCTAGCGCTCATTTTCCGTTACCCCGACTATAATTACCTTTAAAAGCTACTTTTTTTTTATATATATATTTATATATATATGTACGAATAAATAGATCATTAAATATATTTTCTACCATAGCTTGAATCGTTTTAATAGTATTACTTTTTATATTATTGAACAACTAGCGATGAAAACGATATACCTACCTATTTATGTACAATAAAAACTTACTATGCGATTTTTCGGGAAACGTTTTGATTGACTCAAGTACTAAAATAATGCCAAATAGTAGGATTCATGAAGCTACATAATATTTATCCGTAGGTATCCAACAATTCACAATTGCTAACGAAAAACGATTCTGAACAAAGCTCTGTTATAGGTGCTTTGAAATGTCGTGGTATATTGTTCGTGTATAAAAAACATAATAATTAAGTAATATATAGTGATATATTATTGTATGTGTTCATAGATAATGCATAGGTATAAATTTTAATATTTGAAGTAATAAAAGTGAAATAAAAACCCTCCATTTACTAAAAAGTACCATTTCAGGAAAATCACCTTTCAGAAAAGATGCTACACTTGATACTTTTGAGCAAGTTTAGTAAGAGAAAATATCTTCACACTAAAAAAAAAAATAGGTAATATAATGGGGACGGGTTTAACCATTGGTGTAGATGGGAAGTTTGCTAGGTAAGATATAAACGGGAATTAATTTAACTAATACTTACATTTCTTATATTTTCCCGTTTTTTTTTTTTTTTTTTTTTTTTTTTCGGAATTTTCAAATTTGATGAGAAAATCGAAAAACGACCTCTCTAAAGTACATCTCCAATGATATTTCTTTTCAGAAACATTGCTATCAATAAAAGTTTGAGCAAAATTGCTGGTAGAAAAGTTGTTCACAGAAAAAAAAATCGAAAAATAATATTTATTAAATTTTCCCGTTATTTTTCATTTTTTCGCATTTGATGAGAAAACTCTTGAGAAAATCAAAAAATGACTTAAAAGTACCTCTCCACGCCAGTTTCTTTTCAGAAAAGTTGCTACACGTAGAATTCCGAGCTTTTGGTAGAAAAGTTGGGCACAAATAAAAAAAAAATAAACAACTTAGTAAAACGATACGCTTCGCTTCACTCAGAATCTAAAATTACATTCATGATATTTAATAACGGAAGTTTACTAATTTTTATCACAGTTCCGTTATAGTTTCTATGGTGCTCTTTATGCACACTGTTTTGAGTCTTATCCTTTATTTATGTACCTATGTGTGTGTTATAAAAAAAGATGGCAGCACATTTCTTATCTACTGTCTTTTTCTATCACGGTATCTCGGTTATGTTTACAATATTGGTCTTGAGCCGGGTAAACATATAGCGTTCAGTGATCAATACTCTTTTCTTTAATGTGTGTAGAACACATTACAATCTACAATCCTTTACTCTGTTTTGTGTATGAGGTTCTACCTAGTTTATTTTGCTTAGAATTATTTTGACTGATAGGCATTATATTACATTTTAGGAAAAGCATTAAAATAATTTATTCAATAGCTATTTGATTATTTGATTGTTTATATTCACAGTATTTAAAAATAAAAATATTAGACATTTTCGTCATGGAAGTAAATGAAAAAATTGAAAGTTCTTTGACAAATTCAATGTGAGTAAACGTATTAATTATTATTATTTATTGTATTGTATGTAACTTAAAATAATAATATTATAAGTAAAAATGTTAAATTATTTTTGATTAATTTGAGATGTTTTTGTTTAATTTTGTTAATATCCATATTCCACTTGTCTACGTTAGATGCTTTAGGTCATGTGAGTAATTTATAATCATTTTTTTTTAAACTCCTTTGATACAGTAATTTTGACTGGGATAATGACAAAAATGACAAATATTTTTCATGTTCAATCGTTTTCCATAGTTAATCTTCTCGTAGCTTTTGCTTGTTATGAAATAGTTAATTTCTACTCCTAGGTATTTAAAGTATTAATAGTTACAGATTATACATTTTAATTAGTTTTTAAGTATTAATATTTTAAAGTAATTTTAAAAAAGTTAAAAAAGTATAAAAATAAATATGTTTTCTGTACGCCACTGTTCTTCTTGTTATTGTTATGCGATTGAATTTTCGACTTTCCCATTACCTTGTGAAATATGATTGGTTTAGAAGTGCACATTCATGATTTTAAAAAAAGTTTGATCTTTAAAAGTCTATCTCTTGAGATCAAAAAAGAGTTAAAGTATATATGTGTTCTTTATGTGATTCTTATATTCTAAAATGTTTTTATAATAAATGAACGAATGCGTCATCTGGAGTATTATGATAAGTGTATTATACGGCTGGTTTCGAGTTAATCATAGTATACCATAGTCAAAATGAAAAACGTGACTGATTATAAAAAAGTTAAATGAAGGAATACATTAAAAAAAAAAAAATGGCCATTTTACGTAGAATATAAGTTACATTTCAGTTTATATATACCAGCATTTTCAAAAAAAGGGGACTTTTGTGAAGTGTTAAGTTCTATTGTTAATATGTTTGATTAAATTATTGTAAGTCTTAAAAGCAATTTGTATATTATTTGTATTATTGTTCAAAATTTTATTTTGATATTTCATAATACAATAGATAACATTATATGAAAAATATTTTTTTTTAAATAAAATTTGCAGAAACCCATACAATATTCCATTATTCACTCAGAATATAAAACAGAAATTAACGTAAATTTTTTTTATGAAGCAGAAATATACAACAAACTAAAAATCATTAGAAATACGAGAAAAAAGCAAATTTCTCTAAAAAGAAAAACCTAAATAAACCAAAAAATCATTTTCAAATTGCATATTTGAGATCATTGTAACATGACAAGAGTATCTATAGCACTCTGATTATAACAATAAATAAATGGTTAATATAAAAATTACCTTCTTAAATCTAAAATTAATTTTTCTATAAAATTAACTCTTAACAATTTGATACATTTTGACATAGTAGATTTAATTTGATTAATATTTTTTTTACATACTATTGTTGAGTGTTATTTGAAACATATTTTAAAAAATGTATTGAATTTATTTTTACTTTTGGGTTGATAGACATAGACAAAATGTAGGTATTAGTAAAAAAATATTTCGGCAATTTTTTTCCTGTGAACAATTTTTCTACCAGTAATTTTCCTATGATTTAGCACTTTTTCTGAAAGATAGTCTGACTAGAGTGATACTTAGGGGCTATATTTTTTGATATTTTGAGAATTTTTCCCAATAAATAGAAAACATGAAAAAATACAGAAAAATAATAATATTATTTAAGAAAATATATAAAGCATGTGTAAATTATATAAATATATTGTTGACAAAACAACACTATTAACCAAACTCTACTCGTAATTGTTTTTTAGTAAATAATAGATTATCATTGCAAACAGATAAACATTAAATTTCCCTTTTACCACCCCAGCGTCTCACCTTTAACAGTGGCCCACCCATGTGTGAATTATGTTAGTCTTTCTTAAATATTAATTGTTGAGTGTGAACTAATTTTATACATATACTAACTAATATTTTATTTTATTTTTATTTTAGAGTTAATGTACAAGTTATAAACAAAAAAATAAAAGAAGAGTATACTGAAACACATATAGAGTGAGTAATCTACACACTACTCTAATAATTTATTCAAGTATAAATTTTATGTTTTTCTAAATAACTAATTTGTTACATTTTAACTGAGACCAGTGCAAATCTTAACTTTAAAAAAAAAATAATAAATTGTTTAATATTAGTTTTACCTACTTTTTAAAATGTAAATTGTTAAGTGTCATAATCTCATTTGAAACTTAATGTAGGGTTGGTGTGTTTAAAATATTCTACAACTATTTTAATTGTATGCCAACAAGCGTCCAAGAACTATAGAATTTATATTACTGGATTCTGTGATTTTTCCTGATAAAATCTGTTTTTGTATATCATTCTTTGTTTTGATGAATACATATTTTGTATTTGAAGAGCCTTTTTTGGGGGGGGGGGTAGATTTTTCATTCCATTTTGTTGACAAAATCTTCTTTATGGAGGAATGGAACGTTTCACATGATTTGCCAACAAATTACAACTCGGAATACAACACTCGCACCAAATAAATTAAAATAGTTTTGGAACTTTTTAAACGCACCTCATACTAAAAATATATTGTATTTTTTGTTACTTTAGAGTTGATAAACGAGTTATCAAACAAGAATTTAATGAAGACAATACTGAAACACAAAAAGAGTTAGTAATTCATAAACTCTAAAATTATCAAGTTTAATTTTTGTTTGTTTTATAGTTTTATTTCATATATTTTATATTAATTTACTGTATTTGACTATTGAATGATATATATACTTTAAAAATGTTTATATCACTAATATTTTTTTTTTATTATTATTTTTGATGATAAATTTAAAGGTTATATTCTTAAAGCTAAAGTTTACATTATTATTGTAGATAAATATTTTCTAGAAATTAGTCACATTTTAGCCAGTGAATTTCTTACCTTTACTTTAAGAAGTAGTAATAAATTGTTTTAATATTTGTTTTACCTACTTTTATAATTATAAATTGTTTAGTGTCATGACTAGTGCTCGGATTTTGTAGCAAAATAAATCCTTAAAAATGCTTTTTTTGTAGCTAAAAAAATAATTTATTAAATTAATCCTAAATAATAAATTTAAATTACACATTAAATTAAATATTGAAAAATGATAGGTTATGTTAAACAAATTTAAATTAAATACTAAAAAAAAATGTACGACCTTATATTTGGTTGTAAATTCCTTTCATTAAAACTCATCCTATTGGGTGTTAAAATAAAGTTTACTCCATTGAAATCGGAACATTTCAAAAAGTTTTTATATNGCAAATCTTAACTTAAAAAAAAAAAAAAAATTGTTTAATATTAGTTTTACCTACTTTTTAAAATGTAAATTGTTAAGTGTCATAATCTCATTTGAAACTTAATGTAGGGTTGGTGTGTTTAAAATATTCTACAACTATTTTAATTGTATGCCAACAAGCGTCCAAGAACTATAGAATTTATATTACTGGATTCTGTGATTTCTCCTGATAAAATCTGTTTTTGTATATCATTCTTTGTTTTGATGAATACATATTTTGTATTTGAAGAGCCTTTTTTGGGGGGGGGGGTAGATTTTTCATTCCATTTTGTTGACAAAATCTTCTTTATGGAGGAATGGAACGTTTTACATGATTTGCCAACAAATTACAACTCGGAATACAACACTCGCACCAAATAAATTAAAATAGTTTTGGAACTTTTTAAACGCACCTCATACTAAAAATATATTGTATTTTTTGTTACTTTAGAGTTGATAAACGAGTTATCAAACAAGAATTTAAAGAAGACAATACTGAAACACAAAAAGAGTAAGTAGTTCATACACTTCTCTAATAATATTATCAAAATTAATTTTGATGTTTTCAAAAAAAAATTCTGGCACTAGTCGTAACTAATTTGAAACATGTGACAAAAATATATTATATTTTTCATTATTTTAGAGTTGATGAACAAGTTATGAACCAAGCAACAAAAGAAGAAAATACTGCAACACATATAGGGTGAGTAATTCACACGTTACTCTCAGTATTTTTAAGTTTTATTTTAATAAATTTAAAAAAAATATATATATATATATTAAAATTAATTTTTGTTCGTTTTATAATTTTATACATCATATATTAGAGTTGATTGTATATTTGGTATACCGGTATTTGAACATTTTTATGTCAAACTTTTATCCAGTATATTGTAAAATCTGTAAGATATGATATACTGAAAAAACTGTAGGATATGGTATGCCTTAAAAGCTGTGTGTAACGGGATACCAAAAGAAAACATGTATTTAATGGAGTTTATTAAAAATTATTATGTCAAACAATATACATTTAAGTTAAACCACAATTTCTGAACTGAGTGAGTTATTGGTTTTATAATTATGTTTGTTTATTACTCAAAATTTTTAATTATAGATACTTCAATTTTGTGAGATTTGTATGTAATTATTATTTAGTAGATAAAATTATAAGTCTAAACAGAAATGTTTGAAAATTTAACAGGTAGTTCATTATGTCATACTTTGTGTACTGCCCACCTTCAACACGTGTTACACCCGTCTCCACTATCATCTATTTTGAGTGAATTGAGGAATGTATTGGTTTTACAATGAGGTTAATTTATTATTTTTTATCTGTGAACAACTTTTCTACCAGAAATCTTACTAAGATTTTTAAATGCAGCACATTTTCTGAAATGAAATTGACGATCATATTTGTTTTTTAATGGGTTTTTTAATAATTATTGGAAAAACCATGAAATTTTTGGTATTGCGATGTACTGATACTTATCGGTATACTAGTTCAAACCTGTATAATACACAATACCGTATTATCGGTATTCATTTTTAATATGATCTTTGCTTATGAAAGAATCTTGGAACACCATATATATATATAAATATTGAATATACTTATATTAAAATTATCATTAAATCTTTCTATATCAGAACATAGTCTATTAAAAATTAATTTTAAAATTTAAATTTCATTAAGATGGTTTTGGTTTAATAATTTTTTTAATATCATTATTATTTCTAATATTAAAAAAAAAAAAAAACTAATGTTTTTAACAGCAAATAAAATTAAGTTTGGTTATTTTTCTGTTAGTTAATGAATTATAAATTATTTATTTTTCAGATACAAATGCAATAAGATAACTCGCACTGAAAAAACAACACGCGCTGTTAAGCATACAAAAACAACACTATTTCAGTATGCTATCAATAATAAATCATTTATTGAACAAAACCCTGATTTGAATGTACACGTAACAACTCAGAACTTAGGTTACAAATGTGAAATTTGTGAGAAATCATTTAGACTAAAACACAATTTGATTCAACACATGAAGACTCATACCAAAGAAAGACCTTATAAATGTATTGTATGTAAGAAATCATTTGCACGTAAAACTAATTTGATAGTACACATGAGAACTCATACTGGTCAAAAACCTTACAATTGTAATTTTTGTAAAAAGTCCTTTTCTCAATTTAATCATTTAAAAACTCACCAATTAACTCATACTGGAGTTAAGACTTACAAATGTGATATTTGTAGCAAACTATTTGCACTCAAACAACAATTAATAGTTCACAAGAAGACTCATAGTGGTGAGAAGCTTCTTAATTGTAAGTTTTGTAAAAAAAAATTTTTCTCAAGTTAACAATTTAAAATATCATAAAGTAATTCATACTTAAGCTTTGTATACTCATTTTCTTTTATACATAGTTAATAGTTTTTTTTTAGTCGTGACTATTTTTAATTTATAACTAATTTTTTCTTGTTTTATTGTCATTTGTATTACATATCTACTGTAATATATTCACTGTTTCAAATGATAAATAGAATGTATTCTGTATACATTTATTGAATTTAAAAAAAAAATAAATAAGCCTTACAAATTAGATGTGTGTAATAATCACTAATGATAAAATTTAGTAAGCATATTATGTTTGTTCACACAATAGAAAACTCACAAAAATGTGTTATTGGAATTAGAAATATATTTTATCAATCTCAATATTTACAAAAACATTTGAAGGTTAATACTGAATTTAAAAATATGGACGGAGCATAACCTGCAAAGGTTGTATGTCAATCAAAATTTTGATCTGTTTATTATTATCTATTAATTTATCAGTGGTGCCGAAGTGTTCAAAATATACTGACATCGTACATCAAGGGGCTCCCTACAAATTTTTTTTTCAATTTAACAATTGTGAATCAAAGCACCCGCAAAATTTAATTTATAAGCCATTTTTTTATCAATCCCTTAGTGGACTCTCCTAGTTAGAAAATCTATTATAAATCAGGTGTTACTGACTTTTATGTTAAACATTTTAACATAAATTATTACATTTCTGTAGTTAACTAAAATTATTAACAAAGTTATTTTCTTGGACAGTTTGGTGAATTGATAGTTATTATTTTGTAGTGATAATGAAAATAATTTAAGTTATTGTTAACTTAAAAAAAATTGAAGAAAATAATCAATTATTTATTACTGAATATTTTATTATTATTTCTTATTACCAACTAACGACATAAAACTTAATTAGAAAGTTATTTCAAACATTTGCATATTAAGAATTTGAAAAAAAAAAATTGACTGGGCAATAGGTATTGAAATTTACAAAAGTATTGAATAGGTATTATTATGAAAAGGATTAACAATATTAAAAATTAAAATTCTGACAATTTATTGATTGACTTACCTATCTTTTTATCTCCTTCATAATTCAATCTATATAAAAGAAGACTATATCAACTGATTATTTTGTAAAATTAACTCAAAACGGGGTAATTTATAAAACATAATTTAGTATTATAAAATATGCTAATGTTCTTTTTTCGGTTTTCCCACATTATTAAGAAAAGTTATGTAAATAAAAAAATTACCGTTCTTTTGTACTAATAAGACAAAATTGTCTACTTGAAAACACTCGAAGTTGATGCAAATAGAAAACTATTTTACAGAAATATATGACAGGTATTTCGTAATAATTTATCGTATATTTTCGTAATAAAATTAATTCACATCATTCGGTGCTTAAAATTGATTAAGTAAATCATTTACTGTGAATATCGCGTCGATTTTAGCTGATTTTAATCCTAAGGTTTCTTATTACAACTAAAGTTAAATTATCTAGTTAAAAAAATTGAGTTTGAAAATATTTTTAACTATGTATTAAAAGTTAAATGTATTAATACAATTATTTAATTAAACTTCTTTTTGTAAACACATAATACATTATAATTAAAAATGTAGTATTGCTCAAATTAAAATACTGAAATCGAGCATAATGAGAAAATGTCATTTGGTACATATTTTATTGAGTGGCTTGGGTACATTTCAATCTCCCGGCCTGAATTGTGTTGCTACTCCACCCCTGCCGATAGGGTCCTTGACAGTTATATTATATTTGTAGTTGTAATAATATGAGATGATAATGATTAAAAATCATTAAAATTGCAGTTATACCAATTATTAGGATAGTAATAATGTTGATACTTGATTGTATCTTATTTATATTTTATATTTAGTGTATCATCATATTAGTGTAACAATGTTCAAAATTAATATAAACAATTTTGCCCCTCTCACAAAAAAAAAACCTATATCCCCCACTGACGCCTAGGTATTTTAGTACTTATGGTATTAAAGTTATAATTTTAGAAATTTTAATTAGAGTTAGGTGCCTATTTGCCTATATTATATTATATAATATTAATATAGACTTAGAGATTTAGACTATTCAAAACAATGTTTACATTTTTAGAGTTGTTTTTAGGTCACTTGTTGGACCTATAAATAAATTACTCACAGGTAATTTTTTATTTTCAATGTCAATAAAAAGAAATTATTCCGAGAGTGGATTTGAAATAATTTGTATATAACTATTTACCTCCGTATTCTTTTATTAATGTTTAAAAATTAAGAATTATAATAAATTTGAAATATTTTCTAAACAAAATGCAATGTTTTTAGATCTAATGAGCAAATACTGAACAAGGTATACAAGAACGCCTTAATGAAGACAATAAATCGTCATACATAGAGACTAGAGTGAGTAATTTGTACTTGTAAACTATAATACTAATATATTTGTTTAAGTCTGTTATGGAGGCGCCAAATATACCTATATTAACACATTGCTTAACAAATATAATAAATAAGTATAGGTACAAATAGTAGTTTTCTACTACAATTAGAGCCTTCCACTAAAATGGTCTACTTTTTAACATGTCATTGTTAACAGTCAAAATTTAATTACGTTCTTAGGCAACATAATTATACAAAAATCAAAATAACCGAATAACAGAACATAATTCAATAATACGAAAATATATGATTATAATAATTTAACGATACGAATAAAGAGAAAGGAAAGGAGGGTTTAATATTTTCAATCGGCATCATTCTTGCGAACTGAAACCAGGCAATTTAATTACTTATTCAGCGGGAGATAATATTAAGATTACCTGTGGAATTAACTTTATGTACCTTCTAATTTCCCATCACCTACACTCAGAATTAAAAAAAAATACCTACATCATAGTAAAATCAGTACATTCCTCGTTGCGCTCTGAATCTAAAAAATAGTAAATATTCGGCTATTATAAAAAAATTGATCATCGAACTAACGAGAAAATCTCAGGGACGAGTCATATTGCACACGAACTTTAAACAATATATATTAGTATTGTGTTAAGTATATAGATACCTAACTAACTAAATGGATTCGAAATAAATCTGTTAATCTTATATATTGAGATATTTTGTTTGTGCATAGTAAATTAATAAATATGTGGTTTGATTTATCGGTTAGGTAAACAAATAACCCTTGACTTTGAATGAATCACCTATCTACCTATATGTAATTACTAAAGCTACAGTGCATTATGAGATCAATTAGATCATTTATTATATGTATTAAAGAAATTCCCTCCGTAAAATCGTTTTTAGTTCTGTAGTTATTTGCTATTTTATGTTTTTTTGCACATTTTGGATGAAAAGCTACCTATCAATGTATACTGTAACGTAGCCAAGAGGGGTTTTAGGTGTTATAACCCTCTCCCCTCCCCTTCATTAATTTTTTTAGGTGTTGTATGGACCTAAGATATGAACCACCTAGACCTTCTCTAAATCCCTTCAATCGATAAATCCTAGCTACGTTATTGCCACTGGATATCTACATAATATTATTTACGGGTAGGTATTTAATAAAAGTAATTTTATACAGAAATTTCGTAAGTATAGTTACGATTGCACTTTAAATGAAATAATAATACACATTTTGAAATGTTAACTAAAATAATACACGAATATAATTTTGTTATGTATATTCATTGTAAAAACGTCTGCGGCTGATGAAAAAACCACAAGATGATATTTTACCAAAGCTATTTTGTGATTATTTTGTTTTTTTTTTTGTTGTTTTCGTGTTGCATTTGATGCAGGTCTCTACTGTATCGTATAACGTAATTATTACAAAGACGAAAACAATATGCACACGTATAGGCAACGAACAATATTTTTTACAAAGCACGAAACATAACGTAATGTTGACGTTTTAACTGTTGCTATTATAAGCGCGTGTTCGTGATTCGTCCCGGCGTACGTTCATCTCGGCACGAAATAATAACGTAACGCGTAGGTACTTATATTTTATTTTATTATTGTTTGAACTTTGTTAACGATAATTATTTTCGTATTCAAAAAAACAATATGCTTCGGTTGTGTGAGCGGAGTTCGAAATTAAATGTTGAACTTGCATCATAACAGTGTTTATAATAATACATTAATACGTAATAAAAATTTTCACGCCGTTTTTTAGATTCTAAGTGGACCTAGGAATGTATTGGTTTTACAATGTTTTTTTTTTCCCGTGGACAACTTTTTTACCAGCAATTATTTTGATTCGATTTTCAAATATTTTGAAAAAAAAATCTGATTTGGGTTGTACTTTGGGAAGGTCATTTTTTGATTTTCCCAATAAATGTGAACAAACGGGAAAATTTACGAAATGTTTTATGTTTTTTCTTTTGTTTTGTTTTTATTCAGTTAAAATTATGAGCATATGCTAAAATGTTTTTACGAAAAATCGTTTCGCACTGAACAACTTACTTAACGGCTCATTCAGCGTTTATAGTAGAGTAATTATTTAGAGGCACCAAAATACCATACTGAATCGAGTAGAACTTTATCTTTGTAATAGCTCTAACAGCGGGACTTCCATTAGAGGACTTTTGTATACTCCTACTTAGGATTCCATCTAGAGTAATATTACTGTAGTACTCCCATTAGTCATATTATCTTGGCCTCCGATACTTTCTTAATTCCGATTCGATTCTTCATTAAGATTCATTCTAGAGTATTGTGGTGCTATTAACATAATCATATCTAAATCCTAATTTTGACTCCTATTGTCTACTACTTGAGACTCTAAATATAATCTTATTAAATAGTATTACCTCTTGAATTAGTTTGAGACTCCGATTTGAATTCTAACTACGCATTTTTGATACTCCTTATTTCTTAATCGTTCAATATTTGTATAGGTAGGTACAGTGGTGTTCCCATTAATTTTTTGGGAGTATACTGTACTGCCTAATTTGATGTATCTTTCTTATGAATTATATTGTTTAAAAGGAAATAGAATATATCAATTATACAAAAAATCAAATTAAAATTATTAAACCAAAACACTCGAAAGTTTTAGAAATAAAGTACTATTTTATGTATTGTAAGAAAATTGTGAAATTTTCAGTTATTTATAATAGTTACTAAAATAAACACAATTTTAAATACTATTTCGGTTTTGGTGGAATACGCGTTATGAACATAATCGATTTTTAAGTGTCGCACCTTTTCTGAAAGGAAATCGATATGGGGAGGTATATTAAGGAGGTCATTTTTTGATTTTCTCAGGAGTTTTCTCATCAAATAGAAACAGAAAAAAACTGAGAAAAAATGGGAAAATGTACGAAATATATTAGTAAAATATTACGATTTTTTTTATTCTATGAACAACTTTTCTACCTGAAATTTTGCTCTGATTTACAATAAATTATAGCCTTTTTCTATAAATGGAAATCTGACTGGGGATGTACTTTAGAGAGGCCATTTTTCGATTTTCTGAAGTATCTACCGAAGGTACTTAAACAAAACAAAGATATCAAAATAAGAAAATACATGTTATTTTACAGTAACTATTCGATTTCCTGGACTCTCTTGTTATATATCTAGACATCTATTCGGTATGTATAGAAAGTCCTACAGAAGTTACTTGAACCAACAGTTGAATCTTTGTGGCCTAATGTTTTTAACGAGCAACTTGCTACATTTTTTTATTGACATAGGTAAATACAAATTAAAGTTATCTGTTTTTAAACTGTCGGTGTTTAGTATTTTATTTATACTTATTAAAAATGGCTAGGTAGTTCTAGTTAGGTAGACCTTGAAATAAATTGAAAATACAGCATTATGATAATAAACTAAAAATCACATGCTTAACTTATACAGTGAAACTTCCATATAACAAAGTCTCACGGGGAACAAAAAAAAAATTCGTAATATAGAGGAATTCGTTAAAGTAGAATTAAATATTTTTTTTTAATAAAATTTAAAATAAACATAAAGTATCATATTATATCTACATATTTTTATAAATTTTAATTTTTTTGTAAAATATTTCGATTACATTAAGTTTAAAAAAAATTCATCGGAAATATTTGCTTTTTGTCTGAAAGCATAGATTTTTCAATATGAAAAATCAAAGCGGACTTGGCGAAGTACAACATTTTTCGGCATTATCTTTTTTTTTCAATTCCTTTATCGGCCTCATTTAAAATTTAAAATTTATCTACAATCGACAAACATTTACGTTTCGACATTTTGTACGTATAGAAAAACGATTATGTTCACATCAGTATTAGAACTGCAGCACGGCGCGTTACACAAATTAATCGGCTTGCTTGTCAATGTCTCATCTTATCGGAAACAATAAAATCATAAGTATTTTAGAACTATATTTAATATTAGATAGTGAAAACATTTACAAAACCAGGTTTGTTATTGAACAATTTATTTAATACTAAGAAACATCAGATTCGTTATACAGAGATAAAAATTATTTACGCATGATTTACAATTAAGACTATGGTTCTCAAAAATAATTCGTTAAACAGAAAATTTCTTTAAATGGAAGTTCCACTGTAGTTTTAGTTTATACTCTAATCGAATTTTAGCAAATTTTCGCGTAAAAATACATTTGTAACACTATTTATTTTACCAGATTGTTAAAAATCTACCGTAGGTACTCAATAATTGAGTGTAGGTAACCACTTTCCAAAACAATCGTCAAAATATAAAAAAAAAAATGGCCTGATAATGGCATAGAGTATGTAAATTCCAACATATAACACATGCTATGATGAAAATATGATGTAAGCCATACAGAATGCTATTTTGATTATACAGGCCATTTTAATAATAATTTCATCGTAAATTTACTATTTTCATTAATTTATTTTAAATCAATTAATCGGTATACCTACACAATAATATATAGAAATTATCGTACTATATTACTATATACATATGCAAGTTATTCATTTTGTACCTCAGAACTATAGACGAACGTAAATCCAGAAATTATTATTAAGATTATTACATTTTTTTGCATGTAATATATTATGTTTTCCGTCGAGCCATAATAACGGAAGTCTGTTAAAAATACTCCTTCCATAATTTTACCGGGATTACACAAGTGTAAGTCTTGATATATGACAGCGGAAACATTTCCCCTTTTTATTTTTTAGGTGTTTTGCTAAAAAATAATGTGACTTACGTTCGCGTGGTCCTGAAGTAAGTAAAGAATTGTAAGCGTGCGACGATACGAAATCTGATAAGTGATAATATTATATAATAGTATAAATAGTATAAATAAGCAATTATCAGTGTATAATTATGTACAACTGGTGAACCTACGCTCGCGATTGAGTTTTTTCTCCTTCATTTTCTTCTTAGGTTATACTTGCCAGCTGCAATTCCCCGCCGGTGTATAACTATATACCTGTGCAATGTGCATAGCATAATAATATATAGTTACCATACATATTATTATAATATATAAGCTCTGCTAAAGTACTATTAGGTATATTCAGTAACGTATTCTGTGCAGTACCTATATATTCTATACCGATCGCACGTCTGGTACGCAGTATAGGTAAAAATAAAAAAAAAATACCGTACAGTCATAAAAGCGACGGTATGCCTAAATTAATACATTCTGAAGTCGTTGATTCGTGTGTAGACAGTTTCATGTTGTGATCATTTTGTCGCACGGTTTATACCTTTGCTTAATATTGTGCGGTGTAAAATATATAAAATATATATATATTTTTTTTTTTTTTTTTTTATCTAACGATGCGCGTTTAATCGAAAAGTTACGATTAAAACATCGTCGTTAACCCATATGCATACGCTAACAGTGAATAGTCTCGAAATAGATCGTCCACACTAAACTAGTCTGTTTAGGCAACGATACCCAGCTACATAGGTATCTATTATCTACAATTTATTAATCATATTTTAATTTTTCCGTCCTGTATAATATTATTTAAATAAATAAGTAAATATACAAGTAGACGAAAGTTTATTATTATTTAATATGTTTTTTTTTTAAATTATGATAATTAAAAATTGGATTTACAAAATTATAATTACAAGCGTCGCGTAATATTACAATGGAGTTGGCCGAAAAGCGGACGGAACAGCAGGCGCGAGATTCAGAAAAGGACTTAGACGCTCTTCAAAAACGTAAGTATAAAAATCATATTATTATTCACAAACACATTGCTCCGAACAGTGTAACTATATTTTTAAACAGCGATAATGTAAATTAACTAAGTTAGTTATTTTTTTTTTTATAACTTTTAACTTGACTAGGTAAAATATATATTATATAGCTATACAAAAATTAATTTACAAAACATTTTACTACATTACGCTCAACCTTTTTTTGATTTTCACAACAAATACAGTACCTATGATGAATCTCGTATTCAATTTTTAAACCTCTTGGCCTGGATAAATAGTAAGCGAAATAAATCTAATAACTATAAATAGCTTAAAAATATTTAAAAAGCTTTGAAAATTTTACCACGTCTAGAAAAAGCCATAATAAAAGTATTCCTCGAAGTTTAAGTTCTCTACATTTATTTTTAACAGAATTACAACTACAAATAAAAAAACAGACAAAATCAAAAATAACAAAACCTTTACTTCCGTAAATTTTCCATTTTGTGCCGGTTTTATCGAAAACTATTTAGAAATACCCCGAAACACTAAAAAAAAAACTTTTTCGTCGTTTTTCGATTGGAGTCAGATTTCTGGTAGAAAAGCTGTAAACAGACAGATTGAAAAAAAAAACTCATCGCAGTAAACCGCTCAGAATCCAACACATATAATTAAAACCTTTTTCCCCTTGTTCCCAATGGTAAAAAACCGTTTTCACGTCATCGTTACCACTTATTATAATTTCTAATCCTGTGTTTAAATCATATTTTCATTCACCTGTCCGATGTACATGGTTTATATCAGTTGCTCCAGTAATCGGCTTCCGGCACCTACAGAGTCTGTTATTGTTTCTGTGCGTGGTCTGCGGCTTCTTGCTCAGGGTCAACCTGTCCGTGACCATAGTGGCCATGAATCCCGTGATGAACTCTACGGATTACTACAAAGAAATATCGCAGCATATACCGATATTCGGTTGGCCCACCAAGATGCGGTCCGTGTTGCTCAGCTCGTTTTTCGTCGGCTATATGCTGTCGAATTTCCCGGCATCCGTGCTTGGGTGTCGGTTCGACAAAAAGATCCTGCTGGTGTACAGCATTTCCGTGTCGTCGCTGTTGGCCATCGCCAGCCCGCTGGCGGTGCTCACGTTCGGCGCCCCGGTGCTAATCGGCATCCGGTTCGCGCAGGGCCTGTCCTCGGCGTTCATGTTCCCGATGATCCACGGCATAATGGCCAAGTGGACGCCGCCGCACGAACGCAGTCGGCTGGTCGGGTTCGTCGTCAGCGGCATACAACTGGGCACCATGATTGCCCTTGCCATTTCCGGCATCCTGTCCAGCAGCTCCATGGGTTGGCCGATCGTCTACTACATGAGCGGCGCCGCCGGATTGACGTGGGCGGTCTTGTGGCTGCTGTTGGGCGCTGAATCGCTGTCCAAACACCGGTTCGTCGGTCAAGCCGAGGCGGATTACATTCGGGCGTCGCTCTCCAACACCGTCGGCCACAAAATAGAAGTAATATTCTAATAATAACAATTATTATTTAAATATTGCTAAAACTCGGTTAACTGCGCGTACGTGAAAATATTGCAGGAAGGAAGGAAAATTGTATTATAAATTTAAATTTTCGACGGTGCAATTGCATAATATAAAAACGTTCAATGTTACCTGGATAGGTACTTATAATTGTTCCTACCGAACACGAGTTTAAACGCATAGTTGAGTGAATTATGCTTACATGATATTAATTATGCTTACTGAAGTAAATTATAATTTAGTAACGGTTGTGTGTGCTTAGTGTAATACAGTAATATCGTTAATAATTCCAGTGTATAAATATTTTTTTTTTATCGGTCGGATATTCGGGTAGGTCGGGAACTATAAAATAACATGTTGTATAAGTTCGTGAAATTCAGCAAATAAATTTATAATTATTTTGATACGAAAAAACATTGCCTGTTCATTAATGAGAAAAATCGGATAAAAATATATTATTTTATGGCAGTTAAATAATGAAAAATGCTTGCAGTCTGTTGCAGACTATTGCAACTATTGCAGTCTGTAGGTAGGTACACAGTGCTCGAATTGAAGGGTAGACGCAGGGAAACGGAGTCATGGACACAAGGGGAGCGCCAAGACGTGTATTTTTACGTGATTCTTATATTCTACAATTGTTTATCTAATAAAATCCACCTCCCCCCTGGAGGGGTAATTTGCAATTACAATTTCAATCGCATAAAATCTTAAAAAACGCAAACATTTCAAATGGCTATAACGGCAAAATTGCCGGAATGATTTGAAAATTGTACTATGTCTGAAAAGAGCTGTATACTTGCACCTCCTTATACACTATATCTATGTAAGTAATCAGCCAGCCCCTCAATTATTTTTCAGTTTTTTACTGAATAAACAAAATAAAATATAATATAAATCGTTACTGTGTAATTATAACAGTTAAAAAGTTTCCTAACGTTTTTCTATGGTTTTCCCTATAATTAAAAATATTACATAAAAAAACAAACCCTCTGCATTACAACAACGACACAAACATTTTGACTAGAAACCGTCACCTCTAAATTTTGATAACCGGTGCAAGATTCCTGATGGAAAAATTATTAAAATACAAAAAACACATATATTAGAACCATAGTTATATGGTTATGGTTATTATATATCATACCCAATTATTATAGTAAAAATTAAAATAAATAATATTTATTATGTAAAGAAAAATTTAGCCTGCAGTTTAGTGTTTGTTTTCGGGATTTATTAACTACTAAATTATAATTCAAAAATCGGAAACTGTATCTTCTAACAAAAAATAGATGTCTTTTAAACAATTAAAAAAAGAGCTCATTTTTCTGACAAAAATGCCGCTGTTTTAATGATAAATTAATGCTAACAAAATATAATTCTGAGCTAAGTTCTATAAGCGAACATGTTTTTCAATACTGCGATTTTTACGATCACTAGCAACACAAAAAGGAGATTAGGAACATTTGATAATAAAATATGGAGAACAATTTGTGTTTCTATGTATGATATCAGAACAGGTGCGTGAAGAAGAAAATTTAACCGGGAGCTTCAAGAAGAGTTGGACTGACATCAGTCAGTAGCTTTATAAGTGGTCAGCGAATACTAGACTTGGTCATGTTATGCGCGAAAATAAGGAGAGGTGGTTAGAGCAGTGCTAGAAGGGAAATTTATGGGGAAAAGACCTCGTGGTTGGCCTAGAAAAAGATGGGTGGATACAGTGGAAGAACATCTCAAGAAAATAGGAGTACGAGGGTGAAGAACGCTAGTGCCAGTGACGTGCCCAAGAATTATCAATGGGAGGGGATGGAACGAATGATTACAGATAGCACCCATAGTATCTATTCATATTATACACGTGTGTAGTATCGGGTCCATTACGTAATCGGTGTTTGAATTCGAGGGGGAACGCAATGTTCGACAATTCTTTTTTTTTAATTTTAAATTCCTAAAAACTTCCAAAATTTTCAACAGTGTAATAGCCTACCATCTGTTAAATTCTGTAACTATACACAATGACTTCAAATTGAACGCGCAATTCTTAAAATGTCAAATCACGGCTTTAAATACACACCCAGAGTTTTAAGGTTATTTAAGAATCGAGATTAAATACATTTACAATTAGCGTAAATTTACCGTAGGTATCTACCATAATTTGTTACATTTCATGTGACGTAATGAAAAGCTAAATTTTTAGATAATAGGAATCATCTAGCGACGACATGATAATTGACAACTGTCATTTATGGGTGTTATTAAAAATTAATATTCCGAGGTCTTGTCTACGCGGGTTTTGTCTGAGAATTTGTGACTATTACATCATATTATTATCCATGCGATTAATTAGGTGTATCTCCATTTTCGTATTGTACGTTTATTTGCCTTTTGATATGTACCTACGTATAATTATTTCAACGTGAAAATGATTAGATTACCTATTTTCCATTTAACCCGTCCTTAACACTTACATTCAATGACTACATGATTAGAAAAATATTAGAAAATAAGCTTTACATTTAATATTTTATGATCAGGTAAAACTATTTTATCTGCAAAACTCTTCGATAGCTTAGTGTAATAAATAATTTTTCTCCCCTGCAATTTATTGTTTATATCATAACAAGTGTAAATAAACATAATGCCATTACATGTATTTCATTTTCAGTAAAATAAAAATAAATAAATAGTAATAGCTAATAATAATAAAACATAATTTAATCAACAAAATGATTGAATTTGGACACATTATACTTACCATTAACGTTTGAATATTACCTATCCATATTAAATACTATAAAGATATAAAATAGTACGAATTGAAAAATATTTCAAAAGGAAGAAAGATATTTTGAAATACGAATTGATTGGTTTTTTACGTGCCCATATCGCATCCGACCATTGGCGCAATAACTAGCGTGGTGCAAAAGGGTCTTTTGCAACACCAAGGTCAAATTAGCACCCCTTGTTTTTTTCTTCTATCTATTATTATTGTTTTCAACAATAAGAAAGTTTTTTTTTAAAAAAAGGGCTAGTTCAAGTTCATCAAACTGAAATAAGATTGAATTATATACAATGTTAACACTAATATTGAAACCAATCAATATCTTTGCACAGAGCTAAGCAATTTGAATTTTGTTTTTTAATCGGTCGTTAGGTTTTAGTAATATTCATTTGTATGGTCTCTAAAATTATTACTGTAAATTATATGCATGCACAATAAAATACAATTTTCTAACTAGAAACATCCTTTTTGAGACTAAATTTCGATTTCCTTATTTTTCAAAGTAACTTTAACTTCTTAAGATTTTACATTTTTAGGACTGTATAAACTTTTGAATTAGGTTATTAATTAGTTACAAAACAATTAAAATCAAAAACATTAAGTATATAATAAATAATCGCTTAATTTACGTTCAAGTTTATTTATTGAAAATTTAACTTATTCATGTCCAGTTTACACAGTATGAAAGTGGTCATTCCTATCATTGATTATTTTAGTGAAATAGTAATTTTTATTTTTAAATTATGAAATATTTAACGAAAAAAATTATAACTATTTTGGTTAATAATATAGTTCGTTACGATTCGTTTGATATTTTATATTTGAGAGCTTTACGAGCTATTTTTAGTCAATGGATCACATCAAACATCGTTATGTATGTTACTGTGAATGCCCGAAATTGGTGAACGCTGACAATCACCTAGTGACTGTCGACATAAATTGGTGAATATTGATATTAACATCAGGATTATGGTCAGTGTCGACAAAATATACACAACACGGTTTTAATTAATGTTGACATAGGTACATGTATTCACAGAAATTTTAGTGTAGACTAATTAGACTATAGACAATACAGTAAAACCTTTTTATAACGAATCTTAAGGGACCAAAATATTTCTTTTGTTATACTTAGAAAATTTACGCAATACAAGTTAAAGAACTAGTGCATAGGTTATAAATCAAACCAACCATTATTAAGTAATTCGTGCGCTACATAGAGTTTTTCATTAAAAAGAGTTTCGTTAGAAAGAGTTTTCACTGTAAATAAAATAGGTAATGTTCAATTATATCAATGAATTATTATTATTAAACAATATTATATTTGTGTCATTATTTAAATTATGACTATTTTATTATACAAAAATTGTTATATTTAAAAAAAACGGTTTTGTTTTGTGTAACAAAGAAAAAATGGTCACTTAACTGATTAAAAATGTATATTTTTTAGCCAATAGGAAAAAAAATTATCATGTTTTTTATTAGATACTAAATTATTGAATTCATTATAAAATACTTCACGTATATTTTCCATTTTTTAAAAAATGTTTTAATTATTATGCAAATCAATAGTACACAATAAAATAAATAACTGTATCGAACTATGACTGCAATATCATACTGAATGTTAACGAGACAGCATAGCATTGCTGTTATCCAGATATAATAAAAGTACTTTTAAGACCGTGTAATTTCAGGATAAAGGGGTGTGTGAGCGATCACTCTGTGAGGCGTTAATAGTTTTAGCCGCTCTACATTTTAGAGGCCTAGTTGCGCCTATGCGTCTGACAGTCTTAACTTGGAAACACAATATTAATTATTTATATCACACTGTAATAACCAAAAGCCAATTAATTGATTTATGTTTCAATGAGAAAAGCTGTCCACCACCCCGTGGAAATTTATATTCACATCGATGCCGGTATGGGCCACGACGGTGGCGCACATTGGTCACAATTGGGGTTTTTGGCTGTTGCTCACCGAGATGCCGACGTTCATGAACACAGTGCTCAAGTTCGATATCAAAGAAGACGGTTTGTTGTCCTCGCTGCCTTATCTCGCCATGTTCGTATTACAACTGCCGGTTTCTTACACGGCTGATCTGCTGAACAAGCGAAAGATCACCTCGATGACCGTGTCCCGGAAATTGTGGAATACCATAGCTATGTGGGGAGGCACCGTCGGTCTGATCACGCTCGGTTACCTAGAAAACACCACCATGGTTCTGACGGTGTACGTGTTCACTGTGGCCATTGGGTGTGCATCGAATGCCGGATTCAACATAAACCATTTGGACCTGTCGCCCAACTATGCCGGACTTTTAATGGGAATCACCAACACGGCCGCAGCGTGCGGGGGTATTTTCGCTCCTCTGTTCGCCGGGTTATTGATTAAAGATCAGGTAAAATCTTCACCGGTGTACCAAACACTAGGTAATCTATCTAACTAAACTTAAGCGTGATCTATGAGTAAACCATTTTTTTTTTCCATGATTATTATTATTATTTCAGACTTCGGTTGCGGAATGGCAAAAAGTATTCATTAGTGGAGCAGTAGTGATGTTCTTGTCTAATTTGTTTTTTATTATATTTGGCTCAGCTAAAACTCAACCTTGGAATTCGCTAAGCAGCGGTAGTGTATCTTCAATTGATATTAAACAATAAATAACTATAAAAAAATAAATGTGTACATAGGTACTAGCCAGTTATATACCTATATTTTATTATTCAAAAATGAATTTAAAGTTATCATCAGAAACAAGAGAAAGTAGTAAATAATACAACAACTCTTAGTTTAATGATATGCTTACACAAATATTTCAATATTACTATGGTGTTCTCAAAAATAAAAAAGTAATGTATATCGTATGTCTCTGAAGTCCCGTGCTACCCTGATTATCTTTATTGAAAATCAATATATCTAAATGATGTGAGAAAATTCCAATTTAATGTTATATATTCAAAAAATAAAAATAAAAAATAAATCTGTTTCCTAATTTAGTTTTAAAGGTTTGTCAAAATACCATTTTTTTTGTAAAATATTTAGAAAATAATTTAATTGAGTGAAAATTGACAAAGTTAGAGCAGATTAAGTTTTTGATTTCATAAAAATAAAAGTTTTAGCGAAAACAAAAAAACGAGCCATACTTGTTGAAATAAATATCAACATCAATAAATTAATTAATTAAAAACTTAATCTACTCAAAATTGGTAAATTTTCAATCAATTTTAATTTTTTTTTAATTGTTTGAACAATTTCACCAAAAAATTAAACTTTCAAAACTAAATTGCATAAAAAATTGTTTTTGTGAATGTATGCCATTAAATTGGAATTTTCTCACAGACTATTACTAAAAAAAAAAAAAAAAAAATACATTTAGATACATTGGTTTTCAACAAAGATAATCAGGGTTAAACGGGACTTCTGGGTGTAGGTATACATATAAAGATAATGTACCTAAAGAAATATTGAATTAATAATGTAGTAATTATTACTACCTTCACCTACTTATAATATATGTTTATGTTTTAGGTACTTCAAAAATAGACAATAATAAACAAGAGACTGAAGTTGTCGAATAAAAAGTATGCAATATAAAAGCATATAGGTATGGTTGTATGTTTTAGTTTAATCAATATTATCAAAGATATTGAAGATGTCAGAATGATGTATAAGTATTTGATTACAGTATTATGTCAAATAAAAATATAGTACAAAGTTTAATGTTTAAAATATTTAAAATGTATTTTTATTTTTTTTTTTAAATAATAAATTATCATTGTTATTATAGCAGTTGTGTAGTTTTATTTGATTAGGCACTATAATAGTTAAATAGTGTCTCAAAAATGGCACTAAAGTCACAAAAAGTGAAAAAGTACTTTAATACAGAAAATCGACCGATATGCATGGAAACCCTTAAAGTTCAATCACTATAAAAACATTTTACAACCAAATTATCGGCATTCAGTGGCGTGGTGTGCATATAAGCGTTGCATACACTTTCAGTGATAAAATGTTATATTTTTAAATGAACAATTTATCCATGGTCAAGTTCTAATAATGTAAAATTATACATTACATTTTGAAATTTTGGAATATCATAAGGAGCATAAGGACATATAAGTAATTTTCAAATGTGTTACACAACCAATTATCGTAATATCAATAGCATGATGCTGCATTTATTATACTACATATCTTGGTACGACTACATACGACACTGCTATATTGAAACTCTCATCAGTTATTGTCACTCATTAACTCATCTAACAGAATCCCTCCCCCAAGGATATAACTTAACTTGGAGTACATGAAAAACCATTAACAGAATATGATCAGAAGTAGGAAGAACTAAAGAAAATATTCACAAATGGGGCTTAACCACAGACGCGGACTATGAGTGCGGAAACGTGCAAACAACAAGACATTTATTAGAATGCCCAATACTACTAGTAAGAGAAGAGATCATGAATTTTATAGGACAACAATTAAAAGACAATGCAATTAAAATTGCTGATTTCTGGGAGAAGAGAATTTAAAACTCTACCACTGAAGAAAAAGAAGAGACTCATTTAATTCAAACAGTTCAAAGTATTATTATTACTCGATAGTGTTTATTTAGGATCTATGGTCAATTATTTAAACCACTTTTTAATAATATTTGTTTTAAATAAGTTATGAGCGGTTTTCTAGAAGTAGTAAAAACAGATGGAGGTTTGGGTATTATAGGTAGGTATATAATTTTTGATGATTGCTTACACCATTGATGATTCACACCACGCCACTCTCGGCATTTTACATTTTAAAATTATAAAGAGAATGATATGTAGTTTCAAATGATTCAAATAATTAGATAATAGGTATAAATTTATCGTTCTTTTTAGTATTTAATTGTTGAATACTATGCGAGTACTACCATTTTTGTTATAAAATAGGTACCTAATAAGTTAACTTAATAATAGAAAAAAAAAAAAAAAAATACAAAATACATGAAAAATAACAGTTTATTTAATGTATTTTATAAATACTAATTTATTTTTAAAATAGCCTAATAATATTATTTATAATACTATTAATAATATTAAAAAAGCATCTCTGATTGCCTAAAGTGTACAAATAAAAAAAAAAGACAATTCATTTTTATGCAATACATTTTACGTTGTCAATAAAATTATAAATTATAATTATAACCAAACACAATCAACCATTTGTCGCCTTCATTATCGTGCTAGTTCTGTCAATGGTGGAATGTATGTATCAGGTAAGATAAGTGCTGGTAGATTGATCAAATCAATAAATATTCGGTATGAGTCACTAAAATTAAAATTGTTCAATACATTTTAAATCAATTAGATATAATATCAAAACAACCCACAGAAATGAAAGTATAGTATAAATCTTTATAAATTATAAATAAATAACTAGGTGAATGTACATTAATGAAGTCAAAGGCATTGATCACTTCATTCCAAAATATTAAATAAATAATCACAATAAATTGTATATGTTTTTTTTTTTAAACAAATTAATTTAAAGTAATTACCTTAATGTTGATCTTAGATATTCAGAGCCAGAAGTGCCACCCGTTCCAGAACTATGGCCAATCATTTTCCGTACCATAACAAAATGACTATCTGTATAAAATAAAATAACTCGAAATCAGTTTTGTTTAATTCAAAGATTTATCATTTCAAATAAAATAATTTTTATGTAGCATTAAAAAAAAAAAAAAACCAATGAGTTATACAATGAACATTTCAAAAAAGCTCTTTTCTGAAAATTAAAACTGTTTATGTAACTCAACAATTGATTTTGCATTTGGCTTTTTTTGGCTTTTTTTTTCAAAAATTACACTCCCTACCATTTAACTTCCTGACCAAGTAAAATAACATTCTTGAAGGGAAATTCTATTGAGAAAATGATTGTTAAAATTTTCTGAAATGAGTCCTTTTCAAAGTTTAATTCAAAATGTTGTCTGTTTCCAGCGTTATTGAAACCAGATATTTGGAGTCTTCCTACTGATAAAATATTGATCTTTACTCTATATGATGTGTACATTGACAAGTCAATTTTAAAAAAATATCGAGACTTTTCAAAATTTGCAATTCAAATAATTTAAGAATTCTGAGATCGTTATAGGTCGTTATAGGGTGTAACAGACATTTTTAGAATAAAATGCCTTGTAAAATTAACATTTATAATATTAATTAATAATGGCTTTATAATTTATATATTGATTATCGATATATTATTTTTAAATAGTATTGGTAATAAATAGCATATTTACATCTCCATTTAGACAACAGCGTATCAATGTCTACCAAAGATTCTAAAATTCTATTAGCTAGTGCATATCCTTTTTCATTTCGATATGCGTTTACTATAATGGCACCTTTCAACGCTCGGTGGGAAAACTTTCGATTTCCTTGATCCATTAAACACTTGTGCTGTTCGCATTTAAATACAGTATCCATAAGTTTACGTTTATCCGAATACGATTCATCAGTCTATAAAAAAAAAACTAAATTAATTTGTAGTAAAATAATACGTTTAATTTAATTTACTATAATCAGTGATGTTCTCATGAGGTATGTAAGACATATACTCTCAAATATTTAGAAAAAAAAAAAAAATCGGTCATGATATATATTCCTATTATGACTAGTTCATACCACTTACGCCAGTAAAACCGAAACAGTAATAAAAATTGTATTTATTTCAGTAGTTAGTATAATTGTAAATTTCACAATTTTCTTACAATACATATATGTATATGTACAGTACTTTATTTTAAAAATGTCGAGTGTTTTGTTTCAGTAATTTTAATTTATTTTTGTATAATTGATAGGTATTTATAAACAATATAATCCGTAAGAAAGATATAAAATTGGGCGTAACAGTAAAATCTCAAAAAAATTAACGGGAATACCACTGAATATAATACATATTTTGTTATTATGATATGCAGATTGCAAGTATTTATATATTTATGATTTACATCCCAGGACACATTTTTTAACCAACAATTTAGGTACCATTAAGGTTACATAATGTAATTTCACGACAGCAATAATATATATATAAATATTCATCTAATTAGCTATTATAGAAGTTAAAATAATCATTGAAATAAAAAAATTATAATTTTTAAAGATAAGAAAATTTAAAACTGTAGTGCATAGATTAATATTTGTTTGTATTGGATTAGTTATGTTGTTTAATCAATGAAAGGATCAACATGTGACATTTAAATATGTTCACAATCTAGCACTTGCGTGATATAATAAAATCGTATTGTAATATTCTCACAAACCTGTGTAAGCTTAGATAAAAATAATTAAGACATCAAATTTAACTAAATCTGCACTAAACTATAAATTATAACTTAGGTATAAGTACCTAAATATATCTATATATGGAATGTCAATGATTCAAAAATTAAGCCTAGATGCAACATTTTTATCCGGCATCCATGTTCATTATAATTAGGTATGACTTTAAAATCGCATCATATTTTTTCGAAATTAATATTAGGTCAATGATATATACTTAATATTCACTTAAATCACCTAATCTAAAGCTTGATGGTTTTTTAAATTTAAATTACGGATAATCATATTACACTGTTAAATAATATATATAACGGCTGTGTATATTGTCTTTTTAATAAGTATACACAAAATAATTATTAATTACCTATATAAATCCTATTTATACTATGAAATCGAATTATTTATAAAATCTATTAAGTTTTAGTTTTTAGGTTAGTTGAATAATTATTTTTAAAAAAAAACATTTAAATTCAATATTCTAGTATTACTTTCGGCAATGAATTGCATTGTCTTACACGCTTGTATTGTACCGAAATTGATTTTTTTTTTTTTTTTTAATTAAAAATATTTGTGACCCAGAGTTAACATATATTATAAACTATCATAAAAGTAAATTTTAGAGAATATAACAAGGATGTTTATTTAAATATATTTTATATTTTAATGTAAATTGTGAGCATATTATCATCTAAATCATAGAATTGCCTTAATAGATTCTTCCAACCAGTGATCAGTAGCTTTTCGATATTGATCCCATACGATGTTATCTTGTAAAATTGGCATAGATTCAAGCCATCGACAAACCAAAGTAAACAGACTAGGTTCAGTCGAAGTTCGTTCGAACTCATCAGATTTTTTGCCGTTGAAACATTCGGTATACGATTTACAACAATTCACTCGATTTTCCTATAAACATGTACATAAATTATACAAATGTTTTTTAAAAATAATATTATACATAGATACCTACCTAGGTGTCTATATATAATTATAATTTATATCCATAACTAAAGATGTTAATTGCAATTCAAATTAAGAGTGCTCTTTATTGAAGCTACCATAAACATAATATTTTTAACATAGGTTGTGCTATACACGTATATAATACTATTAGATTAGGGAAAGGTTTACCCATAATCCACTTTATTTACACCAAATAATTTATACCTTAGTTAATCCAAATTTATTTTCGATCATACGGAATTGAAGACTCTGGAAGCCTGACGCTGGTTTCAGATAATCACGAAATTTAGCGAAATCATAATGGCTCATCGTCTCCAAGACTTCAAAATGTTCTATTAATAACTAAAAGAAACAAACTTATATTAAGGTATATAAAATTACTGATAGGGTTATACCTAACTAACTGAATCACCCGGTATTTCGGTATCGAGTTCAACTGTATCACAGTCAGTAATTGTTCCTAGGTACCTAATATATTTTATCTTTTAAAAAGGGTACTTTCTTATCCGTAAAAAATTAAATAAATATAACAACTGTTTTTCCTTATCGCTAAGATAACCCATATAAACAAAAAAGTTTTGTTAAAAAATACAAAAAAACTATGTCAGCAACGTTTTAGGGGTTGAATTTCGAGATGAAAAGTATATAGTGATCACTGATCTTCCTCTTGTTTTGTATGTCAAATACGCAAAGTTTTATCCAGATCGGAATAAAATTGTAGATTTTTAAACAAATTTACAAAGCCAACATAACTCGCACTTTATTTTATTTATATTATAATAAATATATGAATAATATTTTTTACTATTGGATAGTTCATTTTATATTATTATTTTTTGTATTTAACATGGCCAATGGGGGAAGGGTTAATGCCCCTTCAGCCCGCCTTGGATATGCTACTGCTGGTACACCTGTTTGTCAACAAGTATAACAAATTTCAACTACTACACTCGTATTTTATATTAAATATCTGACCGACTATGCTTTACTATTGCCACACAACTAAACTAAATAAAAAACAAAACATTTAGGCGCCTAACATATTATTTACGGGTCTGATCAAATAAATATTTCAATAGCTAAAAACCTGCTTCTGACAACGTGGATCATTTTGCAAAAAGACGCATAATAATCGGTCCAGTAGTTTTCAGTCTATTAATCTCAGATTAACTGTATAAGTATACACTATTGTTAAATAAATCGGAAATTTCATAGAAAAAAAATTGAACTTTTCGGAAACCCACATTCGCCATCTTAGAGAATGAATTTTAAAAAAAGCTTGTTAGAAATTTAATTTTGAAAAACCCTTTCTTATGTCGGCTTTTTTAAACTCTAATTTATTTATTATTTATTCTATTTGTTTATGTAAGTATTTATACAAACTAACCTTGATAATGGACGATATTCTACCAAGACGCTTTAAAATGTTGAACATTGCCATCTCGTTAGTCTAAATTATTAATTAATACATTATGTAAAACTAAAACAAATATGAAATAATAACTAAAACCAGTATCTAATACTATTATATATTCGATTGAATTCTGATTAATTATTTTTACACGACGTCAAAATAGGTACTTACCCAAAGATTAGTAGCTAATAATTTACTAACGATATCCATTTCGAACAAAATCTGCTTGAACCATAACTCGTAGGCTGAAATTGATAAAATGATTAGACAATAAAATAATGAGTTTTTCGCGTTATTAAATTGATTTGTATCACCTTAACTAAACTTAATTTGACTCATTCAGGACCTAACTGTATTATACTATTATCATTAGGTATGTATAAAATAGACACCAAAAATTAGATTTCAGAGTCCGGCCTCCTCTGTTTTTTTCGAAGTTCAATAAAACAAAAAGTATTATATAATCTATAAATAAATGAAAATGTCGGTCAATTATTGTATTGGTTAGCCAGTATCTTCAAATACTAAAAACGTATATTAATGTCAAACGTTGTGCTCTCCGTGTGACGAGCAAAACATTCCCAGTTAATATAATTTTTTGTGTGGTTAGGTTATTAAGCCAGGCTCCCATGAAGAATTGCATGACTCTACTGACATTAAAAAATAATGAATGCACCTATATTATAATATTATTTGGCCGAAAATTCATTAGGTCGCATTAAACTATATACAGTTACTTACTACAAAAAAAATTGAAGAAGAAAACTAAATATCGTTCAAGACCGAAATAATAAAACCCACTCAAGACGACATATTATTTTGTTCATGTTTTAAACATTTCAATAAATATAGGATAGGTACCTTGATGTGTAATTATGAATAGATGCTCGTCCTCAGAAACCCTACCGTTCTGTGAGCTCAACATGGTCTGTGCGTTCAATAGCCTATCGAGTTGTAGATAATCCGCGTAGTTTTTGGACGCGGTGAAATTCTGTTTACGTCTTCTGCAAAAATACCGAATATGAAAATTAAATTTAAACGAAATACAAGTTTGAATATCAATAAAAATAATATAAGTAATCCAAACACAGTATTTATATAAGTACTTTTGTTCTATATATTAGGCTGTTTTGATTTTAAAGATCACAAAAAATACATAAGATTCACTTGGAATCAAGTGAAATTTTACTGTTATAAGAATAGCACATTTGTAGAAATACAAATTAAGTTTTTATAACTTTTTTTACACATACAAGGTGCGGCAGAAAGAACTCCGTAGTTGTATAAGGTTTTAGTTTGGGTTTGGGTGGAGCATGTAATCACTATAAATGTAGCTGTCTTTCAGGATTCGATGCCATTTTTAGCATTCATCGTGGCTTGGTCGGGAGAACATCGTGCGTTTGTTATCGAGGAATTTATTAATAATGGCGGTTCACCGATAACGTGCGTTTCGTATTCGGTTCGCGCTTAATCAACGTGATCCCGTTCCCGATAGCAAAACCATACATAATTGGGTATCAAATTTTAGGCAAACAAGTTCTGCAATAAAAAGAAAATCGACGGGCCGACCTCGGACTGCAACAGGTCCAGAAAATGTGGCTACTGTAACAGTGACCTCTAATCGCTATTGTGAGATGCTTGAAAATTTTCTTCGGCCAAAATTGAACGATTTTTTTCATAAGTATGGACAACGAAATTTGTGGTTTCGACAAGATGGTGTAACAGCACATACAGCTCGTCGTTCACTTAGCATTCTGCGAGAAATGTTTCCTGGACATAATGTCTCCTTGTGAGGTGACATTGGGTGGCCGCCACATTCACCAGATTTGAACCCATGCGATTTTTTTCTCTGGGGTTATCTAAAAGCCCAAGTGTACCAACATCGTCCATAAACTTTGGAAGCACTGAAGGAGGTAATAACCCAGATAATTGCTGCTATCCCGCCCGAAATAACCCGTAGAGTCATAGAAAATTACCGAGAAAGGCTCAATCAGTGTATCGAAAATGAAGGCCGCCACTTAAGTGATATAATTTTTAAAAATGATTAATATAAAATGGCATTTTATGAACAATTTATAAATAAATTTTTTTTTTTGATATTTTGACTTGGTTTGGTTTTTATTAGTTTCCTTAATCAGGGAGTTCTTTTTGCTGCACTCTGTATTATGAAGTTGTATAACTCAACCACTTTTAGTCCAAACAAATATTCAATCAAGATTAATTTTTAAAGTTACGAAAAGACCTTACTATCGGTCTTTGGTTATAGATCATCTTCATAGACTATGAGTTAAAAAATTAAAAATTAAAAATTAAAAAAAAAAGAAATCTGAAAATTTGTATAGATTTTTACAAATGTACTATTCGTATAACAATAAAATTTCACTTGATTCCAAATGAATCTTATGTATTTTTTTGTGATTTTTAAGAACAAACTATGTACAACCTCGTGACTTTCGAACTTAATGGGTAAATGTAATTTAAATGAAAGTATCGCTACTTCCCTGTTATTTAAATGTAAAAACCAAATATGCGTTGATCAAGTTCTACAATTTTTTTTTTTCAAATTTTTTTCGGGTAAGTTAGAGACTGCGAAACAGCAATTTTCAGTCTTATATCGAAAAAAAAGTTTAAAAATCAAAACAGACTACTAAATATATTTATATATTATAATATAATATACTATTTTATATAGGTACTTATATCAATATTCTTATATTGTATATAAGGTAGGTAAGTGATGCCTATCTAATTATTAAATCAAATTCGGTAACACTTACTTGTTTTGCTGTTCGTTGATGTAACTCATAATTGTGTAACGATTCACCGGAAAAATTCGATAATTTTTTTATACAATAATTAATTTTTAAGGTAAGTAGGTAGATCAAGGTAGGTATAGATGAAATTCAAACGTCGATTCGTTTTAACGGCTAAGTTCGTTATGTGCGGCGGAAACCCACTAGGAAAAAACTTATAGCAAAAGCACCGGAGTAATACAATACTTTTTTCAATAAAATTAATACCTACGTCAAACACGTAGGTTACGCATCAAATTATGTAAGGATTGATGTATCCTGCCACTATTTGTTACATAATATTATAAAGTTCATATAGATATGCTCTTTATAAATTGCATGGTTTACATTACGTGCCTATGGGTATTATATTTTATATTGATCGATAATTATCGGCGAACGAGTTCATTGACCATAATATACCTATGTCTGTTTACTTATTTCAAAATATTTGTTTGGCACATATGATTACCAATTTACCTATACTAAAAATTAATTCTTACTTATAACTGCCTGTAAATAAAATGTATTCCCCGATCCACAGGACTAGATATATTTGATTTCGGGATGAAATCGAAATTTATTAATAACCCAAGGTACCTATTTGAATTTTTGGTTTAATCGAATTTCATTTGAATGTAAACTGTACTTTCAATTGAAGACTAATTATCTAGTTACCTAGATACCACGGATACAGACCGTATTTAAGCATTGAAAAATTTAAAATTCTCAAAGTGTTTGACAACCACGGGTTCCACAAAATGGAAAATTAATTTAAACGGTTTCAAGTCGACTACGATTACTTTTAATTTTCATCAAATGTCCTCTTAAAATCTCTATTTATGGACTATGATACTTCAATGTCAACCTATACTTATTCAAACGTAATATTATACTAGGCGTAATATACTTGACAAACGTTTCACTTAAGCTTTCTACTTGCACGATAAACACAAAGCTCAAAACTAATATACGATCCAAACTATACTAGTTGTAGCATCATGTTCCCCTTTTAAATTTACATGTTCCGAAGATAATGTTGTTAATGTGTCTAAAACTTTTTTAAATATTGATCTATGAAATATTTTCACATCAAAAATCGTTTGTGGATTTGAATTTGAATCCAATATTTTGGGTAGGTATATCCATAGTCTTCTACTATGAATTCGATGAAAATTGTAATTGGAATCAATGTCTAATTGCTCTAATTTACAAGCAAATTATATTGAATATTGTACAAGTTTATTTATGTCTATAATACCTATCATCGTTACTAATTTCTTTTAAAATGTCAATAGATAATAGTATTATTTAATAAAATGAATGCATCAATTACTTACATTTAGCTCTATTGCTTCAATTTTTTCTATTAAAATTTTTATTTCATAGTATAAGATGTTCTTTATAAAATACAAAGCTATATCCATACAGCTTTTATCGACTATTCGAGCAGTCCGCCTTGTTTTTTAAAGGTTCCTTCAAGAAAATGTATAAAGAATTTGATTTAATTAAATGGGTACTTAATACAATTTTGAAGTATTATCATCTAATATTAATTGATAATATTTTATCATTCAATCATTTTAGATTTTAAGTGGAATGAAGTAGCTTATGGTTTTACAAAAATTTTTTTTTGTTCTGTTGACAACTTTTCTACCAACAATATTTTTCTCCAATTTATAATGATATCACTTTTTCTAAAGTTAAATATGACTGGAGAGGTACTTTAGAGAAGTTATTTTTCGATTTTCCAGGAGTTTTTCAACAAATATGAAAAACCGAAAAAAACGGGAAAATGTATGAAATGTAGGTATTAGTAGGTATTATATTAAACATATTATTAATTAAAATATATATATTTAATTATTTTACCATAATATAATATATACGATATGTATATGACATATATTGTTGACAAAGCATCACTATCAACTGAATTCCGCTTAGAATCGTTTATTCGTTAGCAATATTTTATCATTGCTTATAGATATACATTAAATTCCGTTCTGTATCCAACATTCTCAACTTCCCACTTACAACAGTGGCTGCACCCGTCCGCATTATCGAAGGACAGTTTATTGTATTTTAAATTTATTAACAGTAAAAGAAATTATTTTGAATTTCTTTGCAAGTAAATTGCCACCAAATATATTCTATTCCTGTTCTATTATAATATTATATTTACAACATACCTACTTAAATATATCATCTTACCCTTTTTTAATATGGTCTGGAAATACAGGCATGGTGGGAACTCCAGCGGGTAGAACTGCCACCGTATCATCTTACCCTATGTTTCATCAATTTCACATTTGTATGATTTTCTAAGGCTTCTGTCTAAACTAAACTTTAAAGTACCAATACCATTTATATTGTACAAATTATAACTATAAACATTAAATAGATGTGTACATATTTTTAAATTTGATTAATATAACATAATAAAAAGTTAATACCTAACTTTTTAAATTGAGTACTTACTACTCGTAAATACTACCCTAAATATACTTAGTATATTTATTTATACTAAGTATTACCATCAATTGATTAATTATATATACAATTATAACTTATAATTGTATATAATCTTATAATGTATAAGATTATAATTATATTGTAAAATATATAATCAATATGACTACCTAAAAATTTTAAAACTTACCCTACATTATATGTATTTGTATATATTTGCTTACTTATACATTTATAAGCTCCTCTATATGACAATATATGTAACTAAATGTCCATTTTATTAATGTCAAAAAATTAAAATGTATTAAATCATACCTTAGAAATTGTATTTATACTGTTAGAATAATTATAATTTGAAAAGTGGTAATTGTGTAAATTATGTGCAGTTATCATAGACATATAATAGAATAGAGTATAGATCAAGAATTCTTCCATAAAATAATAGACATATTATTATGTCTATGACAGCTATGTTAAAAAGTACCGACAAAAATAATTAAAATAATTATGATATTTTTATAATACATAAACTACCTAATGTATAATGTGTAAGGCTGTCTACACACGGAGCTATTCATTAGTAACTAATAACTGACACAAATCACTAACCAGTCCGCTTTGTGTCACAACGTATGTTATTCAATGGAACACAACAGATGGTGTTACTGGTTACTATTTAGTTAATAATGTATTAAATATCAGTTCCAAGTGATTACTATCGAATCACTTCCAAGTTGCAACACAAACTTACATTGAATTGTGTGAATTTTTAAAATTTTATTTTTTCTAATTTTCTTCTATTAAGAAGAATAAAAAGATGAACAAACAAATGATTAACGTAAAGTTGGTAGAAGAGGTAGAGAAACATCCCATTCTATATAACTTTAATAAACATTTCTTTTGTTTCAATATAATATGAATGAATCCAAAATCTTCTTCATCTTCTAATTATTTTGTTATGGTAATAATAATATGCAATCATCATTTCTTCATCCATGGTGTTGAAAAATGCTGATGCAGATCCTACTCCCATTACCAAACGGTCAATAGAATAAACTAGTGATTTCGATCACTTTTCAGTAGGCTCACGTAAGGATCTCAGTTACCAATGTGTTAGTTATTGGTAAGTTATTTAAATCTCAAACCAGCTTAGTTTCTTTTGAGTAGTTTCGTGTGTAGAGAGGGCCTTAGTACAGTACCCATTATAGTTGTTACTTATATTTTAATACATTAAGATAAATAAATTTAAAATATTAACATAATAATCAAATTACCAAAATGTAATAAACTATTCAAGCTAAAATCTTTGGTTATCATAAAACCATTAGTGAATAATTTTAGATATTTAGTTAAAACTATTATAGTACTCTACTATTCTATAAATCATATCGTACAAATCTTGAATAATTAGTTAATTACTTTACTAAATTTATATAGGTAGGTAATTTTGAATAATAATCAAATTTAGTTTGATTTATTAAAGAAATTTATTTTATAATACAAATTAGTCAATATTTTATAATGAGTAGTGATCAATGAACCAGTGGAATTATTAATTAATTATAAAATTGTAAAATTAAAGTTCAATAACACATAAAAAATTGTATTATTGTTGTTAGAACTGTATTGTTTATTGCATCATGGTTTATCATACATAATCAATTAGTAATAATAGTAAATGTTCTATATATGTCATAATGTCATATACTTACACTTAAAAATAAGGTGAAAATTAAATATAATATTTGCAACACATAATATATTATTTTTTTCTTTGTTTCATTTTATTTTTTCTAATAATCATTTCTTCTACGGTAATATCGACGTCCATTTTACCATGTTCATTTGGATCACGCTGCAGTACACCAAGTTTTTTCATCATGTTTTCTATATCTGGGTTCATACCGTTAAATGATAATCTTGGCATAGGTAGAATATCATAAAATGGTTCCCAATTATTGATCTTAATGACGTCCTTTTTCTTTGATTTAGTTTCTGATTTAATTATAATATCTGTTTCCGGTGCGTCTATATTTGGATTCATAAACTTCATTTTCATTAGACCTTTAGAAAAATGTTTATGAGGATCTACTTTTGAAGACTTAATTTTGCCCATGGTTGCAGTAATTTAAAAACCAGTTAATAAAAATTTAAAAAAAAAACTCAAGTTTATTTTTAATTTACAGTTTTGTATTACACTGATAGACTAATAATAATAATAAGTTAAACTTCAAATTTAAAAAAAATCAAGACTACACACCGAACATAAAACTAATACTCCAAGTAAACAAGAATGATTATAAACAATAACATAACGCTGCCAATAATTGATAAGAAAGCCTAGTGGCTCCTGTGCTGAGAAAACATTCCTAGATAGGCAATACATAGACACAAATGCACGAAGTAAAGTTAGCTAAAAGGCGCAAAAAGAAAATTAGTAGGTAGTTATAACCTTAAATTTAATCTAATCTATGGTAATAACGTGCAGCAAAATAAACCGCTCGAGGTTGAAAGCATATGAAAAATAGAAGGAAATCTCATTGACAAAATTTCATTTCACACACAGATAGCTAAAGAAGTGTGATGAATTGAAAAGAGCTATGAATGAAATAAAAATATCATTTAATATTTAATAGTGTAAAATTATGTGGAAACTTAAAATAATCGAACATCGGCAATATTAATAGATTCAAAGAATGAGGTCTTATATTGAATCCAATACAATTATTTATATAGGTATTATTATAAAATAAATTAAAATTTGTTTAAACATTTAAAATTTAAAATTTAAAAAAATGTTTTTAACATATTTTTAAAATTGTATTAAAAACAGTTGTTTTTTTACAACTGATTATCATTATTTAAACTTTGAAATCATATACAAAGAATTTCTAAAAAAAAAATTGTTTATTAACTAAAGTTAACTAAATGATATTAATTTCATTAAAATTTTAACCGTTCAACTAAAATATTTTGATCGCTTCTTAAATTTAATAATTGTTAAGTGCAAATTTACTTGCTTATTTTAAGGAATGGTTTCGTTAACACAATTTTGATGGCTCAGTCCACTTAAATTATATCAAACCCAGTAATATTATAGGAGGTATGTCCCTCTGGGAGGTACCCCCTCCATCATAAATACACCATTGAATCCTAATTGTTATGTAAATTTGTTCACAGTCTAATGTGTGTTGTAGTTTATTGATGAAAAATACTCTAATCAAAGATCCGGAACCGTAGTAAACAACACTGTGAAGAAATTTCTTAAATTTTTCCTTAATACCTACCTATCTCAAAATAATTACCAAGTTTGTTGTAATTGCTTTGTATATATTGTAATATTTAAAATAGTTAAATTAATCTATATATATATATATTTGTTTTATTTCTAGGGAATCGTAAATAAAATTCTAAATAGCTGGGATGAAGACGGAGGAGAAGAAGATTTATTGGGAACTGTTCATCCATCTCATTCTATACCTAATACTAGAGAGCCTATATAATATATAGGCTTATATAGGCTCTCTACCTATTACCTAATGTTAAAAAATTATTGTATTTTGAGCCCAGAATATAATATTCAAAGATTGTCTTATAAGCTGAGTCACATGTTTCATAATTGGTGAGGTACAATAAAAGTACCTGCTCCCGTCAGAAGGGTACCCGGGAATTTTTTCTGGGGGGGTCCATCATTTTTATTTTATTTGCTCTATAATTATAATTGTAGTTAAATTCATAATCAACAGCTGATTACTGTTAATAACACTATATTATAATAATAGTCATAAAAGTTATACACACACACAGCATTGTACACATATACACATTTACAGAAGGGTTTACTACATTTATGGGAAAGGGGAGCAGGACCCTAAATTCCCTCTTCGGTACGCCCATGGATCCTGTTCAAATATAAGTATGTTATTGAATAAATAGAAACGTTTTGAGACAAGTGACACAATCTACACGTTTTAAGAATTTTTTTGATACAAAAACGATAAAAATTGAACCCCTCGTTTAAGAGTTATGAACTTTTTAATAAATATTAAATTTAGTTTTTCAGATTTCATATCTAAGGCCATGATATAATTATATCATGGCCTACGTCTATAAGATTTTACTAGTTCGCACTATAGCCCCTCGTGAGACTGCGACAACTCGTTCATGTTGCTTGAAAACGACACTAGATGTCTCTGTTGTGATATGTTTATTGAGACGTGTCCACTGTTCTCGCCGTACGGACCTTACCGGAAGTTCAATATACTTTTTTCGAGATTTGCCGACGGGACTGTAACACATTGATATCATTAAAAGTTACTTCGGTCAGTATTTGCGCGAAAGTGACGGTCCTAAGCGCCTCAAAACGTTTTGCCGTTTTAGCGATCTGCTCGAGTCGGCTTGCCGTAGTTCAGCATAAGTACTGGTCGGCGATCCGATGAAAAGTTAAGATCATACTTCACAGGATCATTTCTGTAGTATGCATCGTCCCCTCCAGGTGCAAATCTGGAGTCGTCTTCGGCCACGATGATGAAACTTGTCCATTTGCCTGAGCGTGAGACAGCTGGTGGCTTGTCAAGTAATTGACGACGGCCATTCAGCGACGATGATCGCAACCGGGTCTTGAATCCGGGGGGTAGATGGACAGTCTGAGTGGTCCACTGAAAATCGCCGATATTCGTTTCCGAATTCGGCGATCCATTTAATCTTATACATTTCACGTAAACCGGTATCGTCCACTCAAAGCGGTCGGTCCTGCGCGTGCGTATACGTGATCGCGCATGTACGATTCCCCCTACGGTGGCGGGAAGGGTTTTAGGCGCGTTCAATTCGCCCGTTATTCCCGATACACCTGTCGTGAATTCCACTCGGCCGTGGTTGTGTTCGACAACCGCGCCACATAAAACCTGTGCAGGGTACCTATCAAAGTCTACTGTTCGACGCGCCACCTCGCTACGTGCCGTTGATAAATATAATAATTCAAATTATAGGCAATTATTGTCGTAACGATTGTTATCGCGAACAACGTGCGACGTATTTCAGCATACACGGTCTCGGGACTATTATAATTGTATACCCAATTATGAATTTGAATCGAAACGATGCGTTATTATCGCGTCGCGATAGGGGCCGCCGGTGATTATTATTCAGCGGTTTCAACACGGTACGGACCAAAGTTAGTACGGCCGGGAATTCACGTTGCGCGACTGTAACGATACAAGAAAAACAAAAATCATCGATATTTTTACGCGTACGTACTCCGGGCACAAGGAAAAAAAAAAACATTATATTTTTATTATTAAAACCGGCCGTTTTTACCCGGTATTATTAATCGGCGCGCAGATAAGACACAATTATTTGCCGGTTGATAACGGATTGCGCAACAAGTGCGCGCGCGCGCGTGTGTGTGTTAATAATTTATTCAGAATCGATTATTATTATCAGATGCTCCTCTTCCGTTCCATTTCGCCGCGCTTCAAACCTTTGGTAATTTATTGTTTTCCGCTGTTTCTCGCCGTCATGTCCGAAGAAGTCGGTGCCAGAGTGCTTTCCGGCACCGCGTTGTCCAAGTAACACAATTCAAATTTTATATAGTCAATACTTACGCTCGTAATTTATAACACTGTTTTATTTTCGATTTCATATCTGTCCACGTTTTTAGACAAATTAAACAAGGTTTAAAAGAGCAAACGGCTTTGCTGGCCGAACAGTTCAATGGGTTTAAAGCGCGTCTTGTCATCGTTCAAGTCGGTGGTCGTGACGATTCAAATGTTTACATACGCCAGAAAATCAAGTCTGCTGCCGAAGTCAACGTGGAAGCGTCCCACGTACAATTTCCCAAGACCATCACCCAAAGTGAAGTATGCAATTGCCCTTTGATTTTGTAATTTGTTTTAGACACACTAATAATTTATATTATGTGTTCTTAACTATACCTTAAAATTATTTAAATTATTATTTAGTCCTACTTAATTTATATATATATAAATCTAAACTGGACAAGTTAGATATTTTTAATCAACTAGTTAAAGTTAATTAACTTTAATATAAAAATGAATAGAGTTAGAATAGAAATTATTTTCTTAAATGGTCTAAAATTCTAACTTAGTTATAAATTAGTGAAAATAAGTAACTTAAGTTATAATGAAAGATACAGGTTAATTTTTGTTCATAGTTTTAAATCCCTGAATTAAATTATTAATAATAATTAACAAAATAACAAATAAAATAATATATATGTACATTGAAAACTATTTATTAAGAATCTTAAGGGACCAAGAGATTTCTTTCATTGTTTTCGCTGTAGAGATTGAGAAGAATACTAATGTATGGGATATAAAGCACACTAACCACTATTAAGTTAGAGCTTTTCATTAAAAAGAGTTTTCACTGTATATATTATACAAGTAGATGCATATAGTGATTATTAAAAATATTTACGAAATATTAACATTTGCTAACATAGTTACCTATTTATTTTAAAATTTTCTTAAAAGCTATAGGTACATTTTTAGTTAAAATAAGAAGTTATAATTTGTTATTAATTTTTGTTGATTTATTAAAGTTATTTGGTAAATATTAAATAGTCAATTTTGTAGTGTATTCATTTACTTTGATGACTGGCTTATTAAATTATTATATAAAATAAATAATAGGTAGTTATTCTTTATAGATTATTATAATATATATATACATATTTTAATGACCTTAATTAAATATTAACATAAACATTTGTGCTATTTTTTCTTTTATTTTTATATGATTACAAAATAACAACTTAATTAAAATTAGTTTTTTTTTTAACATGTTAGATTAGATAATAATAAGCATTAAATCTAATCAATTAAGTTAGACTCATTATGAATTAAAACCAATTAGTGAACTTTCACATTAGTCAGTCCCCAGCTTTGAAATACATATTAAATATGTATATTTTTGGTTTTATTTAGTTACTTTCTGAAATCAACAAATACAACATTGATTCATCTGTGCATGGTATTATTGTTCAAATGCCATTAGATTGTATAGAAAATATAGATTCACATTTAATCACCAATGCCGTTTCTCCCGAAAAGGATGTCGATGGGTAAATATAATATAAATTCTATACTTAATTATTATGGCTTCAATTGTCTGAAATGTATATTTGGTGTGTTTACTTTTGCAGCTTGAACATTGTTAACGAAGGTCGAGTAGCCATTGGTGATTTAACTGGTCTAATACCATGTACTCCTAATGGAGTCATACAGTTAATTAAAAGGTAAAATGTTTATTAGCTGTAAAATAAATTACATTTTTTTTAAATTTTCTTTCTGTTACAATTTCAGTAGTGGTATTGAAATTGCTGGAAAAAGAGCAGTAGTATTGGGTCGCAGCAAAATTGTTGGAGCACCCGTTGCAAGTTTACTCATATGGCATAATGCTTCAGTAACAATTTGCCATTCTAAAACCAAGGACATTGAAAAAGAAGTTAGTCGTAATAGTTTGAATATGTAAATTGAGTGCCTACCTAATTATGATCAATATTTTTGTATTCAATTAGGTATCCAGAGCAGACATTTTGGTAGTGGCCATTGGCAAACCAGAATTTGTTCAGGGTTCATGGATCAAACCAGGAGCAGTAGTAATAGACTGTGGCATCAATTCTCTTCCGGGTAAACATTTCTTAAATGACCATTAAAATTGTGACATTGTATGTAAAATATTCCATTTTATCATTTGTAGACTCTTCAAAGAAGTCTGGATATCGTCTGGTTGGAGATGTTCATTATTTTTCAGCTTCTCAGATAGCATCAGCAATAACACCAGTCCCTGGTGGTGTTGGCCCCATGACTGTTGCCATGTTATTGTCAAATACTGTACAAGCGGCTACAGAGGCTGCAAATAAAATCTTTAAGAGTCAATGGAATTTGAGTGTACTTCCATTAAAACTACAAAAACCAGTTCCGAGGTAAATAAAATATTTATTATATTTATAAAAAGATAACATTAAGCATTTTTTCTTGTTTACAGTGATATTGAAATTGCCAGAAGCCAAGAACCAAAGAATATAATGTTGTTGGCTAAAGAAATAGGTTTAGAAGACAATGAAGTAACTTTGTATGGTAACAAAAAAGCAAAAATCAGTATATCTGTTTTGAATCGTCTGGAGAATATAAATAATGGAAAATATATTGTTGTTACTGGGTATGTAAATGTAATACTTTTAATATCAGAATATTGCTTACTCTTTATACATAGTTAAAAATAAGACTAAATATATATAATATATATTTAAATATATTTTTAATAGTACACTTGACAGCTATGGACTTTCCCTGTTATTCTCAGGGATGCAATTTTTGGATTTTAGTGGTAGGTAAAATTAATACTTTATAATATATCTTAACCATGGTATTATATTATCTACCATATAAACATAATAAATAACAATTAAATATATCAGACCTTGGTAGATAGTTCTTTAATTTGATATTTGGTTACATAAAGAAAATGAATAATTGTTTCTTTTGTTTTGATGATATAGTTATTTATTTAGTATAATTTAAACGAACATAAAAGCTCAATTAAATAAAATTGTACACACAACACAATTTAAAATTTTTTAAAGATAAGATTGTGTTAGATTAATGACTAATCAATTCTAAAATATTGTAACTAATTAAATTATTTTTTAGTATAACACCAACTTCTCTTGGTGAAGGCAAAAGTACTACGACTGTAGGGCTTGTTGAAGCATTAGCAGCACATACTAAAAAAAACACTATTGCATGTTTGAGACAACCATCACAAGGACCAACATTTGGTATTAAAGGTTTGTGAATTCCAAAAATAAATCTTCAAATTTTTTTTTTATACACAAACATCTTGTATTTCTCAGGTGGTGCAGCAGGTGGTGGTTACTCTCAAGTGATACCTATGGAAGATTTTAATCTTCACTTGACTGGTGATATACATGCTGTCACAGCTGCAAATAATTTAATGGCTGCACAGATTGATGCTCGCATGTTTCACGAGGCTACTCAGAAAGACGAAGCATTGTACGATCGTCTGGTACCAACGGTGAAAGGTGTACGCAAATTCTCATCTATACAATTGAATAGGTTAAAAAGGCTTGGCATTAATAAGACTGACCCATCCTCATTGACTGCTGAGGAAATCAATCATTTTGTTAGGTTAAACATAGATTCAAACACTATATCCTGGAATAGAGGTATGCATACATAATTTTAATATATGTATTCAGAATAATTATAATTTATTTTTACAAGACATTGTCTTTTTCAGTCATAGATACAAACGATCGTTTTTTGCGTAAAATTACAATCGGCCAGTCACCAACTGAAAAAAACCATACCCGACAAACATGTTTTGATATATCTGTAGCCAGTGAGATCATGGCTATTTTGGCACTAGCTAAAGACTCCAAAGATCTAAAGGAAAGATTGTCTAACATTGTTGTCGCTCAAGATACAAATGGTAAAGACATCACTGCAGATGACTTGGGTATGACTGGCGCAATGGCTGTGCTTTTGAAAGATGCTATTGATCCAACATTAATGCAGACTCTTGAGGGGACACCTGTGTTGGTGCATGCCGGTCCATTCGCTAACATTGCTCATGGTGCTTCATCCATTTTGGCAGATTTGCTGGCTGCTAAATTAGTTGGCTCTGATGGTTATGTGGTCACTGAAGCTGGTTTCGGATCAGATATTGGTAAGTTAATTATTTATTACAATGTGAAGATGAAAAAAAATATAAATATAGTTTAATTTTTCATTAGGAATGGAGAAGTTTTTCAACATCAAATGCAGATATTCCGGTCTCACACCTAATGCTGTAGTTTTAGTGTGTACTGTTAGGGCTTTGAGAATGCATGGAGGCGGTGCTATCAATCCTAATACATCTGTGAAACCTGAAGAAAATGAAGTAATTGTGTTATAATTATTTGTTATAATCATATTTAATTATTATTGTTTATTTTCTGTAGGAAGCATTACGTAAAGGTACGAAAAACTTGCAAAAGCATATTAATAATGGCATCAAGTTTGGTGTTCCTGTAGTAGTGGCCATCAATGCTATGAACACAGACACTGAGATTGAATGGAAAATTATAAGAGACGCAAGTCTTGAAGCTGGTGCAGTGGACGCAATTGTGAGCACCCATTGGGAAAATGGAGGGTCAGGAGCTATCAAATTAGCTGAAACTGTCATTCGAGCTTCTGAACAACCTCAACAATTCAAGTTACTTATGCAAATATAGTTTTGCGTCTAAAATATTGTATTAAATTTGTGTTTGTTGGCTAGGTTTTTGTACGATTTGGACATGTCATTGCAGCATAAGATTGAAACTATTGCAAAAGAAATGTATGGAGCTAAATCCGTAGAGTTTAGCGAAGCAATGCTTAACAAACTGATTAATTATGAGTCTAAGGTATTTATATATTCTGATAATATAGATTTTCTGTATGAAAAAAGTATTTTGTCTTCGCTGAAATAAAACATTGTATAATATAATCTCTTAAACTATTAATAAGTTAGAGTAAATGTATTATGTATGTAGTTATAGTTCTGTTTTGATTAGAGTAGTGTTTTACTTTGTGACCATTTATAATAGGGTTATGGAAAGTTACCAGTTTGTATAGCAAAAACAGCATTGTCATTAAGTGGAAATCCAAATCTTAAAGGTGTTCCAACAGATTTCACACTCCCTATAGTAGATGTGTCTTTGTCTGCTGGAGCTGGCTTTATCATTGCAATAGCTGGAGAGGTAATTTATAAATAAAAATGAATGATACCTTATATAATTGCAAAATTGCTAACGTATGTACTTTATGAATTCAGATTTCTAAGATGCCTGGGTTGTCTACTCGTCCAAGTATCTATGATATTGATTTAAACATTGAAACAGGAGAAATTATTGGTCTTTTTTAGTTTTTCTAATTATTTTATACACATGTGCCATATAAATATCAAACAACATATATCATTTGTGTTAACATTTAAATACAATGTGTGTTTGTTATATATCGATTAAATTTTAATTGTTTATAAAATAATGTTATTTACAATCTTTTTTGAATTTTATATCAAATATATTGATTATGGTATTTTCCATTTTATTGAAAGTTATTTATTTACACAATTTATTGCAGAAAAAACTTGAATTTTATATTTTCTTAATACTGTATATTTGTTTTATAGTAAATATCTAATGAAGTATGAATATCTAATTAAACTCAACTTTTAATACTATTCTCCTACAAATATTAAATTATTAACATATTAATTGAATGGGTAAAATAGTTAAGCTATAGTTGAACCATGGATCAGTGTAAGCATTAGGTACTTTAAACAAATTAAGTTGGCAAATAGCGTTGGCGCAACAAAAATTAAATTTAACGAAGCCTTAACTTCTATATGAATATTAAGTATAACTCGTGCAAATAATCATAAAAAAAAAAAAGATTCAAACTTTTGGGTTTTCTCTATTAAGTGGAATACGAAAATGAAGATTCAAATGAAAAAACAAACGCCTTTTCAAATATTGTTTATTCTAGTTATTGATCATTCAAACTTTTACTGGTCTCCCATAGTCTCCTTTAATTATTACAATCCAGTTCATCACCTTTCTTGTGTGGTGAGATAACAATAGTCTTGTTTTACTCTTCTGGTAATTCTTCGTCTTTCCATATTTGTTTGTATACTTTGTTTATTGCTTTCGCATTAATGTATCCTTTCCACACTTAGTTTAGCCGGTATACAATCTTTTCCAGTGCCTTCCAATTCTTCAGAATGTTGATTGCTCTGGTGAGTAACTACATACAGAATTTCTAAAATTGGACAAAATAGAAAATATGTCTTGAAAATGTATTTAAATAACATTTATTGGTTTATAAAATTAAGTTTTTTATCAAATGCTTGTATAATTGTTGTTACAATTAGGTTGATTGATGTACCAGGTGATCTTTAAGTGATTACACAAGTAATTTGTAGGTGAAAGTATTAATTTGTTTTCTAGAACATTTAAGAAACAAACAGCTTTTCAATTTTATATTTATGTTATTTTTGGGGTAAAACCACTATCTACTTTAATTTCCAAATGGCAACCTATATAAAAAAGTAAATAAACATTTTTGATTTCTATCCAGCCGTTGACGGCATTTGTCATGTATTATTAACACGTATTATTATTTAAACGCGCCGTACTGCCACATAAATGATACTCCACTACTCTCCTCTAACCCAAACCTTTAAGTGGAATATCTTGTCAACGGATTGACAGAAATCAAAAATTTATTTTAATCAATACTCCATCTATTTATGGAATTTTTGATATAGATGACCATTTAAAAATCAAAAGTAGATAGTGGTTTTACTCCCGAAATTAAGAGTGGCATAACATAGATTGTAGAACATCTTGTTTCTTAAATGTTCTAGAAAACAAATTCTGGAAAAAGTAAATACTTCCCGAGATAATGAGTGTAAATGGATCACCTTGTATGTCAATAGTCAACTGAGTAGAAATGTGTCTATTCAAGATAAATTTTAATTAAATAGTTAAATTTTTTAAAATAAAAAAAAAAAAATTAACACAGAAATACTGATTATTCTTTTAATATGATCAAAGTTGAAATTGTAATAAAATGGCTTTTTACAAATATTATTAATGTTCAAATTTCTTTTCCTATAAAGAGGAAAAATTATACTTCAAAAATAAAATTTAGTCATGTACTTTCATGAAATAAATGTTTGGATAGCTTATGAACAATAAAATAACTTCACGAAAAACAAAATTAATTTAATTGACACATTGTTTAACTTATAACTTCAAATAATTGAATCTGAATTTTGGTTATATACTCTAATTATTTTTCAACAAATTAAGTAAGTTGTACGAAAAAAAGAAATGTATTAACTATATATTTCTTAAATTGTATTTCATACAATTTTAATAGTTAATCATTAAAAATATCATTTTACTAAATCATTTTGAAAAAAAAACTTTATTATTTTTCATACGAACATTTTTATTTTTATTTTATTTTTTAAATAACTTGATTACAATATTTTAAAAATAAAAACTATCCTATCTACATTATAAGAATAAAAATAAAAGCAATCTAAAATATTATCTATTTGATTTTGACAGCCGCCCTAAGTCGCGCTGATCTGCTTCTGGGATTTGATTCAACTTCTTCAACACTTGGAGTAATTACATGCTTGTGCATTTGATACCAATAACTGTCTTTGACCGCATCCATAGACTCTTTATTATAAGCTTGCATCGGATTAATATACTTTAAGGGAAGAATATTGGCTGTGTTATCATCAATGTTACCTTGCAAATGTCGTTTCACAATAGTGTCTTCAAGTGAATGAAAAGCCACTGTCACCATGACACCGCCCATTTTCAAATAACGGTTTGCTAATAATATACCATGGTTAATCTCATTCAATTCATTGTTGACAAATATGCGTAACGCTTGAAATACTTTGGTGGCTGGGTGTGTTGGCCTCTGTAACATATCAGTTCTTCTCTCGTTGTCACATACGTTTTCCACCAATTCACAAAAATCACGAGTAGTTTTCAAATGTTTGAATAAATACCTAAAATATGCATAGTATATTGTTAAAACTGAATGTCTTACAAATATTATAATCACATTTTAAAATTATAAAAACATAAACTTAAAACCTAAAAGAAATTTTAGATTAGATACTTTTAATAATGGCAATTATTTTATTTACCTAGCTTCGATTACAGCATTTGCAATTTTCCTAGAGTGTTTCTCTTCTCCATAAACTTTGAATATTTTATACAGATCTGATTGATCAGCTTTAGCCAAGACATCTGCTGCTGTTATGGTCTGTTCTTCGGGATCCATTCTCATATCTAAAGGGCCATTTTTACTAATTGAAAAGCCTCTAGACGCCGTGTCAAATTGCATAGAGGATGCACCAAAATCAAATAGAATACCATCAAAACTGTTTGGTTTACATCCTAAGGTTTTTAAAAGAAACGGCAAATCACTAAACTTGCCCTTCAAAGGTACAACCCTGTTTGGATAGCGTTCGGAAAGTTGTTTTGCTAGAGCGCATGCAGTTGGATCTCTGTCTAAACAATAAACAACTACTGAATCGTTTTCTTGCAGAATCCTTTCAGTATGCCCTCCAGCACCAAACGTCATATCTATGATGCATTTGGCTTTTTGCGGCGATAGATAACTAATTGCTTCCTCCAGTAGAACTGGCTTGTGAGGCCGTTTGCTTAGCTGGCGGACTGATTTTATTCTTGATTTTAAGAAAAGTGTTCGTAATAATGTTACTGTCATTTTTCTTCAATAGTTCTAAAGAATCTTTAGACAATACCACTGTACATTGGTTAGCAGTGAGCCCAGTCGCTGTTGATTGGATCGAACGCTTATATTTGTTGCAATAATAATTGTTGGCTATACGTTGAAGTGATTCGTGCTTTCTTATACAGTCACTGACGTCACCTCGGAAAGAATCACCTTTCTTGAAAGCTGCTCCTACTTGTATACGTATGTGTTCACCAAGATCCCTAAATGACCAATAAACAGCGTTAGTAATCAGTTATTACACTATGCCATAAATATACATATTATGTGTCTTCAAAATCAACCAGAAAAACAAAAAAATCGTTTTTGATGGATCAGAAATCTAGATTATTATTTACCTGCCAGTTTTAGAGGTGTCCACTGGCCATTGTTTCAACAGGTTCAAATAGTTCTTATAAAGATTGGCCATCAGAAAAACGTTGAATTTTCTTCACACAGGTATACGTTGATTTACTATGCCGAAGAGTTTAATATTTTATCACTAATCATACGTGATTGCGAACGTTGTTGCAATCACAGATATATAAAAATAATATGTAAGAATTTTCGTATCTGTGGTTGCAATCCATAAACCATGTCTATGTTGCGATCCGACTACCATGGTTCTGGTAAATACCACAATGTAACCAACAACAGATTTAGATAAAAAAAAAAAAAAAAACAAACGGTCATACTTTGTAGTTAGAGCACCATGACAAAATGTTGTGATGTTTCGCACGATTGGTGGGTGAAAAGTTGGGAAAGTAGAGGGGAAATTTAATTTATGTCTGCACGCAGATTAATCATTATTAACGAAAAACTATTCTGAGCAGTGAGTGGAATTTGGTTACACATATTTTGATAGGCCGTAGTATTTACTAATATTTAATACAAGATTAATCTTAGGTATACCTACCTACCTATCTACCTACATTTCGTACATTTGATTTTCAACGCCATTTTTTAAATAAAACCACCTAAGTGGGAAAATGTACGATTTTATTATTTTATAAAAACAAGGACGACGTTTTCTACCAGTAAAAATGATTTAATCGAAAAATGACAAGATACCTTTTTTTGTAGCCTGTTTGATTTAATTTCTTACGGTATCATCACCAAAACTTTTGAGTCACTTTTGAGCTTTTAAGGAGTTCTAATTTTTGGAAGTTTTTTGTTGTTATTCGGTTATAAATACACGTAGAAACTTGAAACTTGGTAATAATACTTATATTGGACTTACCTAGTCGTGGTGAAATTTCTAAAATCGTCGGACGACTTTTTGAAATCACTAAAATCGTCGGACGACTTTTTGAAATCAAATTTAAATGAAAATCGCTAACAAAAAAAAAAATACGGCAGGGTCAAATTATGTATTACCGAATTGCGAGTTAGAGTCGAGCAATGATTTATCGTTGTGTACAGACATAAATTAAATCAATCGCCTTATTTTCCAACGTCCAATTTTCAACCTACAATAGTGGTACAGCAATCAGCAATATCCGCCGTACCATGGGTACATCAGCTCTTGTTTTTATTTTCGGTGGATAGATGGGGCTGAATCTACGCTTCGCAGCGTGTCCGCACGACGGTTCATAATTGTAAAACCAACTTACAAATACGGGCTAATTAATAAAACGGTTAACCGTTATCGCGTTGTTATACCCGTTAACGTGTGTTTTCAACAAAACAAAATAACATTTGGTCGTATCCGTTACATGTATAAACGACGGTATTAATAATTGCGAATTAGCATTTAATCATAACATATTAAGTGTCTCTCACGTTTAGTTTAATCAGCCAGGTTTTCACGTTTACAGACCGGCGTCCTAGACGAATGATGATAGTTGTATACTTATAAAAAAAAAAAAAATGTTCGTTTTATAACCATAAATCTTCTAGGTTTCATCCGCACGTGACGTGTTCAGTATTTCGCACAATATATCGTACGCTTTACGCGTTCATTTTAACGTGTGCCGACTGCGGTGACCCCGAGCCGTCGTTCAATCGGGGTTTCTGAACTTTTCCTTACTTACGCATTGCCGCCCCCGCGCATGGATGTACACCATACTTATATACACCTATATACATACACATTGTGTATTTTACAAATAACGGCCGATTGACACAAATTTCACGAAACACAACACACCGCAGCGCATCGCCGATAATAAAATCGATAATATGCCAGCGAATGTTACGTGGAGTTTATTGTTTCCGTTATACTATGTCGGTACGTATTTCCAAACGGGTGTAATGATAATATTTAAGCGTGTTAATATTATAATAATAAATCGAATAGAAATGCCAATGTTTTTTTTTTTTTTTTTGGCGGGGGGGGAGGTACCTACCATATAACGTAAATAGGTAAAACGAACAATACGATAAAAGTTGTGCTATTCATTTTAAGTGACGTTAACATCATAAATAATTCGGTAGGTATGGGTACGTAGGTATACTCGCGTTTCCAGTGCGGATAACTGCGTGCTTTATTTTGACGTACCTATAGAGAGTACGAACGGTGTTTCGCAGTCTTTTAAACTCGGCAAAACGTTCATGTGTAAAACTAATTCAAATCTCGTTTGGCGGAAAAAAAATAATAATAATAATAAATAAATCCAAAAATTATCGTAACGAATATAATATAACCTGTATGTATGTATGTATGTACGTATATATATATATATAGGTATAATGAAAAAAAAAAATGAAAACGTCACGAATTTGCGGGCAAAAAGTAGGTATATATTATTATTATTATTGTTATTATACGGTAAGTAGGACTCCCCGAAACGGATCGTGTCACTTCGACCTGTTTTTCCGTATACGTGTATAGCGTAGTATTGTGTAATAAATGCTTTTTCGGTTACATAGAATTCGGTGCCAGGCGGAGCAATATTCGTTGTCGAAAAGTTCAATTGCAATATTCCGCAGAACCCACTCGATCGTCAGTTGTGATTCTTGGCTAAGGCGCGTGCATATCAACCGTAATAACACACAGGTAAAACTATCGCTAAAACTTGAACTTTGTGTTTTTTTTTTTTTTTTTTTGTTCTGAGTTTCACGAGTGTGTACCGACCTGAAATGTAATATCGCTGTTAATATAAACCAAATAGAAATTTAATAATTTTGAAATATCTCTCGTTAATAAATTAAAAAGGTATCTATAATAATTGATATGAAATATATAATATCTTGTGATAAAAAAAAAAACCACCATGTACAATGTTCAGAAAAAAAAACCTATATTAATAGCTAGTGGTTTGCATTTTTTGCCGAATTTTCCCCGAAAATATAAAAGCTATTTCACTGTACTGTATCATATAAATATCTTTTTCCCGGTTATTGTGTACATCACTATACGACTCCCTCGCCCGAACCAGATTATCTCGGGAATTAGAGTTTTCGAATTATTGGTGGATTAAAGGGATCAAAGTTTGGTATCGAATATGTCAGTCTTTCATTTTGTTAGTTTTGCACACTCCTATAAAACCCCTAGGAGGATGCGGGATGTTTATTTTGTATCAACGGCAATACACACGGCGTTGGTATTAAATATACGTGTCTTTTTCGGGGGTTTCAATTTTCAACCGCTACCCCTGCTATTTTTACGATCGAATTTTATTTTGTTTCCCCCCCACCCCCTTTTTTTTTTTTCGAAGTAGTATAGTACTATTGTGTTATAGTAACCTGTTGTATTGTAATATTACAGTACTCGGTTTATTATTATATTTCAAAGTTTTATAATACAAAATAGACGGGGGAAAATTCGGCTCTAGTTGCGGCGCTCTGTTGCTCAATGGATTTTTTTTTTTAATGTACCCAATTATACGAGTAATCAATCGATAGATAATATGTTTACGTAGATAAATGAATTCAATTCATTATGTTTGTACGCTTATTAAAAAAAATTAAAACCATACGACCAATGTTTATTAGACGATATTTTATCAAGTAAAAACAAATTTAAAAAAAATGTTACTTATGGGTCTCCAATATTTATAGTATTATGTTCTTGTTTCTATTTTTTAACATATATATATACATTTTTTTTTTTTTTTACTATAAATCCGTTCGTATATGCCTGGCGACAAGAGCTATACGAAAATTCTAAATTTAACCTAAACGACAAAATTTTAAGAAGTTAGCGTCCCACATGTCACTCGTAATTATTTGTGTTTTAGTTAAATTTTTACATCCGTTCGGCAGAGAGTCGCGAACAATACAAACGATAGGATAAGGATAATAATCGATTTTATAATATTATATTATAGGGACCAGTGGCGCCCCCCCCCCCATACTATATTTTTGTGGTGAAGCTGAATTTGAAATCGAAAATCGCCACCCACCTCGACGACTTTTGTATCTAAATCATTATATACAAGAGTATAACTATTCAATGATTATACCCATTCAAACCCGACTGTCCCAAATCCCAATTACCGGCCACACCCACTCACCCAAAAGAATATTACGACGCGTAGCAATTGCCACGTTCGAAGTATAGTTTGGGCGCCATTGATTCAAGTGACTTTATAACATTGCGACGCGTCCTCTCGGGGAGTTTTCGAAACCGCTGAACCGTATCGTAATATCGTTAATCGTATACATCCGAGGTTACAAATTAACGTTTATTAATACCGCTGTACAATCGTACACCCCGCACCTATTCGATTACCGGGGAGTTCGCTATTACGCGTTTAATATAGGTAGGTACATTTTAACTTTGTTACCAATCTAATATGTCGTATGCGGCGATATTGTTTTTTCCTCTCGTCCAGTCTGTAATTGGACTGCGCCTGAAAACCGACTGCCGCCGCTGCTCGCGTACCTACCGCATAAAGCAGTCTAACCCGAAGTCCGTAATTATTAACGATACGGTTTTTGCGACGCCGCGTCTGGATGGATACGGAGTTTCGGGTCGTTTTTTGAAGAAAAAAAAAAAAAAAATTTGTATAAAAAATCACACGTTTCACGTACGAAATATTATTATGTTGTACTATTATAATATCTACTCGGTGCAATAATATAATATCGTAGTATACAGTTTTTTTCGTGTTTGCCCGTGTTTACATAGTGGAAAAACCGCGATGCCCGACAATGATTGCTCCCGTTGTTCCGCCGAGAAAAACAAACCCGCGCGCACGTGCGACGAACAGAAAGAAGTGAGTGTTAACGTTTATCTACTGACGCGTAAGTAATTCTCCGATATCAAGTGGATTGCGGTCGCCGATAAGTAAAAAAAAAAAAAAAGATAGCCTTTTTAATCGAAAAGCTAAACGAAACTGTTGGGTTTGAGTATGACTGATTTCGATGGCGGATTTGGATTGATTAACGGATTCACCGATGGGCTTCGGAGGCGATTTTAAATATTCCAAAAATTGTACATGTGTGAGAATATCACTCAAATAGAAAAATACTATATTTTTGTTCATCGATGTGACAGTTGAAAACCAAAAATAGATAACGCCTCCGTCATATTGTAACCGGTAAACTAGTCAAATCAATTTGAATCCGTTTTTAAAATAATTAAAATTCAGTCAAACCTCAATCCTTGTCTGCAAAAAAAAGAATAAACCCGGCGCCGCACTCCTTTCCCTTCAATGGGTATCGGACAGTAGATTAGAGGAAAAGTTTTATCATTAAAATGTAAATATGTTTTTAAATATTTTACGAAATCGGAGAGAATTTTTGAAAACTGACTCCATCCCCTCATCATATACGAGAATAAAAAAAATAAATAAACTATAGCATGTTGTGTTTTTTTTTCAGGTACTTTCGTCTGTGGTAGACGATTATTATCCGTGGGGGAAACCGGGTCATGGGGCTCCCAACGAAGACGGCCTTCGGAAAAGGAAAATATTTACAGATCCCCCGTCTCCTCCTTGGAAGGTATGTGCACTGTATAATAATATTAATATTAATCGGATCACTATTCACAATCAACGTTTTCATGAAAGTTGTTTTGAATTTAGGTAATAATAATTATTATTAATTTAATTTTAGATTCTGAGCGTAGCATTTTTCTAGATGCGGAGCGGAACGAGCGATCTTTTGGTTTTATTCTATGTGTGTGTGGGTGTGTGTGTGTTTTTTGTGTATGTGAGCGATTTTCCGATCAGAAAACTTGCTCCAACCGAAACGTGACAATAGATTTTTACTTTTTGAATTTTCAATCAAGTTCATTCATTTGGGGGTCAATTTTTTTTTAGGAATAATTAAGAAAAACCGGAACCGTAGGGAAGACAGAAAAATATTTACAGGGCGCCGTGGCATTACCAAATCATTATTTTTAATTTTTTCGATTTATGTTTTCTACCCAGAATTGTTCTGCATTCTATATTTGCGAGTTTTTTGTATAGTTTTTAATTAATATTTATTATGTGGATAAAATTGTTTGACCAAACAGAAATGCTTAACAATTTAACAGTAGGGTCATTATAAATTGTATTTAATGGCCAAAAAAAAAAAAGTAGAGTGTAATGTGGTAGTAATTTTTTTGAAATGTATTATTATTATTGTTGTTTATTTCTTCGAAAAGATAATGGGTCCCACTGAAGAGGTTCGTGTGGGGGCCCATAAGTTCACAATTTATAATGAGGAAAATATTGCATTCAAATAAAAATTTAAATTTAACTTTTTTTTTTACAATTTTAGACTTAACTAACTTATATATGTACAATGTAGTTGACTACAATTAATACACGGAGACTTAATGTATAATACAGTTTGATAAAATAAAAACGCAAGCAACTCGATTAAAGATATATAAATATTTAAAGTTTAAAATTTGGTTCATTTTGCAGGCAGTCAGTTTTTTTTTTAAAAGTATTGAACGATAGTTGTTTTAAACTCTAATGGTAGCATACTATATATTTTGGTCCTATATATATAAGTAAGTAGATTGAGTTAGTTTTCTGTACATTAAGGGAACAGTAATGTTTGATAATTGTCTTGTGTTATATTTATGATCAATAATAAATGTTAGGTTATTTTTAATTATAAAAATTACTGATGCCTTATAGAACATTTAACATTTAATTCTTTGTACAGATATTTATGAATTTTGAATTCAAATTTTTGCAGTAAAATTACGGCATTTCAGAACATGTGTAATTGAATTTCGCTCAGAATCGTTTCTCGTTCGCAATAGTTATTATGAATACATATTTTTTAAAACATCATCGTAGAAACCATTCGTTTTATTTGATGTATTCCATTGATAGTATTAATCATTTCCATGCTACACGAATTTGTATTTTATTGTTACTACTCGTGAACCGTTATAACTGAAAATGCATGTTACTGCAGACTATATTATTATGTGCCAAGTTACGGAAAAAAAAAAAAAAAATCATATAATATGTTACATATTATAATGCATTAAGGAGATATTTTATTAATACTGTGTGTTTGTGAATATTAATAAGCAATAAAAAAAAAAAAAGGGAATATGTTATAATAGGTACAGACTTTGTAAACGGGTTGGCCACTGTTTCGGGTAGCGTGCCACATCAAGAACGCATGCCAGCATTTTATTATTGTTATTTTTATTTTAAATCAAAAACAACGACAAGTCATTGCATTTGAAAATTGATTTTATGACTTGAGTTACTAGTATACAGTTGATTTAATGTTTAGATAGGGTATTATAACTGGTATAAGTACTCGAATAATTTCTTTCGGATATACCTTTATTTTTTTAATATTAATAATGTATTATAACACAGATTCTTAAATATTTAAATCGCTTATTATTTAATAAAATGCGAATAGTTGTTCTACTCATTAAAATGCAGTTTCGTGTACACATAATTATTTATCGTACAGATTCATATGTATTACATAAAAAAAAAAAAAAAAAATAATAAAAAATGTACATATATATATATATTTGTATAAAAAGCAGTCTTTATTATCGTACAGCAATCGTGTTGATTAAATATTATAGAATGTAATTTAAATTATTATTAACTTTCAAAAATTTCTTTTAAACATCATAATAATATTATAATAATCATAGTAGGGAAGTATCCGCACCTACTTACTCGATAATAATATTTAAATACACAGACAGGTACTTGTCGTTTATATAATAATATTTTATTATAATATGTCAATAGTGTTAATTCGTCATGATGGACCAGGAATGGCATTATTTTACGGCGTAGGTTAGATTATCGCTATACAAATACTTACTTACACTAAATAAACAATGGGAAAAAAAAATCTTCTTTCTCCATTTTGACTTTATCCCACGCGAGCGGGGTCAGCTACTGTTGTTTTTGTCCTTCGCATTATTCATGCGGCATAAGCCTGTACAGGCACCGTGGGTATAACAATATATTATATTCATATCTGCAATATTAATCGAATCGCACATTTTTGTTTTAAGTATACGTTTGTATTTATGTTAATTAAGCAAAATTACATAATATTATTATAACCTATTTTTTTTTATTTGAATAATGATTACTATGTAATGTTCAGGATGTCAGTAACGAAGTGACGAAAATGGGAAGACAAGGAGGCGGCGCACCTCTGAAAACTTCATCAGGAAAGATGAAAAACTTTCGGATCGAGGATCCACAACTCAGATTTCAATTTCACGCTCCCGACAGAAACATGGTTGAAAACGATATAAGATACAGAATGCCGATAAAAGACCAAAAGGCGTATAAAATGGAACTAGGTGAGAATTCGAAATATTTGTGATATTTACATTAAAATCATCTATAATAAGTTGTATATTATCTTAAAATCGGAAGTTCTGGGAGACGTGTTACAAATGAACATTATAAACTCGCATATTATTATTTTTCCAGATGAATTGGTCAGAGAAAAACAAGAAATTGTCGAAGAGAATCGCAGAAAAGAAATTATTAAAGATAAGCAATTGGTAAGTTAATGATAATAGTCATTTAAATATTTAAAATACTGTACATGTTTGATTGGGTTAGTATTAAATAAAATTATTATTAGAATTCAATCGCAGATCCCTGGGGTACACCGTGCCCAGGGGGTGTTATTTGGAGAGATCCAAAAAGTATTGGAAAAAACTTCTTTCAATCGTTGGTAACAATATTTCTAAACGTTGAATAATATAACATTATATTTGTATCTTCAAGCCAGTTCTATATTAATTGTATGCTTTAAAAACTTTTAACTTTTTTTAAAGCTTTTTGTTATTTACAGATAAATAATAATTATTATAATTATTTTTGTAATATTCTTTATACTTCCATAATATTTTATAACTATTTTATAAGCTTGAGCTAATGGCTTTAATAATGTTTTTTTTGTTTTGCCGTTTTTGACTTGGTATAAACAAGCGTCTTACATATTTGCATGTGAACTATAATATGGGCGTATTGCTTATGCATTGCTTTAAAAATTATTTTAAAAATAATTAAACAGATTTATTTTACTTTTAGGGATACGTGGACGGCAAGATATTAAAATTGGGATCGCATCCGAATGACGTAGAGATCCTTGATGATAATATTGTAATATTTACAAAATATTAATATTAATATTAATATTATTATTCACCATAGGTTTATATCTAGTTATGTACACTTATATAGTTGTCGGAAATCGGGATATCAAATTATAACATTTGAAAAATAATCCTTTTTAAAATATTATGTGTGTCAAACTGGGAACGTTTCGTGACTGTTACTAACGAATATTGTCTTGGTACATTTAAAAGTATTAGCTTGAATAGTTGAAAGCAGACGCAATACTTATCATAGGCGTGACTAGACTTTAACCGCAGCGGCAGCCTAGCTAATGACCGGCGCCACATAATAAACCGAAAAATATATCCCCTTTAAATAGGGGGGGAAGGTTAATCTCCCCCAATTAAATATTTATATAGTTTAAAAAAGTTTGTATTATCTGTTTACAATTAATAATGTACAATGTTTTCGGTACCTTTAAATTTAACTACAGAATTATCATTCAGGTCTGAATTACACCGTCATATAGATAAATAATTAACAAAATATGTGATGTATTAGTATATAGAATAACAAAATTGATAGACTGATAGAGAATAATGTTTAGTTATAAACAATGCACAAAAATTGTTTTTTTTTTTTTTTTTTAATAAAAGTTGTAAGCTACTAAACATATAATTTGGTTGACCGGCGCCTTTTGAAGATTGCAGGGGTAGCCCAGGCAACCTAGGCTGCCATCGTAGACACGCTTATGATACATATTAAGATTATTTAAAATTAAATTCAATTATAATCAATTCTTAATGCATCGTTGAGATTGATCAAAACCGTGGACAAAATTGTCATCAAATTTAACATGTTATGAACAAATTGCAGGAAACAGTGACCGGTGGTATGGAATTAGCTCCTATGTTGGCAGCGAAAAGAAAGGAAGGCACGAGATGGCCTTTGCACACCAGTGATGTGACAAGAATATATGATCCAAAATCTAAGTAACATAATTATTACGAGTAGATTACTTTTTTTTTTTTTAATATACATTCGAATTTTAATGATTTGAAAAAAGCTGTAATTATTACATTTTTTTTTTGTTATTGTTTATATTATAATATAAATTCAATAACTAACTGTTAATGTATAACGCGTTCATCAATATTTTAAAACACGTTGTGTACGTTTTGTTTCCAGTTTCTTAATTGACGAAAAAGAATATCACAATTTTCTCGAAGGGCAGATAAATGGACGCGAAGAACGAAAACAGGTAAATAAGTATCTCATTATAGTGTATACATTTTCAAAACGTGATCTTGAGGAAAATTAAAATTATTTGAAATTCTACTTTAATGATAACTGTACCTACTTTCATTACATTTGTTTAATATTCATATTAGTACTTATTTATATGCGTTTTTAGATTTCTAATAATGATTCTATCTCTGGGAAAATATTTACGTTGAATATGTACCTATAATATTGTATAATTATGCACGAGTACATGACTTGTTTTGCGTTATAAATTCTTACAGAACCCGATCGAGTTCTCTTAAAAAAAAACAAAATATATTTTGTTCTCCTCTTTATTATCAGTAATCAAGTTAGATTAGTTTGTTGCAGTTCACCATATCTCTTTGCTGTCGTTAATTATTTTAGATCCTTGTATTTTTCCCTATCCATGTTCTTCATTATTTGAGTCATTTACGCTGCCCTTATTTTGCCTCTTCCCACATATCTTTAAACATTTCCTTCGATTATTATTGTTTTTAATAGACTTTCATATCTTAATATGACCTATCATAATATTATCTTTTCTGGATTGAATTCATTTCCACAGTTGCCGTTTTTCCTTCGTCCTGTTTAAAAGCTTTTTATTTTTAACTCATACAATTTTCAGCACTTTTGTGAAACACCATGTTTCCAGTTATTTTTTTAATTTTCCTAATACACAAGCTGGCGATATTAGTAATGAGTAATAACTAACGGACAAGATAAAGATCGACCGTCATCTGTTTTACTATTGAGTTGCTTCCCAGATATGAGGTGTATTGCAAATAAAATGAACCGGATTTTACGGGTCAAATGAACCACGTTAATCGGTCGTGTTGAACCTGTAGTTTATATACATATTAATTTGTCTTTCTGTTTTCAGAACGAACACGACGAAGACATAATAGAAGGCCAGAAACACCACGCGAATTGGAACGAATTTTGGGGTAGGCCCGGCGGCGGAGCGCCGAAAGGAACAAAACGGCAAAAAGAAAATCTCGAATACATTCTCTATCAGTTGCCGGTAATCAACAGGTTGAAAGAAAAAGAAGATAGCAAAAAACCGGAAAAATAAAATTCAAATAATATTATTGATATACATTATAATAATTATTGTACAATTTATATAGTTGATCGTTAACACTAGGTATACCAATATAATATTATAGTAAGTAACTCTAGGATAAGTACATATTCTATATCTATATTCATATCGCTGCGGCGAATAGTTTCACATTAACATATTTGTTTGTGTACAATATGACTGTAGGTATGTGATGATATTAGTCCGTAGAACAAGATAATTTTTTTTTTTTTTTTAAATAAAATTATTATACTGCATCAACCGTGCGAAATTTAATCTTTGATTTCGTTCTAATTTATTCCGGTATTTATCTCGTATAAAATAATAAATCGTCAATAAAACGCAAATGCAAAATATCGCATTTAAAATTAATCAATTAAATTGATTAATTCGTTCGTTTGATTACAGCTATAATAACGTGCGATGTATTAATATATGATAACGTACTGTTTTAACGAATTTTCACTTTATAAATCCTTTATATTTTTCGAACGCAATAATATTACCTACCAGTGGCGTGCCAAAGTAGGTGTTTTGAGGCATTTACCTCGTGATTAAAATGGGTGGGTGGATGGGTGACTAAGTATGATGAATGTTGATTAAGATTAACTAGTAATTCAAAGATCAGAGATGCTTTTAGTTTTGTATATTGTATTATTAACATATTTACATACGGATATTATAGCCTGTATTATGTAGCCAATTTAGCTAATTAAGGTTTTCGCTGTAAAATAAATTATTTATAAGACACATAAAAATCCATGTTTAGAGTGGGTAGGTCCTAATTATTTTGTTTTGGCTAAAGTATAAAAAATGTTCAGCGCGCCACTGTTACCTACTCCTATAATTATAAAGACATTATAAACAAACACGACTTTATTATTATTATTTTTTTTTTTTTTCATGATTTCTCTTTCTTATTCGCTTACATTAATGACAATTTTCCTTATAATATAATTAATTGTCAAATTAAATGAAAAAAAAAAAATTATAATCATTTTCAAGTATGTACTAAGTTGTTGATATTTATTTTAGATACGTTCAAATATAAACGTCAATGACATAACCAATAATTTCCAAGTTAAAAAAAAAAAAGAAACACAGCTGACTAATGTGTGCTGTTTGAAAAAGTAAACCGAATCTCTAGAAACTAAAAAAAAAAAAAAAAATAATAATAATAATTCTTATCGACACTGCCACTATAATGACATCACGAAATCCCGTTTTGTTTAAAATAATTGAACGTAAAGTGTATAAATAAATGGTCATTTTACGTCATTTGTTGTACAAGTCGAGTTTGAACTAAAGCTGTAAAATATTTGCGGTTTATCGTTCGGAATGGCAAAAGAAAAAAAAAAATGACTAATTATTATTGTTTGTCGACCGCAATTAATTAATGATATCTCGTCGAAAATATTTATTAAAACCGTATAATATACGCGGGTTTCCGATTGAAAAAAAAAAACGCTTTGGCCTTGAAAATTTACTTTTTAAAATGTTTTTAAGCGTTTTTCCGATCTACCTGTCGTTTGCTCCGGGATTAACGTATCGGCACCACATTATATTACGTTTAAGAGGACGCTACATTCGCATCTACTGTCACAGTCTACCGAGCAACATGCAAAAACAACGCGGATTAGGGCGTATAAAAGGCGCAAAAAACTTCTTTTTTAGCTTTTTTAAATTACTGTAACCTTTTTTTAGTGATTCACCGTTCAAAAAACACCTATATAAGGTTCCTTTCAAAATTCTCTATAAATTGTATAATACCTAGGTATTTTTGCTCCAAAATTAAGTCTGCATAAGCATTGTTTTTGCATGTGGCCCGGTAGTTGGACTGAGGACAGTATAGATGCAGACAGGACAGTGTAGATTGTGGTGTCCTCTTAACAACGTATTACGGACAGTCGAAAAGCGGTATCTCGATAAGATATTTTTCATTAAAAAAACGCTGCCAACGAACAATCCTGGAAAACATTATTACAATAGCGATTTTTTTTTTTTTTCCTAATGATCGGTAACCCGCGTTATTGACAATACTATTTCAGTATAATAAAATAGTTTTAATATTCACGTTTTATATGTATACATATTATATACTTACAAATTATTTAAAGATTTATATTAACGAAATATTGTTATAAATATTAATTAAATATATAGTCTATTTCGGAGTTTAAACGCGTATATTATAATTTGTTTGCTGATGTTGTTGTTGTTTTTTTTTTTTTTTTAAATACTTTATTCGTATGGTCATTTCAAAACGATTAAATTACGAATTAACGTATCGATCTACTTTGGATTGTGAGTGTAGCTAAGTGTTTAACCATGCATTTTTTTTTGTTTGAAAACAATTTTTAGGTTAATAAATTTATGTTCTAATGCGGATTTTTCGTCCAGTGGCATATTATTTGAATTAATTTTTTTTTCTAAATCTCCAATAGATTTTTTTTTTTTTTTTTAAAGTGTAAACGGCTATTTTGGTTTTAATTTTGTCGATTTCTGAGTTATATTTGGCTGTACACGGGGAAAAAACCCCATTAATCTTACCTCATACCGGTTAACCGAACTTCGTTCAGAATCCTTTTTCGATTGCAATGATAAAAATAGTCATATTAACTTTTTAAATCTTCTATTCAGTACCTGTGTTTCTACCCATTGGTACGGAGCTTATGTCCGGATTTTGAAAATTATTCTATATCGTATAACAATTTGTTTTTTTTTTTTTTTTACTGTGAATCGCATACAATGTAAAATTCGTTACATAATTATCGATCGTTCTAAAACATCATGAAATTTCAAAAAAAAAATCACGTTGGTATCTGCAATAACATACATACGTGTCCCGCTGTACGGGCCATTCCTATATCATAATTTAGCGATTCATCACTCATTAAAAAAAAAAATTAACCGGAAGCGTTATACTATCTATTAATAATCGTATATTATATTTTTCGAGGGATTTTATTTTATTTTCTAACGGCGTATATGTATAAAGGCGTGCGTGTACATTGTTATTCATATCGTTACCGCCGAGATCATCAATCGCCGTGACCTTAAAAAGTGAAATTTTCGCCCCCGGAGACTCTTGAGTTTTTCGAGGGGACCGGTCGCGTCGCGTATACCGCCGCGGCAACAGCACCAGAGCTCATCGTCGTCGTCATGATATCGTTTTGACTGCGGGTTTAGTTGCAGTCCAGAACGTCTATCAACAACATCTGCAGAATGTTGCTACAGGTCAGTGAACGTCGTTATACATATAATATTATATTATTTTTTATACATTTTTTTTTTTTTTTTTCAAATTTCAATCGAATTTTATTATTAAGTATTACTATAGTATCTACATTGTATAATGGCTTGTCGGTTTCGAAACCGAACAACACGTACTACAATAATTGTATACACGGGTATATGGTTTTAAAAATGCGATTTGTCACATTGTATTTACGTACCTAGTACAGCCGAATCATCAAAATTGCACGAAAAACGCGAGAAAAATGTACATAGATACACATTAACGAAAAAAAGTTGATTTTAATTATTTTCACGACAACGCACTTTGATTTTATAATACTGCAAACGTTTCACTATTTACGCGAATTTATCTCCGAAATCGCGGAAACGCAGGCACCTCCTTATAATGCGCACAGTGTATATTATTAATTATTCAATTGTAATTTATCAACATAAACGGTGCTCGCATTTCGACAAACGAGATTTCGATAAATTCGTATACTTACATCATTGTCGTAACTAGACGTGACGTATATTTTTTTTATAAACACGGGTAAATCTTATTACGGTTTTATTTTTCTACAACAAGCCGCTGTAAAGAAAATATATATATGCATATGAAATTAGAAATTACTTTGGGTTATAAAATATAATGCGCGCGTTATTTAGTTATAATCGTTTTCTGATTCTCACTTTATTATTAATTATTCAGTTATAATTATCAAGTAAATTAATTTTAAATTGAGGCGTCGAACAATCATTTTTGTTGTTGTTAATGTGAGAAAAAAAGTATACACGAGAACTTTGGTGTGTATCACTGTTCGTGGTATAAAAAAAAATGTTCGAGGTATATTTTACAATTATTTCGTCTTTTTTTCATAAAAAAAAAAAAAAAAAAAAAAGTTTCGGATATTATAATAATTAATGGATTATATATTATAATTATGTTGCTGAGAAATGTGAATGTATAACATGGAAACTAGTCATTTTGAGTAGATTTCTTATAAAAAAAAAATCATTCTTTACAGTGCGTTCGATTAAACACTTCCCACACTCAAACATTCAAATTCGTTTCTTTTTTTCTTTTTTAATTAGATTCCTTATTTTTAGAAAAAAGAAAAGCCCGATTTTTAAATGTTCATTTCTTCACGGGACAGTGATGTTTTTTTTTATTGTATTGATTTATGATTTGTCCGATCATCGTGTTACAAAAGGAGGCGTACAATTGTTGTTGGATAACTACGTGTATGATATTTTCGCGATTTATTTATATTTCAAATTCAAAGTGAACACTGAATTTACCGAAATATGGCCAGTCTGTGTGACAAACATTTACTTGACCTAACGCAGGCTTTCTATGCTTTTTAATTTTTTTTTCTTTTCATACAATATAATAGTTATCACAATATTGTTTTTTAGTAATTTATTATATTAATGAATATTGAGTCAGAGTTGCCTTGTATAGGTTTTTAGGTAGACTTAATATACCTAGGAAAACAAAATCTACCAACCAATGTAGTATTTCTTTCTACAATATTAAGTTTTAGCGGTAGGCTGCTAGTTTGATTATAGTGTAGTGATTAGGTTTGAGATAATAACAATCCAATTTGATTTCCCTTCTATTTTGAGTTTTTCGTTTTATTCGTTAGTACTTCGTTACTTACGCTACAATTTGTTTTATCTCGTAATTACATAGGTATATCGTATACCCGTATCATAAGGTACGGTATATTTTATTCACGAACAGTACATTGATTGAAACTTGAAATACACTATAACTACCTATTTTATATTTTACGATTTATATCGTAATCGATGGGTTTTGTGCAATAATAACCAGAGAGCACTACTTTTCAGCGAAATTCATGTTTTGATTGTTTCCAATAGTGAAAATTATTATTATTGTACTTTCTATGATGTTGCAATCAGACGAATTTAATTATCATAGAAGTTATAACGCAAATTTAGGGGTGGATTAAGATAACATTTTAGGCCAAAATATTATTGTTGGAATACCTAAATCACTCTAGACGTGATAATATTTTCAAAATATTCTGGTGTTTTAGAACCTATCCTTATTTTTCCTGGTCAATCGTCAGTCTAATGTACGTAAATTAATTTTGGAATCAATTTTCTTACAGACAAAATATTTGCAAACTTTTTTTTTCCTGAAAACGTTTGAATAATGGAGCTGTCTGCAGGTTATTGCGTAAAACCCTGCAATTTATTAACGACGTTTTGTTTATAAAATCCAACGAGAGATGAAAGTTCTTTGTATTTAGTTACCGAATTCGTTAAAACGAAAATAATTGGTTTATTATTATTTTTTAAATTTAATATTTTTTCTTTTTATTTTATCAAATTTTTTTAAATATCTTTAAGTCTCATTGTAAGAACTCGTATGAAACTTCATATGAAGGCTTGAGTCCTGATTATTTTTGTTTACACACATTCTTACATATATAGATTCATTGAAAATATTGACAAAGATTTTAATTATAAAATTTCGGTTAGTGTAGGGTTAGTGAGAAAAAAAAACTCTACCACAAAGTTCAAATTCCTAATCTATTAGACAAACGTTTTTCAATTATAAACTGTCGTATATAAATTGTCCAGTATTAGTATATTATAGTATTAGAATGGAAAAATAATAGTCGAGTCCGAACACCCGACAGCGAGATGTATTTATGATTTATTTATTTTTTGACGGATGAAAGTTTTTTTTCCATAGTATACCAGTCGACTGTTAAGGTAATTACCATGACATTATCTTTTTATTTTTATTTTTTTATTGACAATAAAAAAATAAACTCCATTATGTAAAATACTAAGTTTGAAGTACCTATATATCTGTTAGTAGTAAATACATATTATATTTACGCGCAATGAGCCGAAAACGATAATAATTATTCGGACAAAATTCGTAAAAGTTATTCTTGACTGTATTCGTATAAATCGTTCTAAAAGTCGTGAGATTATAATATTACAATAGTCGTAAATCTTTATTGTGGGAAATCTCCTGTCAATATAAATTGTTAAAAACTATTTAGGAAGCCTACTCTACGAGAGAGCTAAGTTGTCGGTTTCTTAGCGTATTTTAAACAGTAAACTTTAGTTCCATATTATTCAATTTTGAATAAAATAGTATTTTACACTCGTGCGTAAAAACCTAAGCAAATTCAAAATGTTAATTTGCAAATAACTGACCGTTGATTTTTAAATCCTGTAAACACTACTTACATTATTGTTTTATAATGTTTTTAATTTCGGCTAGTACGGATGTATATGATTAATACCCATGTATTTAAATAATAAATAATGATAATAATATAACGAATTTACCATTAGATTAATAATAATAATAACAATGTCACGATTTATACATGATAATATCTTATTGTCTACCGAATCAACAACCATAACTGTACACTGGTACCTACGGGCACAACGGAGATATAAACATTTATGTTTGATTTTAAATTATAATTTAATATTAACACCGTAACAAATCTATTAGGCAAATGACCGTGCGCTGAAAATACTGTATTTGTTTATACATAAACAACGGATAATTTTTTTTCTACGGTAATAATAATGAGTGGATATAATGTTATGCAGGAAACGACAATCGGATCCGAAAGTTCAAATCCCGTAAATGTCCAATAATGCTCATTTTTGTATTATTCCTCAGATTTTCCACGGTGTTTTCGGTGATGATAACGTTTGGGGTCAATATTCTGGTAATATCATTTGCACAATAATTTTGAAACTTAGATCGCATCATATTTCTGAGATAATTTTAGATGGATAGTCTGAAGATCGCCTGTGAATATTTCGGACACATTATTATTGTTTAAAGCCATTGTGGAAATATCAAATCGTTGTCTTGGATGTAATAGGTGCACCTATCTATATACTAATATAATCAAAAACTCGTCTGTAATCATCAGATCGTAATATAATTATTATGTTTTAGAAAATATATTTGTCATGGTTTTTTTTTTTGTACAACAATGCTAATTAATTATTAACCTTTTATGTAAATTTGACATCATTATAATTATAAATTATTCATGGACGATGATCATGATGGGCATACAATGTTATTTAAATACAATTCTCTCTCCGCAATGTTTATGGATACTAGTATATTGCAGTTACATAATTGTTATTAAAGGTTCCGTTTATATCTTTGTGGACATCGAAACACCGGTACCATTAATGTTTTAAACAACGGTAATATTATCAAATTAACTCATTGTTTGTTAATATTCCAACATTTCAATATTTATTGTACCTAATATTTAATTAAAATTAATATTGTATTTGTTATGTAAGAGTACTTGGATTACCTGATTTGGCTTTTTATCTTTTTATTAAATTATCAAAAAAGTCTTCAGTTACGAAAAGTGGGTATATAGTCCACCTTCGCCGGACTAAAAGTGTTCTATTGTGAAGTTTTAATAGTGTAAATAATAGTGATAATTACAATTATAATGGTTTTCTTATCCGTGACAAACGACCTATCATCAGTATCACCAAGGCCACCCTCGAACAAACAAAAATAAATAAGCAATTAGATATCCGTACCAAATACACCCAAAAACCCCTATTCTACCCCCTTAGCGGTTGAATTTTCAAAGATCCTGTCTTAGCCGGTGCCCACGTCATAAAATAGCTATCTGTGCGTGCCGAATTTCAGCTCGATCCGTCCAGTAGTTTGGGCTAGGCGATGATGAATCGGCCAGGACAAGTCATTTTATGTATGCGATGTATACAGTTCGGTTATAAATATCGGTTATCGTTTCCTACGCTGGTGCGCCCGAGGCGAATACTATTACAGTAATAAAAAAAAAAAAATACAACGATTTTCCGTTTCACAATCATAAATCACCCGCACTGTGACGCCGTCGATAATATTATACTAGACGACGTGACCGCGCGTATATCCGTTGTTAGGGACGGTAAAAAACTCTTTTCACGTTCCTCGTTTACTCGTCGGTCCGACGTTATTGTGCAACGCGCGAGAACATTCTGCTGTCGGGAAGTTTATGGGCGGTCGCCAACGTCGCGGAATAATGCATTTTATGTCCACAGTCGAAACCGTACACAACCGCCGTAGCTTGTTATTGTTTAACAATAATTTCGATTTGAAAACCACACTCGCGAGGTCGTGTCGGCACGATACGGCGACAGCGTATACGCGTGGGTCCGATCAAAGTCCCGCCGTGCGTAATAATTGTGATTCAAAACGCGTCGTATCAGATAAATTATACATTATTGCCGGTAGAAAATTAGCTCGACGATTATAACGGTATAAAGGTAGAAAAAAAAAAAAAAACAAACAAACCGACCATATTTCGCACGATGGACGGGCCACTGTTGTAGGTGTGAATGTTGGGGGGATGTACAGAGGACATTCAACGCACGTCTGTAAATGCAACGATTTATTGTTGCTAACGAAAAACGATTCTGAGCGGAGTATGGTAATACGTGTTTTGATAGGTAGTAATATTAATTATTTTTAATTAAGGGAGATTTCTTTTTAGAAAAAGTGCTACGGTTGAAAATAATCTGAGCAAAATTTCAGGTAGAAAACTTGTTTACAGGAAAAAAAAAATTAAAACAACAAACGTCATTGTAAAACCAATACATTTCGCTACGATCAGAATCTGAAAACTGTATACTTAATATAATATTACGCGTGCGACGTTTGCAAATTAATATTTAATGTGTGAAAGCGGTATCAAACGAGTAAGAATAATTTTTAGCGATTTTTAGTACAAAAAAAAAAAAAAAATAATAAATAAAAATTGGTAATTTATTTGTGGTCCGCAGTTCTCATATAATCATTTTTTTTTCAAGCCCGGACCAGACGTAAAGACTGGTATTTTTTTTCGATAATTTTCTGAACCCGATTATCATCATATACTGGTAATAGCACTCAATCTGAGGACAAATTTTCAAATTTGTTTTATAAATTTCCGGTTTCTGCGGAGCCGGTTTTACCGCGTTCCAAAAAAAAAAAAAACGAATGTACGATTATACGTAATCGATTTATTGATGTGATTGCTAAAATGCAAATAATCGAATATTCTGAAACGAAATTCTCCCTAGAGGAGAGATGCTGTTGTATCGAACATCGACGACGATGGATTTTCATTGGTTTTATCGATGTTCTTATTAATTGGCAAACCGACAGATGTTTCGTCTCGGTTTACCGGTTCGACAATAGAACGCGGGCATTTGCGCAATCTTTCTTAAAGGCATCTCGTTAAGAATAACACCGCGAAATCGATCCACGTACAGTGAAGTAATATGTCATAACGCTCGACGCATCGCATATTATTACAGTAAGTTTTTCGCGCGCAACAACAAAGAAACAATGTATTAATATCGCGTAGTTAATCAATTAAAATATTCGGAAGAAAAAATGTAACAAAAAAAAAAAAAAAATATTACGGAAAGTCAATACCGGACTGTAACGTCGCGTGGGCAACTCGATTGTATTTCCGCACATGCCGTCGGTTACAAGTAAAAAGGATGCGAAACGCGAACGGTCGCGGTAAAAAACGCCCGTGAACAGCTGCAGAGTTCCGTCACTAGAGTCTATACCCTAGAGTCGTTTCAATTTTGTTTACAACGGCGACGTAAAAACAATTACGGTTTCCGGAGCTTTATTAAATTTTAGCCCGAGTACATAGGGGTGCGCGAAACCCGGTATTTCCCGCGAGACCACGCAATTAGATCATAAAAACGGTCGGAGAGTGGGTTGAAAGTTTAAGCCCCTTGACGCGTCATACACAACGTTTTATCCCGTCGACATTATTTGGCCTGTAGCGGTATACAAGTTAAAAAAAAAAAAAAAAAAAAAAAAAAAAAAACACTCCTCCGAAAACAACACGGTGAAATTCAAATTTAAATGAAACTAATGATGTTATCGTAATAAATCCGCCTATATGAAAAAAAAAAAAACACTAATACCGAGCGTGAGCTCGTTCAGTCCGGAGGGACGCGTTAAAAGTGTCAAACAGTAACGGGAAAAAGATATACATGAAGAGATACGTTACGCCCTCGACGGTGAATTTGCAAAATTCATGAAATAACGTAATAATTATATTTTTTGTTAATTTTGTGCCGTTAGTTTTAACACTGCAGTGTATTCGCCTGTTATCACGCCCAAAGGCGAGGACACTGTGAATAATAATTGTGCGCAGGTTTCTGCTCGACGGGTTTAATTTTCAAGCAAGTTTCGGCGATTATTAAATTGTAAAACACGACAATATTCGGAACTCTCTTCAAAATCAAAATATCGAAAATAAAATAAAAACCCACCCACGTACGAATGTAGAAAATCGTCTTACCTTCAGGTTTCACAATACAGACGAGTACACTGTAATGTCAAAACTCGCAGCGCAAAATGAACGGCGCGTCGCACGCCGATAGGGCGGAACGCATATTACAACGGATTCGAAAACGGTGCGATTTTCGGGGGAAAATCCGGAGAAAAAAAAAAAAATAATTAGGTTTTAGTCGTAATGTAAACGATAAAGGAAACAAAGACGCCCCGATCTCGACGTCCGCACAAAACGGTTTCGCCGTTCGAATCGGTATCCGCGTAGACGTGCCAGCAACTGTCATAATAATAATAATAATAATAATACGATTGCCGCCATTCGCCACGAACGAAACTAATATTTCGGCGCCGAATCGAGTGGCCAACACCCATCCGCGTTACAGTGCAATGGAATCGCCGACGGCGCGAAAACGTTTCGCGTAACCGCGGGCGCCTTTTGACCGCCCCGCGTCATCGTAAACGGAAAAAAAAAAAAAAAAATGTATATATATATAATAAAAAAATAGAAATAAAATCGGACGGACGCGACTTTCTTCGCGATCGAAGTAAATAGACGTTAAACGTCTATGAATAACAAACAATCGTAATAAATCGTCTTTGGCCGCCGCCGACGGTCGTCGGGGGGGGGGGGGGACAGGCGCGTGCCGCGGGCGACGTTCCGGTGCCGGGTGACGTTAGGCCGGGCAATAAAAATCGCCGCCGAACGATATTGCGGTATTGCGGTACAGCGCCTGATGTGCCGCGATAACCGCCGTATAATAATAATTATTCCGGAATTCTCGACCGGAGAAGATCCTCGCGGCGAATCGATATCGTCGAATGAAAGTAGTCGGATATTGCACGGTATACCTTATACGTTATTATGCACACGCATTTTTTTTTTTTTTTTCTACATACGTACGCCGCCGATGCGCACATTGTGTCGACGAGAGCGCTCGGATATTACTCCGTGTTATTGTAACGCCGTGTAAAATCCGAACACGCGGCACGGAAACAATGCGAAATGCCCGCGCGCTCGTGAGAGTTTGTGCGACGGCGATCCTATCGCGCAGCCTCGTAATAAAATAAACGTTCGGAACGATATGGGTAGGCATGTTGTGCCGGCGGGATGAAAAATCGCCGGTCTAAGGAAAACGCACGCTGTCAGAGCAATCGGACGCTAAATGCGAACTCCTAAACAGCATTTTCTCCTCGTATTCGTGACCTGCCATTTTTTTTAAAAAAAAAACGCAAAAACCGTTCTACCGGTTGTCGTTCTGGTCAAGGTGTACGAATTAGAGACGTGTTTTTACGGCAAATGAGACCCGGTTTCACTCAGACGTACGCAAATGAAACGGCAATTGGTCTCTAGCGTAATGTCGTCCGGGAATTTTTTTTATTAAATGGGGGAGGAGGGGGGGATTATTATACTTGATAATATTGTATTAAACAATGTTTAAAATAACAACTCGAGACATTCCGATAGTATAATTTACCGTATAATACGTGTTATACGCGGAAGGATAAACGACGGGAGATGGTCGCCGCCGACAATTGATCTGATCGATCGGCTTACCCCCCCTCCCCCTCCCACCAATCGGTCGTCTCCTTAAAATATTATAAATTCCTCGACGATCCGCAAAACAGGGCTCGCCACGTCCTCCGTTTTAACGGGGCACCCCGGGCACGCAGCCTATTTCCGGCCAATTGGTCTATCAGGCCCTGATCGCCGAAAGACGAGGGGCGACGGAGGTGCCGGACGTCGGAGAACGGCGGAGTTCGGAATCGGGACGCGGGAGAGACGATACGTGGGCGCGCGGGCGTACTACGGCGGCGGTTGCGTACCGGCGCGCGGTGACGGCGAACAGACGCACGCGTGGGACCGGAGAGACGGACGGGAAGACGGTTCGCACGTCCGTCGGGCGTTTAACGCCGTGCAATAATATCAATGCGGTCGTATTAGTGTTACTGTTGAACGGAGACGAGAACGCGGGGGCGACGTTACGTGACGCGCGGTTTCGGTGGACGCGGTAGCGTGCGACCGACGACCGGGTTACGACGGGCGCGAGACCGCGGCGAAAGGTCAGGCACCGGTCGGCGTACGCGACCGGTTTTCCCGTCCTTTTTTTTTTTTTTCTTTTCTACACATGGCGGCGCGGAATCGCTCGTCGAAAACCGTTTTTTTTTTCGTGATACACCTCCGTCCGCGGAGGAGAGAGACAGAGAGAGGGAGAGAGAGAGAGAGAGAGAGAAAAACCCGCGTAAATTACCAGGGCCGGGCGCATATTATTATTATATTCTATTCTATTTTTTTTTTTCATTATTATTATTTCTCGCCGCGTGCAGACGCATTAGTCTCGGCGACCGCAAAACGCATGTCTCAAAGATAAATAATATTATTATGACGTTAAGTGCCGCGCCGTCCGTCCGCGGCGTTTATTACTGTTATTATTACAAATCGGAATTACAGTGCGTTACATCGGAAATACGAAGCAGTAGGTACCCGAGAGCACCGGGCCCAACCCAAACAACACTTTCACTCCGGCGCGTTCGGCCGCCGCGCGGGTCGGACTCGTACCCGCGACACCGTCGTCGGGGGTCAACGGTTCGCGACTCGATCATATTCCACAAACGATCACCGTGTAAACAAAGCGAAAAGCGAGTTGTGCGGAAACCGCATAACGCGTGCGCGGATTTCTCCGGAGCTTGGGCGCGCGTACGCATAGCGACGGTGTAAAAAAAATCGCATCCATCAGACTGCAGACGCGGCCGCGCGAACGATGGAAAGCGCGCCGGCCGCAGCTTCTATTGCGACTGCGGCGCACGTCTGCCATTTCGAAACGAACGCCGTACCTGTATTTGTTTCGTCCGCCCGTTCCTCGCGTTTTGAATCCGCGACCGAAATTATACCGCGCGGCTTTCGGCGTCCAACGCCTGACGCCGTCGCGTCCATAGGTATTGAAGTATTACCGCCTGTTCCGAACCACAATCCCGGCGGCATCGTTTCAAACCGACAGTGAGACGTTGCCGGTCGCATCGGCAGATCGCGCCCTGTGACGAGAACGGATACGTTCACAACACGTCGGGATAGTCTAGGGCTGTAACTTTACTGTGTACGCCGCGTTTTGTCGCAAACTGTGTGGGTTTGATAATTACAAAAAAAATAATAGAAATAATAGGACATGTTTCTCGCTTGATATTTTATTTAATTCGTATCGTATACAACAATAAGACACCGACCCACGCAGCAACGGTCAGATAAAGTCACAAAGGATCTAACAATAGGATAGAAATGAAAAATTACCAGAAGGTTGCGCTTGACAGTGAAAGACGGCGGGAAGAGTGTGATTTAGAGAGCGACGTATCATCATCACTCCCCTTGAGTACGCCGTTGAATTATTTTCACGTCTTTAGAGATTAAGACGCCCCTTCGAAATGTGGCATTCGGGGCCAACGGTCTTGCCCCCCTATAATCAGCTAAATACGTCTCTGACTACGTGTATTATTAAATACGCTTTCTGACATTGAAAACTTTACTAAATTTCAATAAATCGAATAACTATTCGCATAATTTTGAATTTTAGCTTTTGACTTTTGGGACCTTTTAATGGCCGGTTCCCCCGCGCGGATTGCACGTGTTTTACACGTTCTTTTGTTGCGGCAACGATTCGGGATAGACGGACGGTATTTAAAAATATGTTTAATCAAAAAAATCACGAAGATAACTTTTCGCGAAAAGATCGATTTCACAAAGCGGTTATACGACATGTGCGTACGTAGACGTATGGCACGTAGTAGGTACCTGCAGTAGTCGTTTTCGTGCACAGTGATTATTTTTTTTATTACTCATCGTTAAAACGTATACTATGTATGTTCTATCGGATGTAATTTCATTATATTCGACGGCGCGCGCACGCGATTCGCGGTGTACAGACGTCGCATTAAAATATTAGGCAGATCGTGATTCGAATGTCTAAGCAATGTGAAAATAATTTTTTAAACGATGGGCAGTGTACACGATATTATGATAGCTGTATACGTTCATAATTATATAATATATTTTTTTTTTTTATGAAACGTAGGTGTTACTTTACTTTCCATTACTATAATTTTGGCGTTATTATTATATTATAGTCGTTATACGGGTACCGCGGCAGTGTGACGAGTAACGATAACAATGACGGGGCTTGTAGTATTTAATATCGTAAAAATTTAATTCCGTTTTTACTATAGGTATTTCTATAATAGTAAAAAAACGTTTCTCACGCATTAAAAAAATAATAATAATAATAAATGATATAAACTGTAAAATATTTTAATATTATGCATTAATACGAATTAATTTCATAGTTAAAAATAATACACTTATTTGCCTGTTTTCATGGGATAATCATGCGTGTCTTTGTATAATATTAAATGTTCGCAAATAAAGTTTTTTTTTTTTACGTCTTACGAGCTTGCTTAATTTTGTTTTTTAAGGATATTAACCAATATAAAAACTTCAATAAAATATTTTCAAATAATCGGCAATACTGCAATCTAAAAGATAAAAAGGACGGATATACTTCGCACCACGGGTGAGCCACTGTTGTAGATGAGAAGTTGGGAAGGTAGGATATAGATGGGGATTTATATCTGAACAGATCGATTAATTATTGCTAACGAAAAACGATTCTGAGTGGAGCTCGGTTAATAATATTGCTTTTTCAACAAATGTGCGTTTTTCACAACGATAACAATTGTTTAAGAACAATTAAAAGATTATAATAATAAAAACTGAATACTATCAAAAAACAAATAAAAACGGTTGTCAATCTCTGTAGAACAAATTTTCTTCTTTACCTCGAATATTAATGAGAACTTCAAAAAATGATCTGTCTAAAAGTACTAGCTAGAACCGAAATGTAACGAAAATGGTCTCTTGTCATGTTTTGATTAGAGGATTGGAGTAAGATATCTAGCAGAAATTTTGCACACAGTATAAAAAAATAAAATGAACACCGTTGTAAAATCCATAGGTAAACTTCGTTCAGAGTCTAAAATTATTATAATATTTTGGAAAAAAAAAAATCCGACAGTAATATTATGTCCGCGTTGTCCATAAGATAAAACCGATTAATTTATTTTCGAATAGATACATTATGTGTTTGTGTAAGACGATATACTGCTTGGTACTGTATTGATATACTATGAATTTCTGTGTACCCGTCAGTGATAAAAGTAAATCTAATAAAGCGCTTCGTTTTTTCTTTTTTCTTTTTTTTTTTGAGTAACAATATTATTAAATTTCTACTTTCAATTTTCGCGTACTCGCGCTACATAAAACGAAAATAATGATTACTTATTTGTTGTTCAAATTGAATTTATTACATTAGTACTCAGTTCATTGATCAATAATAATAATAATACGCTCGCCGATAGTTTCTCTAATTTAAAAACTACAACGTATATAGTACAAAAATAATAAAAAAATTAAGTCGTGCAAGTCAATATTTTCAATCTTTTATTAAACATCGATCGGTTTACTTTTATTACTTCTTATTGCGTGTAAGAGTAACTGTTAATTAATTTGCTAGTGGTTTTATTGAATTGTATATTACCTAATCAAGTGTTCATATGAATAGGACTTCACTAATTGTGTAACAGTACATACATCACGATTGATTTCCGAATATTCCAAACATTTATTTAATAAAACGCACGACTGAAATAAATCATAACTATTTTTATATAGTCTATTAATTTTTTTACAGGTATCATCGATATGCGTGATTCTTTTAATCGCCTGTTCTTGTTGGGCCGACCAACAACCGCAGGTGGGAACACCTTTGCTAGACGCTGGGTCTATCAATGACCTGGCTAAAAAACCGGTGAAATTAGATCCGAAATTACGGAGAGCTTTGCTAAGAGTACTCACTCGTCTAGAGGAAGAGGACAAAGTAACCGAAGTAAAACTTGCCGAAGCTGAATCGCACCAACAGCAACAATTAGAGCAAGAACAACAGCAACAAATACAGCAGCAAGAACAACAGCAACAAATACAGCAGCAAGAACAACAACAGCGAGAACAGCAAAATCAAATACAAGAACAGGAACAACGAATACAAGAAAAGCAACGACAAATACAAGAACAGCAACAACTGCAGAAAGAACAACTACAGCGGGAACAGCAAAATCAAATACAAGAACAGGAACAACGAATACAAGAAAAGCAACGACAAATACAACAGCAACAACAACTCCAGGAACAACAGCAGCGACAACAATTACAACAACAACAACAGCATAAATCACAACAAGAGCAATTAAAACTACAACAGCAGCAAGACGAACAGCAACGTCAACAGCAAGTACAGAAACTACAACAACAACAAAGTATTGAATCGATATTGCCAACTCCAAATTCAGCTTTACAAGTATTGAAATTTGATACTGTGGCAAACTCAGTAGTGCCTACTTCAATTTTGTTGCCCACTCCGAGTTCACCCGAACCTTTGGTAGTAAATAAGCCCGTCGGGATCGTTAACGAAACCGCGTCCCGAATGAGCAATTCCTCTTCCACGGAAACCGGTACTGAGGTGGACTTTTTCGAGGCACCATTGTTAACTGCGTTTACGGTGCAACAAGATTCGGCTGGTGTAGCCCGCCGTGTGATTCCCATTTACACCGAGCCAGGTCAACTAGAAAGGCAGAAAATTTTGGCTTTGGAAACCAAGGCGGAATCTGTAGACGTTGGTGACCGAAACACGGTTGAACCGGACAAGAGAGAATTGGAATTCCTCAAGAATGTCGAGTTATCGCAGCTCAGGCCAAAACAGATACCATTGGATGGACTTCAACAAGAGTCGTTTGCCTTGCAAGAACAGCTGAGGTTCCAACAACAATTGCAAGCACAACTACAGCAGAGAACGTTTTTACAACAACAACAACAACAACTACAGCAACAACAACAACTACAGCAACAGCAACAACTGCAGCAACAACAACAGCAACAACAACAACAGCAAAAACAGCTACAGCAACAGCGGCAACAACAACAGCAGCATCAGCAGCAGCAACAGCAACAGCAGCTGCAACAAAAACAGCAGCAACAGCAACAGCAACAGCAACAGCAGAAACAACAGCAGCAGCAGCAACAACAACAGCAGCAGCAGCAGCAACAACAGCAGCAACAACAACAGCAGCAGCAACAACAGCAGCAGAGGGTGCAGCAACAACAACAACAACAACAACAACGACAACAACAACAGCAACAGCAGAGAGTCCAACAACAACAACTACGACAGCCTGCACAACAAATTCAACTGCCACCAATACAACAAGTGCGGTCAGTCCAGTTGCAACAACAACCCATCCAATTGCAACCGATACAATTTCAACAACAAGCACTGTTGCCACCGTTCACTCCAGTTGAACAGCAGTTTGGCAGGCCGTTCGTCCCAGTTGAACAACAACTCGGTGGACCGTTCGTCCCAGTCGAACAAAAGTTTGGCGGGCCGTTCACCCCAGTTGAACAGCAGTTTGGTCCAATTGAACAGCAGTTCAGCCCAATTGAACAGCAGTTCACCCCGCAACTGCAGGCGCGGATACTAAGACAGCCACAACAGGTATTCGGTTACGGGCTGCCCGTTCCCAAGTTGCCTGACGATTTGGACGTCGTCTACAAGGTGTTGGCTCTGAATCACGAGGGCAGAGACACGCAACACCTCGTCAGGCCACAGCTTCCCCTTTTTTGAGTAATTATTCTTAGTATACTTATTACTTATAATGTACTTATATTGTTATTTGTTAATTGTTATTATTTTGGTCCGACTGTTTACACGGTAAATATATAATAATATGCGTACCAACCTATACTGAAGCGAAACCGCACCGCGTCACTGTTGATCGAATTGAAAAAAAAAAAAATCGTATCCGTTTACTAGTGTACGTCAAACTTTAAATTACGAAAAACGGCCGCAACAATCCGTATTAAGTAGTTTTTTCTCGCTTAAATCTAAAAAAATACAACTGCATTAAAATAATATACTCATCAATTTACTATCGGTTGTTGATCCAATATTTTATCACTTTAAATAAGCGACGTATTATTATACGTTGTTATCGTATCAGTTTTGTGTAGAAAATCGCATTTCTGGGGGTGGGGGCATCCGTGCTTCCCCTCATAAAATCCGCAAGAGTCTAAAAAATACGTCTTTATTCGGGCGACAAAATATTGTGCAATTATTTTACGTGGGCATTACCTAATACGCAAATACTTCTTCATCCCCTTTATCTCACGCAAGTAGCTTAGCCGGCCGTAGCTTAGTTCTGTTGTCAGTCACTTTCAATTCTATTTTCTTATCAATAATATATACAGGATGATTCATTAAGAGTAGTCACCCAATTTTTTCGGTTGAATTTTGCATATATTCAAATTCTGATTTTTGGATTTTTGAATGTAATTAAAGCCGAAATTTTTGAATACTTAGATTTTTCACAACATTAAAGGAGTGGCCTGTTGCGATACTAAATTTGGTATTTTAAATGAGAACCTATATTAAACTTTTCATAAATTTCATTTTTAAGTTTAGGTAGGGGGATAGTAGTGGAGCACTAATAAAACGCCACGCACCGTGCTGCCACACAAATGATACTCCACTACTCTTTCCCTGCATAAACTTAAAAGTGGAATATCCCGTTAACGGGTCGACGGAAATCAAAAATGTTGACACCGAAATTTATTTAAAGTACCTATTACTCCGTCTATTTATTGAATTTTTAATACAGTTTCTTCTTTGAAAAAACAAAGTTGGTATCACTACAAAAAAAATGTCTTGAAACGCCTAAGCACTTATTCAAAACTTTAACTACATTTAAAAATTTCAAAAATCAGAATTTTAATATGTGAAAAATTTAACAAAAAAAAAAATTGGGTGAGCACGCTTAATGAATCATCCTGTATACATTATAACATACAATTGCGGTTCGTATAACATTTTCTATTTATGTTGTTTTTTTTTTTTTTTTGAGCTTTATTAATAATTCCGCTTGTATTTTTTTTTTTAGTTTGAGTAATTTTACTGTTGTGTTTCAATGTGCTAAGTGGCTGATATATAATTCAGTAGATAGTATTACAATTATCGACAATTACTTATTTGGTCAAACGATAGTTAAAAATTAATTGTTTTTTTATCTTTTGGTTTAATCTAATATTTTTTGATAGTATACGCATTATATTATAAACTATGAAAAAAATTTAACCAACATTTTTTTATTCACCGTTATCTTATATTTATTACGTATTCGTAGGTAATTAAGATTTAATGTATAATTCTTTATTATTGTTTTTATACTGTTTAGTGTGCCATTAAAAATATTATATTTATATCTTTATATATAAACATAATGGTGCCTATATAATATATATATATATTTTTTAAATATTTCATTCATAATAATTATAATTATAAATTTATTGAGCATTTGTAATAATGTTATAACGTTTTATTATAAAAATCAAAAAAACCAACAAAAAAAAGATTGCGTTTGTCTAATTATTGTCAGAACACAACTTACATACCTATTCGTTGTGAACAACGAGCTAATAATTGCAACGACTAAAGAAACGCATACTAGTATTAATAATGCGCTATTATTATTTTCACATTTTTAACCGACGACGACGTTTGGATTAACGATATTAACGTGGTTTTTTAACAAGTGTGTCGACAACTCCTTACGGCTTACACCGATGATGTTCGTCGCTTGACAGTTTAATTTAATTCACCTATCCAGTGACCAGTGACACGGGTAAAAAAAAATAATTGCCGAACAACGAGCACGATAAGCCGTGGTCATTTTGCATTTCTGGTGTGTATAGCGTGTGGTAAAAAAGATAAGATAGCGTATGATAAATAAAAAAAACTTTGCCTTTTAATGTAGTTGCCATAATAATTATTAGGCATTGTGTTTGTTTTTCAACACAAAAAATATTACGTTTTTCGATATTATTTCCGATATTGTACCGTGGAATTTTCACATAAAGAAAACTTTTATTTCTGTAAACAATTCAGAACGACGATAACATCAGTGTAATGTTTTACATTGACGATGATTGGTCAACTTAATAATCGCGTTATCTATACATTGCTAAGATGCGGATTTTATAATGCAAATTATATTTTTGCATGTATATATGCATTATTTGCACTATTGTGTTTAGTAAATTTATACACATATGAAAAAACTTTTTTCTCAACATTTAAAATAATTTTTAGAGTATTTTTAACCTTTTTTTAAAAAAATGTAAGCGCTTTAATTTTTTTTTTTTTTTCAAGGCATTTTTCTTGTCTATTATAGAGCATTTAAATCCGCACCTTATACATTACTCTCGGGTGGAGATTCTGATCTCGACGAAAATTGTGCGTGTAAATAATATTGGTAAAATTGACCGTTATGATTTTATACGCGAACGATGCAAGGGCACAATCGATTCCGATATCGGTGCGAATATCCATAGTTAGTATACGCCTACCAAGTACCTAATCAACAATTTGAACACAGGCGAATATGAATATGCAAGTCCGCGGCGACACTCCCGGGACGATTACTTCTATACGGATGTTAACATTGTTAATTTCACATGGCTTTGGGACGTTCAATACTACGAAAACCGAACGGTTTTTCTCGTTATTACAGATTTGCGGTTTTCTGTGGTTATACGGGCCGGAGAAAAAAACAAAACCAAAACAAAACACATATTAGGCGAGCACCTATATTATTTATACCGATTTGGTTTTTTCGCGGGCGACGCGTTATAATTTTATTATATTGCAAACTAAACTACAGGTAATAACCGTCCGTCCTATGCGAGTTAATTTATGCGCAGGGACATCTTGCATATTATGTGCAATGTGCATACCTACCGATTATCATGAATCAAAACCTAACCTAACCTAGTTATGCATACTAATAATAATACAATCTATACCCTACACATTCTAATTATATTTACAGCGCGTTGTGAAACTAGTAAATCTCGATTAAAGAATTTCGTCATTAATTAAACAGCGTGACTTATAATAATGTTACGCTAGAGAACGCATGTGAATATCGCGAACAACGCCGTGGCTACTGCGATACAATTATTAATTATAGTATAATACATCTCTATATAAAAATTAACTTTTGCCCGTTCATCAGAATAAAATACCGCGAAACATTGATACAACGGTTAATACTCGTAAATAAATATAGAGATAAAAAATTTATATATAGAAATAAAAAATAAACAATTGAATGAATGCATCGCCTGGAGTATTATGATATGCGGAATTATACGAACGGTTTCGAATTGAAAGTTCATCAACAGGTGTATCACAGTCAAAATGTAAAACTCGACGTCGAGACTTTTACATCCAGGCGACGCATTCATTCATTTATTTTTGTTTTTTTGTTTTTCCATGTATACATTTTTTATTCATATATTTATTTGCTATAATCATAACTATATCAATTAAAAAATTGAAAGACCTACACACAATAATATTGAAAGGTCCTCCTAATCTTAGTGAGCCCAGATTAAGACTGATTTATTAATCTCTAATGGCAATAAGTTATAGATACGTTGAACAAAAATATATTGAAACGTGCATTTTGTTTCGAATTGATAACAATATTTATGAAAAAGTTTAAATAAAACTCGTCGCAAATATAAGTAATATGGCATATGAACAAATATTTGAATTCCTTAATAATAACATTTGTATAATTTTGTGATTCGATTGCCATGTTAGCACGATCGCAGGAAATGTACTTTCTAAGCGTCTTGTAATCGTTTATATTTTTTTATGGACTGTTCTTCGTGTACTCATTACAGGTTAACAATGTTTGATATTTTGTTTGTAGACACAAAACAAAATTAATGTCCAAATATGCCGACAACTTTAGTATGGTATATAACACAAGGTAGTCGCCAAAATAAATCCAGTCACTAGAAATAAAATAAAAACCGTCTCGTGATTTTCATAGAATGCATTACTTTCTCCAGTAGGTAATTTAATGACCGAACAAAATTATTACACAAATCATCAGTGTTATAATTATTTATTATGCTTTACGCTCAATTGCCAACCAAAATTTTTATCATCTATTTGACGTAAATCAAAATATCGCTTTTGGATTCTGTATCTTACCTAGAGGAAAAACGCGACATTTTAGATTCTGAGTACGATGAAGAAGCTATTGTAAATTTATTAAGATGCGTTTTGATGATGTCATAAATAAATTAAAAGACGCGGATTGTCCGCCTGATGGTACTTTCAGTGTTATACGCGTTTTTTTTTTTTCTTTTGAGGTGGCGTTAATCTAATTTAAACGGCCAAGTCCACCTAAATCACACGAAGCCAAATAATATTATAAATATGCTGGGGTTCGAGAATAATAGAACTTGCTGTTATTATTATTTTTTTTTTTGGCTAGCTATTGAGTCTAGCAGAGCGTTATGGAAAAGAATGTCACGTTCAAATACAGAATTTTAAAAAGGTTTTTCGACGACAGTTTAAAAAAAAAGATTTTTATTTGTTTTTGTTTGTGATTAGGTAAAGTCCAGTCTAAAATTTTACCACGTAAATGAATGGTTAATATAAATATACGTATTACATAGTACTTAATGAAAATTTCAGATTTCTACGATTATTTTTAACCGAATTAAAACAAAAAAAAACAAAATCGAAAATAATAAATCCGTTAATGCCGCGTGCCGTAAACTTTGCTATTTTGTCCAATTACTAAAAAACTGCTATATCAATACAAAACGACATTCTTATACACCAACAAGAAAACAGCTGTTTACCGAAAAAATGTTATTACTCTTGAAATTTGGATTTAGATTTCTGGTAAAAACCAAAATTTAAAAAAAAAAAAAGAACCAATACCGTGGTCGAGTGTGCCACTATTGTAGAAGTTGTGAAGATAGGATACACAAAGTTATTCAATTTATAATCTGTGAGTAACGATAAGCCATTGCTAAAGAAAAACGATTCGGAGTGAAGTTCGGTTATAAATGTTTTGAAATATGTACGATTTCCGATAAAATTTGATATTAAAACTTTTTAAAAAAATGACTACGTTGCATTTAATTTATTTATATTTCGACCGCCAAGTACGACTTATAATAAACCACCCGTTAATTTTTTAAGAGTTTCTGATTAGTCTAACAATTATATTCACAGAGTAGGTACCTACTCGCAAAATTTAAAATTCAACACAAAAAGTCTTATGTAAGGTCTCACTTTTATATTAGAGCAATATTTTTAAAAGAAAACGTCTTGCGTAAAAATTTAAAACAATGAATATCGTTTTTCATTTATGATGATTACCACTTGGAAAATTCAAAAACCGACCTCCTCCTCAATGCACCAACTAGATAAAATTTAATCGCAAGAATGGCGCTTCATTTTATACGCCGGAGCGTAAGATTTCTAGTAGAAAAGTCATTAACACACAAATGATGTGTGTGTATTAACACACGCATCATAGTAAAATCAATGGATTGATTGCTGTAAAGTTTGCATATTGACAATTGACTTCAACAATGTTCACGATGTATTACACACAGTATAAGTAAATATTATTTTAACAATATTATTATTATATTAAATAATTTCGGTTGTCGACGAATCGAGTGGCCTGAAAATCCGTTCGACACAAATGTAGCAACTCGATTCAATATTTAACAAACAATGTCTTTTGTGTGTCTTGTAATTTTCTGTTTGGAGCGAAATGTCTAATAGAAAAGTTGCACGCGAATATAAAATTACAACACACGTCATAGTAAAACGGACACGTTCCTCGCTACGCTCAGAATTCAGTAAAAAATAAATACATTATAATTGTCGGAATAAAATAACTCGTTTCTCCTGATACGATTTATAAATTAGTGATTAAAATTATCTATTATAATATAATTAATTAATTATAATATACTTACTAACCTAGTTTAAAATAATTACATACAATTTAAGCAGTACACTCGAGTAGGTACCAATTACCGAGATTTATTAACAACGACGGAGTATTACGAAAAAAAAAAAAAAAATAATAATAATAATTAATATACTCGTGTAATTTGGTCAGAGTAAAGTCTAATGAAAGTAATGATATTTCGAATATCGTCGGGCGTACTCGTACACTATACTCGTGTATTATTCAGAATGCGATGGCGACGGGCGCGAACCGGTGGCCGTCCGTTGTGGAATATGAATAATAACAATGAGCAAAACGATAGCGAAACGAAAAAACGTATCGAAATCCGTGAGAACCGGAGCGGCGTGTTACATAAAAAAACAAATGCAATGACGGAAACAACAGCGGGTGTGCCGGGCGCCGGGACGTCAGATTTCGTCGAAAAACTGCGTAACAATAATAACGCGGGTAACACAGTGAAATTCGCGTATAACGATATTCCGGGTAAAACGATTCCAATCAATGCGTTCGGTTGGTTTCATATGCGATGTTATTTTAAAACGAAAATTGGTTTTTATAATCACCCATAGCGGTTAACAATATGCATGCACATTGTACGCCGTGTAGTAAATTCGATTCCGTCCAAATCGATAATTCTCAATCGTATCTGTAACAGATAATGTGTCTTGTACGACCGTATTGTATACAGGATACCTACGTTTCTTAGTCGTTTAGTTGCCGTTTCGATTGCTATCCGTTTAGACACGATCCGGATAAGTTAAAAATGTCAAATAAAAGAATAAATAAATTAACTTCTATTAAAATCTATATATAAACACCTCGAATGTTAAAATATGCAATCGTAAATAAAATTAAAAAGTAAAAAATGTGTTTAATAAATCGATTTTTCAAAAAAAAAAAATCATGTTACTTTTTATGATCCGGATATAACGAAGTTCGGTTATAACGATCGGATTCCCTAGGTCCCTAGAAGATCGTTATAAGCGAATTCGACTGTAGTTTTACGATTGAACGATGCGTACGCGGATATTCGATTTCATTACGTTAGGATCGATTGCAAAATAATCATATACGGTTTGGTAAAAACCAAAAAAAAAAAAAAAATCACGTTTTTTTCTCTTTTTTTTTAGAGGTCTCGTTAATTTACCGTCCGTTGTTGCGAGCGTATAAACTGTTGCGGTCTTGTCAATTTCCGGCCAACGCGTACATGACCCGCGAATTGTAACACAGGTTATTGAGAAGCCGCGCTCGGCGTGTCGCATCACGGACAGGCCGAGTTTTCAAGCCGGGGGAGTGGCCAGTCGGGGACATAGCAATTCGGTTTACGCATACCGAACCCGACGGTAAACCATTGGGATCGACGATAACGACCCCGGAGGTGTTGGCGTTTCCCTCCGGGTAACCCGGAAATAAACAAATGCATAATCAACGCGTACTCCGCACGTTCGTTATTGTTTTTTCATTTTTCTAGAAAAAACGCGTTGGCACCACCGAAACCAGAACACGTATTCCAATTAAGTGAAATGGTTCGGAGCACGATTTGAATACCGATTCAGAGCGTTCGCGTTAGTCGAAACGCTTTTTTTCCCCCGAGGGAAATGAAATCTGGGGGCCGAACTGCCGCACTTCGGATCTTAAAAAAAAAAAAAAAAAAAAAAAACCCCAACATCTCCGCGTAAATCTATAGAGTTTTATTTACCGTATTCGGAATCTAACGTGCAAGACCGCGTATTATGATATTATGCATTGCGGTCGGTCGGCGAAAAGAAAACGCTTGTACCGGTGCAGTTGACGGTTATGATTAGAAAGACGAAACGAAAGTGTCCGGGATGCGCGGGTAAACGGACTTTAGAGATCGGCAAAACGAACATTTGGACGCGTAGTCGATTCGGAAACGTACGGTCGGCGGTGACCGCACAGAAGGTCGGCGGGTTTTCGGGCCGGGACGAGAGGGAAAGCGCGAAGATGGATTTTTAATTCCCATCGATGACCGACGGACGTCCGTGTCGTACTACGGTATTATCATAATTACGGATTGGTTTGAACAAATGATAAATTACATAAACGGATATAACCAATCGTTCGAAGGAGTTATACGTAATCCGTTTTTTCTCTCTCTTTGGACCGGTATTTGTATCCAATACGTTAATAACCCATACGACTATAATTATTAATGGAAACGGCCGGTACCTTGCTTGACTTACGAATCGATTAGTAATCCGTTTGTTGACTCCAGGACTGGTGATTTGGCACACAAATTCGTTATACATTTTAACTCTGGCATTCGTGTCTGGCCGTGTTAAACAGTCTGCGCCATCTGTTCCGTTATTATCTACAATTTTATTGGCGCCACCGCCGTGCTCTCCTCGGTTCCGAAAAATCGCGATTGTCTGTTAGAAAACGAGTCGTATCCGTTTTGTTAAACACGCCAACAAAATCCCGCGTAATGCCGAAATCCATAAGATGACGGTAATTGTCGATTCTAAGCCGTGCTAATGTTTCTGGAAGTTTTTCCAACAAACCGTCCAATTTAACGTCTGCCGGTTCCGCTTTGCGCGGAACGGCTACAGGGTTTTTTATATTTATAATTTCCGAATCTCCCTTTCCAACAACACGCGCGTGTACAATGCTTCGGCCCGTACGGTTCGCGGGTGTCCGCGCGACGAGGCGATTTCGCCGTTACCCCGTGCGACACAAAACGACAGCGACGAGAGGACCGGAAAATACGAGCGCACCGGCTGGCGGCGGTAAAATCACTACCGACGATCGGTTTGTCGCCGGTCGATTACCCACGGAAATCGGTTTACGTTCGCAGAATGAATTCGCGCGCGACCGAACGGGAAAAACCGAGAACACTACAAATTTTTCTCATACGGGTCCTCGCGCGCCGTGTGGTACGCTGCTGACTATATGTATACACGTATACGTTTTTTTCGCAATGGATTCCCGGAACGGCACGCACGATGTTGCGAGGGTCCGGGGGGCCGCCGTCGCCAACGATTACATTCCGTACGGGGTAACAGATCGCGTACGAGTAATATTATTTTTGGCGAAACGATCAACAGGGAGTGGACAGCGTATCACCTCAAGAAAATTTCCCTCCGAACGGAATTAAAAATTTATTAATCGAATTCGCTCTGCTCGTAGACCTGAATAATATGCGTAACTCAGAGGTTCCCAGACTGTGCGCCGCGGTGTGTTGTCGGCGGAGCCGCGGCTGTGACTCGCTGCCGACTACGTTATCTGGTCTAAAAATAAACAACGATATTTTACGATAACGAACGATTTCACTAATTCAACTGTTTTCTACAAATAAACTATGTCTAATTTACTTTACCTAATAAAATTAAAATTAAATATTTCAGTGTATAATTATATACTATTTTATTTAAAAAAAAAGGTCGTACATTTTATTAAGGGCGCCATGAGCAAACTTCAGTTCTAAAAGGGTGCCACGAGTAGGAAAAGTTTGGGAACCTCTGGTGTAACTAATACAATTAATTTTATTTGTTTACTTTATTTTTGTTTCTTCTTATCTTTAGATAGGACTTCATTAGATTAACATTACTAAAAGTTTATTTTTTATTTGTTATGTATTCTATTATAGATTTACTATAATTTTTAGTTCTTAATCAATGCTTATTATACATTTTGAACTCACTATCCCCTATCACAGCTCCGTTTATTGAGGAAGTCTCAATATTGTTAAGTTTCTTGTAATTTCAAATGTTTGTACTGTTTTTATTGACAAATAAATAAATAATAATAATAATATATTTTTGTAAATAATGCTATTAAGTTTTTTGTAAATCTATATAAATAACATTTACTTAATGATGGAATTTAAAAACATCTAAAACGTAGCAGCTAGGAGACGATAATATCTATTATAATATATTAGTAACGGCCATTACTTGAGCATATCTTGATCGTTTAGGGAAGAAATCGTGTTGATCCAGGAATAATACACATTTTTTTTTTTTATAAGCTCGGAGTTCAAAGAGCTTGCCAATAAGAGACAATCCTGAACTAGGACAGTAATTAGTTACATCAATGGAATCTTTATTATTAGATTTTATTATAAAATAAACTTAATTTAGTATAATAATTTAAATAATTTCGATTAAAATTATAAAATTACAATTATGTACAAACAATATTTTAACACCAAGTACGTAGAAAGGGCGTGTGTTCAAAGTGTTTTCAAAGAGTACAAAAAAAAAAAGATTTAATTGAGGACATAATATATATTACACATACTATATACAGGTTCATATTATTATATAGACAATAGCGTATTCACTATTTGTCAATGGAGGAGGGATAGGTGGATCAAAGGGGTTAAGAAGTCTATTGCCTTCTGAAACAAACGTGAGCTAAAACAGAGTAATAAAGGAGGGGTTATAACACTAAAAACCTCAATACAATATGCATAGAAAAACAATGAACCCGCAAATAAAAATAATAATAATAATAATAATAATAATAATAATATTGATAAAAATATGTGAAGAACGACATAGACTTTTACATGTTAAAAATAACAAAGATACAAAACATTCGGTATCTACAATTTAAATTATTACGCTATTTTTATATATTATACATTGTACTATACTATTAACTAGGTATAAAATATATATTATGTCATGGTTTTAATCAATTTCCAGTTTTTTGAATTTATCTTTCACGTTTAGTTCACAGAGTTTCAGTTGGCCGACCCGTTTGGACAAATCGGCTTTCGGTCTGTTTCCTAACCATTCGTTGTTAGCCATAGTATATTCGAACCAATTGTCTGTAACGATACAAAAAAAAAAAAAATTTAATAACAATAACGTTCATCAAAATATCTTAGTATATAATAAAATTGTAATATTATATCGGTGGGTACTCGCCTTCGATACTTCGGAGATCTCCGGCGGTGCCACCATATTGGTCCGGGAGGACGTCTTTCGGAATGAATTGGTAAAGAGATTCCAGCGTGTTATGGACGTATATCTATACAAAACATAAATACGCGATATTAATGATATTATAAAAATAGACATTCGTAAACAAAATTAAATGCATTTGTTTGATTTAGTAGTGGATAATTGTATCAGAGGATCCTCTGATACAATCCTCGATAAGACACTCATTATCTCGGAATATATTAACGTTATTGGGATTTTTCTTTTTTGAAAACTTTGTGAAACAAACAACTCTAAAATTGTATATTTGAGATTTGTTGACACTTTTAATTAAGTATATACAAAACATTTTTGTTTAAAAAAATATATTAAATAATATATACATTTTTATTTTAAAATTTATATTGTTCCTTTTTTAAATTGTTTTATGTAAACCATAATATAAAATTGTTTATCAGCAACCTGGTGATGGCGTAAGCCGAAACTAAGTATTTGTATAAATAAAACTTATCAACATTTTACGTCAATATATTTTTAAACAAAAATCGTTTTTTTTATAACTTTAAAATGTTACATTGTTGGTTTTTTATGCACCTTTATTTTTGTAAGTGTAAAACCACTATCCATTTTTGATTTTCAAATAATAACTTATAATAAAAATTGCATAAATAGATGAAATGATAGTTTAAATACATATTTTGGTGTGGAGATTTTAAATATCCGGTGCCCATTATCGAGATATTCCAATTTTATGTTTGGAAGTACCGAACAAATTATCAAATTAAAGTAATAACTGATTTACAAGTTGATATAGGTAAAAATTCAACTACCTAATTTATTTAGTTAAACTGACCAGGTAAAAATTAAGAAATGTTTGGAAAAAAAGGTTTTGTTGGCGAAGAAATCGGACGCACAACTGTTTGTACCTTTTGGTTTTCTAATCTAACGCCCTAACCTACAACCAAATAACTTGATACATTATTTAGTGTATCAAGTTATTTGGTACACTTATTAGTTATTTATTGGTCGAAAAAATATTATTTTAAACTCTCCAATAATTGTTTAAATATCTAATTAGTTCAATACATTTTTAGTGTACTTTGTATTAAAACTCGTACTGTCTACACATGAAAAGGCCGTGCCTGGGGGAGGGAGTATTTAATCTCCTTCCCTCCGACATTTTAAAGAACTTAAAAAAAGAATGTAGCAGTGTTATTATTATTTAATATTTTCATACAAACTCCTCCTGTAGTAAAAATTACCTAGGTACACCCCTGCATTACCTAATTGATAATTATTGTAGTAGAGGATGGTAAAAGGAAGGCAATATTATCATATTTTCATACTATGATTACGATATTATTACAGAACGTCATCTTATTATTGCCGTTTAGTTACCTACACTATTAGGCTTCAGTGGTTGGGGCATGTGATGCGAAAACAATTTTACGAATAAATTATAGTAATTTGAACTCGTGGATGACAATAAAATAACATTTTAGAGCTTCTTAACTTATCTGAAAAAAGTTAATAATTTTCGATAAAATGAATGTCTTATCGAGGATTGATCACCCTGTATTTTGACCACGATCATTTATAGATGATAATTGTAAAACTGTCACGTAACCATTATATATATATATGAGTATATTATCATATATAATGGTAATGCAATGTATAATACGGAGTTCCACAAATGTTACATAATTTTACTTTTTGCAAATTAGTGCTCCCGGTGAGTATATTAATATATTTAGATTCAAAAATCTAGATGATTATAGTCATCAAAAATAATATTACCAATCGTACCATAGTGGTTTTTTAATAACTAGATCACGACACGGAATGGTTTTTTTTTTTTTAAAGAACTTTTGCGGGTGACTTGTGGCTTAACCATTCTATTTATAATCATAATTTCAATATTACTCTATTTTTAAGTTTCTTCGGCAACAACATTTTAGCCAAGGTCATAATCTTGCCTATGAACTTCGGTGGATTTATAAAGTGGAAGCCCTTCACGCTTAATGGGAACGAATTCTGTAAAACAAAAAAAACATTGTTATACATCAATGATCCTTGAAATAATAAGTACCGAATTAATTAAGTAATTAAAAAAAAATATTCGTATGCCATTATGTTCGCTTTGTGCAATAGTATTACATATTTAAAAACAACAAGAACCGTGCGTCACTGTTATCAAGTTAGAAAAGTAAGGTACACAAAGTTATTTAATTTATATCTGCAAGCAACGATAAACGATTAAATGGTTTTCTAGGTTAGAATCTAAAAGAGCTTATATTGCCGCTAATGTGTGCACTGCTATAGTAAGTAGAAATTTGGGAAGGTTTAGAGGACATAAATTAGTATAATATATATATATTTTATATACGAAATACGATTCTGAGCGAAGTTCGGTTAAACATGCTTCGAAAGGCCGTACCCTTACGAATTTCGTCAAAAATTATTTTACCGCCAAGTTTAAATTATAATAAACTTTGTATTCAAATTAGCGATGGGAATCCGAAAATTTGGATTTTTCAAAAAAAAAACGCTATTTAAGCCCCTTGAAAATCTTATAAATATTAAATATTATTATATTATAAAGCTGTGTACCTAAGTTAAATATTTGGATACAAATTTGAAAAAAAAAACTCTTAACTTTAATTATAAAATGCTTTTGGATTTCGGATTTGTTAAAATCCGAAAATCTGGAATCTGAAATCCGAAAGCATTTTATAGTTAAAGTTAAGAGTTTTTTTTTTTATATTTTCGTAAAAAATATTTAAACTAGGTACACCGCTTTATACTTTAAAAATATTTAACACTTATATGATTTAAATGGCTTAAATTGCTGTTTTTTTTTTTTTGAAAATCCGGATTTTCGGATCTCCATCACTAATTCAAATGTCAATTATTTCTGATTCGTGAAACAATTTTATCACACATAACCCTAAATAAAAATTAAGAAAAACTAGAAAATATCAGATGCTTATAAATAGCTCAAAAATCTCCAGAAAGTTATGAATATTTTATCACCACTAGGAGCTAAGGCTAGTATCAGTATTTGTGGAAATGTCAGGTCTTTGCGATTACTTTTAACTAAATTAAAAAAAAAAAAAATCGAAAAAAATGAAACCGTTATTTCTGTTAACTATCTCGTTTCCCTCTCCAGTAATAAATAAGAGAATATTTATTAAGAAAACTTTAACAAAAATTAAAACATGAACTTTTTACACACCGACTAGCTAGATCAAAAATATTACAAAAAATGTCTCTTGACTATTTTCAATAGAAAATATGTTTACAGACAGAAAATTTCCTTAAAAACAATTTCCTATCTATAGATTCTCCTCTTCTAATATTCACCCTAAACGTTACAGGTTTTTCAGTCTTCCATATTATCTTTACTCTTTTCTATCGTAAACTAACCGCTTCAGTTCTTTGTAGTTTGTCCTCTTACATCAGAAATCATATTTTTAATATAGATATATAGATGTTACCAAAAATTAACTTAGACTTTTCTTCGGTTACCCTTCAAAATCATTGACAACCTACTAGTTACCACTGTACCACCTTTAAAGAAAATCTTATCGACCTAATAAATGAATAACTTATAGACATAATTATTTATTTTATGTTCTTTATTTAGTAAAAGATATTGCTCATTATCGGACCACCCACAGGCATAAGTTGTTGACAAAAATAAATTAAACGTCTCGAAAGATAAACTCACGAAACACATATTGATGTAATTTTTGGTCATCAAAGGCGGTAAGTTCACGAATTGACTCAGGGGGAGGTATTCTAGGTCGAACAAGAAAATCTCTCCATGCATGGGCTCGATTCTCAATTGCAAATCCAGAATAGCTAGGTATGATTGGAAGGAGAGTAAAAAGTCCAATTTCAAGTCTTTCGCCGTCGGATACATTCTGCTACACATCACTCGGTAAGCCTCCGGTGTCAGTTTTGGGAAGACACAATTCGATCTATAGTTAAAAAGTTATGAAACTTTAATACAACAACTATTATTCTATTATTATTCCAAAATAAAAACAAAAATATATAAATAATTTCGCCGACATTCGTTTCGTATTTATATTATATCACAAAAACTGGAACAAATAACTACATATCTCAAAACAAATACTTGCCCATTTTTCCTATTATATAAAACCTGTTCCAAGTCGAACGTACAAATAAATTCCGGATGTTCCGCTCGGGTAACAAAATACGCGTCGATAGTCTGTTTCGTTTTGTGCAAATTGTACTTGCATCCGACGATAAAATGAGATAACCATTTTTTATCTGTGAAAAAATAAAATGTGAATATAGAAACAATGCGACTGCTATTATGTAATAATGGAAAAGTTATTTTTTAACTAGTTTAAGTTCAAGTTCCAGATATAATATTGTATGAACTAGCTAAGGTTCGTTAGACTGAAATGAGAGTAAATTATTTGTATAATGTTATATAATATATTTATGAAATAAAATATACGTTTTTGACTTTTGAGAATAAACGTTCAATCATCTGTAAAGTTTCAAAAATTACAACTTTTAACTATTGGGCAATAGAAAATAGTTAAAAAATAATACCTAGCTAATAAATTATATTTTTAAAATGATGATACTACTAGATAACAAGAAATAATTAGATTGAGCAGATATTAGATAAAGTTTATAATATAATTGCCCGAGTCATGAAATATATTATTTATTTATTCGTAGTACGAATTAAAAGTGAATGAAGATACATAAATCGGACTCGCATTTTGAGAATTTTTACAAGACAACTTCTTAATCCCAACCGTATCGAGTGAACATGTAAACTGCAAACATTCCATTCCATTCCCCTGTATCCTGGACAAAAGCCGGGACGAAAAAAAGTTTAACAAAAGTGTGCTCTGAAGGGTGACCGGGGATTTAAAGGCGGAGCCCTCTGCTAGACGATGTTCAGCGTACCGAACTATCCATAGTTCAATATTAAATATCGCCTACAATAACAAATACAATTCGAATATTATTCTAGTGGTCTTTCTTTTTGTTTTTTCACATATTGCGTATGCATATAAATAATTGTTTGATATTACCATACTCGTTACTTTGATAGCTGATTAAACTAAATGCATTGTTTATCAATATTATTGTTATTCCGTTGTTTTTTTATAATAGTATCATTGATTTTATTTAATCGATGCTATTAACTATATGTGGGTCTACAATCGAAAATCGCGGTAACAGTTTTCGGCGCAATGGCCTGTGGTCGGCGATAATGACAAGTCGTTTTTGAATTTCAATAGTTTTTTATTCGTCAACGGATCCAATGCCGGACGCTGTAATTTGAGGTATACACTTTGGCGAGAGGAGTTGACATTTTAAGTAGCTTCCCCCATCAGTGGGTATCCTGGTGAATATTAGGGGGAGTTTTTTTGGATGGTCCTACAATTTTCGGAGGGGATAAGCCCTCCCCCCTTGAAGGCTTTGTTCAAAACGGTTGTTGGGGTTTACTATACGAGTAAAGAACAAAGACGATTATTAGAATCGCGGTTTGGTTTAAAACGTACCGTCAATACAATATTATTATATTATCGCGAAAAAACAATCCGGCTTTTAAATTACAAATTCTCATAGTCGAGTTGGGTGGAGCAGACGATTTTACGATTTATTCACGATTCTTATTTGCCACATCAGTCCCATTGAAAATTCCTGAGCACGCCACTGACGATATCAATAATAATGATATACTTGATGGCACGGACTCAATTTTGTAATGTTGTGAAACGATAATAATTCTTAACGACGATTGGTCTTCATAATATTATAATTGTTTGAGAAAATAAGAACCCCGCGTGTGTTCTTTCCGCCAGCCGGTAATTAAAACATTTTGCGCTCGTGACGGTCAAGGTCATAATAATTATTAGTGATTAGAGACAAGGTCCGGCGAGTGGACTTGGTATGCACGAGTTATCGTACGCCCACATACGGTTTTGGTGTTTTACGACAGTGTTCGGTATGCGTTACATAGTCGAAGATTGAAAAACGAAAAGTAAGCATTGTTTTTCATGATAGAGAACTTATGCCGGTGGTGGATACAGGATTTTTTTTTTTTTTGGGGGGGGGGAGGAGCCTAAAATTGTTCATATTAATTTTGAACAATGATCACTAAATATAAAATACAATATATATCTAATATTACAATCAAGTATCAACGTGATACATGACTGATATTTGAATCACGATTTATAATCATTGTTAACTCATTGTATTATTACAACTACAAAATATATAATATAACTGTCAAGGAGGGGGGTGGGGTGAGGATGAGCCCTCTCGCCTCCTCCTTGAATCCGCCACTGACTTACGCCGTCGACTATTAAACAGGTTCGGCTATCTGGGTCACTCGGGCGAATTTAAAAGGATTTTCGACCTCTAAAATTGCGAATTTTCAGGTTAAATAATAAAGTTGTGACGACAATTTACGTAATGTTTGATATTATGTTTTTATACCGTCTAAATTCGTTCAAACATTCTTAATTTTTTTTAAATTTGTTTGTTTAATTTGGTGACTCTACTCGTCCCTTGACGGGGTGAATAAAATCAGTTTATCAATATTGAAGTAAAGAATGTTAGATCAAAGTACAAAAAAAAAAACACGGTTTATCATAAATTCATAACTTTTTTGATATTATTTCGTCTATAATTACCAATTATTTTTATTTTTTATTTTTTGTTATTATTTAAGACTTATATGAATATTAGTAGTTTTATACTTACTCAAATTATTATTATGACCTATTAAATGTTCAGATTACGTGAGTCGTTGCACGGGTCGCGACGACCGAATTATAAATCATTTTTTTAAATGGTTTATGATTTGTATAATGAACAGCAGTAAAATAATAATATAATACAAACGAGTCTTTAATCTAATCCAAGGTTATTTACATTCACTGATATTTTGTAGATGTTTATAACAACTAAAAAAGCTTCAAAGCCTATATATTTTAACGTATTATTTTATTATACCATTTAAACTATTTTATTGTTTATTCAACGATCTATTCCGTAAAATAAAAATAAAAATTATAAAATTTCAAAGTTTTTACTCGTTCGAAGTACTTATAGAATTAAGGAATTGAAAATAGTGTTATTTTAACGAAAAAATGGAAATCGACTTCGCCCTCGGATTGCCTTCCCCTACCCCATTGACCTCTCGACAGGAACACAGTGCTAAAAAATAGCAAAAATCCCTGGCTTGCCGGGCGATTGCTCTACCACTGAGAGCTACCAGGTACCCGGCTTTTATCATTATTACTGCTGGGACTTGTGTTGAACGGTCTGACGTTTGGGCGGGACCCAAACCCAAGCCGTGTGTGCGGTCGGGCAGTGAAGCCGCACTATGAAGAAAAAAAAAAAAAAACCACACTCCGCCAAGTATTACCTCAGGACCCGGTATTGTACCGGTAAGTGAGTGTATGGCTATACGCACGTTGGAATTAAATTTTATTGCTACGATCGACATTATCATACCCGGTATTGTTAGGTTTGTTTTACGAAATTTTATTCCACCTACCCATTCATTCACTACGGTGGCCGCCATACACGGTGATAGCCGCCACTGCTGGCTGAAGGGTGGCGCTCGGGGGACCGTGCGTCGGACTCACCTGTAACACTGGGCAAATGCGGCTGTTCGGACATCCATTCCATGAGGCTCGTGACGTCCTCTTCGAGTTGCTTGTCCGTCCGATAGAAATCTAATTTTGTCACGAACGCCCGTTGGGTTTCGTCGAGCTGCGTATCGAGAATCATTGCGCCTATCTAATATTATTATTATTATTATTATTATTATTCGCGTTTTATATTTACAATGACCGCAGCGGGAAATTCGGCCAAATGAAAACCAAAAACGAATATCGCCGTGATAAATACCGAAAACCGCCAAATTAACTGTAAATTATTGTTGATGTCCGTTCGCAATAACTATAAATAGGTACGGCCGCATGGGTACGCGATTTTAATACTCGGCGCGTCCTCCGTGAAACGTAAATATTTGTGTTCCACGTCGGATCACGGCTTACGGCATAGTCCGCGACTCGACCGGTTAAGCGCTAGAGAGTAACTAACTGTTCGTGCGTTCAGGGTTGTCGGAATCGAAAAATAGTAATTTTATAAATCAACCGAACATATTATTACATTATAGTATTAAGATAAAATTCGTTTAAAATTCGTAATACAATGTTACCGTACGTGTTAAACCAGCTCGTTACCGCACGCCGCGCCATCTACCAGACCGTTTAATAGTGCGATTCTGTTCACAGTCCTGATTGACCGTCAAGAAATCCGCGAAACGCGCTGTAATATGATATTGTATTTCTATACCTTCTACTGGTCCCTACCGACCCGGCGTTACTCGGGCCTTTTTTTCTTGTCGGATCAAATTGTATACAGATTACTAATAAGTGTTAATACAAAAATATAGCCTTATTACCCACGACTTTGTTTTTGGTTCACCACAATGTTATATTGGTATATAATAAATGTATTATAAATTATTGCACATAGCTTTATTAAATATATTTTATTATAATTATTGTATCTATTAAACAAATGGTTTTTCAGTTTTCGGTGGTTGTTATTTTCTCACGGTCCGTATACAAACCAGTGTTGAGAAGAAGGTACCTAACGCGTTCCTTTTCAAAATATACAGGACGAGGAATGGGAAAGAGTTCCTATTGTACCTATGGGGAACGTGTTCGGAAATTTACGTTCCTCCTAATATAAAAACAAAAATGAAAAGTACTTATAATTTAAAAAAAATAAAAATGAAAGGTACCTACCTACCTTACTTTAATGGTGATATTGATTTTAAATTATTTAGTATTACTTCGGTTTTTGTGGAGTTGATAGCCAAAGACTTGGAAAACTTGGATCAACAAGAACTGAAGATGCCAATGAAAAGTTTGGAGAGATCTCTTGGAAGCGGCAAAAAAGCCTTAACGGTTGTAGGTACAAAAAAAAATATATATAGAATATGCACACGACATATCCAGAAAGGTGATTGTAATATTACCAATATTTTTCAAGAGGTCGGAACATTATACCTATAGAGCTAGTAAAATATATTAGGTAGGTGTCTATACAAATTTTAGTATTTTGGATATTTATTTTAAATTACTTGTTTAAGATTCAGAGTGGAGTGAAGAAGCTTATGGTTTTACAAAGATTTTTATTTATTTGTCTAATTTTATTTCTGTGGACAACTTCTCTACCAGATATCTTGCCCCGACTTACAAGTGTACCACTTCCTGAAAGGAAATCAGACTGGCGAGGCACTTTAGAGAGGTAATTTTTTTGTGTTTTCTAATAAATGGGAAAAACCGGGTAAAAACAAGGGAAACATGGGAAAATAGGAGTAATATTAAACAATTATTAAAGAAAATATAATGTGCCATGTAATTATTTTACCATAATATGACATAGGTATATATTGTTAGAAAAGCAACACTATCAACTGAACTCCACTTAGAATCATTTTTTCATTAGCAATGGTTCATCGTTGCTTACAGATGTACATTCAAATTTTCCCTTTATTACTTTCCCAACTTTTTTGTTTGTGTGGTCAAATAGAAAAAAAATCAAAAACTTAACAAATGTTTTTCGCTGTCCTAATGAAACAAATAATATGAGTTTTATGAAATACATGACGTAATGGTGTAACCTTAATGGACAACAGCGCTGGTGTTTTTTTCTTTGTTAATATATTTTACTATAAAGTACAACTCGTATCTTCTTACTCATTAATCATTAATAATCACCATTAAAAAATATTATTACTATGCAGTATTGCATAATAATACAGTGTTATTGTAATTATAATTAAAAACAAGATAATTATTTGCCAATTACCATAGTTAGTCTGGTCTCTATCATTATTTTTTCTGAATTCCATTATCTTCACTAAATAATGGTTTATCATAATTTGTGAAAGGGTTTTTACCAGTTTATAATTTATAAAATAAAATAAATGTTTACTTAAACTAATAGAAACTATGTCATATGCAACAGTACGTAATACTGAATTCCAACAAAAACACTAAATCAAAAAAATTACCTTGTTAATAGAAACTGTTACTGTGAAAACTGAAAATATTCCATTTTTCCGATAGTTTTCCTTAATTTTAAGAAAACCACAAGGTAAATAAAAAAATTATATTTTTATTGTACCAATTAGATAATATTTATTACCAGAAACAATTATTACTATAATTGATGATTGGAGTCAACTTTCTGGTAGAAAAAATGTTTATAGATAATTCAGTGCATTGTACGCTGAAGGTATAAGATCTGTAAGGCATTTATAACATTACTGTTTGAAGAAAATGTCTAACAGGTAATGAAACACACTAATGGTTTTCTTCTAAAAGATAAACCAATGATCATACAATTAACAAGATCTGTCACACAGCTAAATACATATTTACTTAATACAATTACTACACTCAATAATATTATAAAATTTAATGTTTATTATACAACAACATATTATTTTAAAAATAAAATATTTGTACATTTATTAATTTAGTAATGTTCACATAAAGAAAAGGAAAATATTTAGTTTCTTCTCCGTACTCTGGAAATTCGCCACGAATTTGGTTCTTCATATTTGTTATATAGTGGTTCCAGTCGTTGGTTCTTTTTGAACTTGCTTAATTTGGTCGGATCGGAGAATTTGAAGAAGGCTGGTGCAAATTCTACGAGCCATTTTGGATCAATTGTTGTTACTTCACGCATGTACTCTTTGGTAGTTTGAACCAACTCATGATACATCACCCTAATAATTAATTACATTTATTATTTTAAGTATATGTACCAAAGAAATAATTTTATCTTGTATTTGTTTTAGTTTATGTAATTTATCCTCCATTAAGATACTTTTTACTATATCTTTTTGTACTAAAAGATACAATATACTTAGAAATATATATATATATATATAAAAGATTAGATTTTAAATCGGTATAAATAATATTTAATAAACATCTAAATATTATGTTGTATGTATGAATGCAGAATGATATTTAACACAAAATGTTTGCTTTCATGTATCATTACATTTTATTTTGTACTTTTAATCCTAAAAAACCATAAGTAATAACAATATAATTAACAAAACAATTTTGAATCATGCCAATAAAAATTGAAAATATCTTGCACCTTTTTTTTCATAACTTTGATATTTGTGTTATATACCTTTTCTAGTTCTGTAATGTATCTTGTAGTATGTATCAAGATACTTTTTTCTTAGTATCATAACAAACCTTGATTATTCAATATTACAATGTTTATCAATACTAACCATTCAGGTTGTCTGTTGAATAATGCACTACTAGGATGTATGTAAACTGCTTGTCCATCAACTAGAGTACGGTATCCTTCTTGTGGATCTTTTTTAGATGCATTGCGGAAAAATCCAGAGCAAATGGCTTTTTGTATGCGAGCTGTATTTTTACCAGCTGATACAACATCCAATTTATGTCTGCAAATTTTAGAAGTAAAATATGATAGATACAATATCTAAATATAACATAGCATAACATATCAAAATATGGTATATTACCTGTCCATAATACCAAGTAATTGTTTACGAACATCTTGAGCTCGTTTTAAAGTACGCACTTGGACAAAATTCTCATAACACCAAGCATTACTAAATTTATTGTTTTTCCAAGAATTAAATACAGCGAGAAGTGTTAAATGATCTCCTTCAACTTGATTAAACTTTGCTTTTTTTTGGTCGGCTAATGCTTGTTTGTCTTTTGGTCTATAGAAGACATTCTGGACAGAAAGCATAGACACAATGGTCAATATTTCTTCAGAGCATTGAAGATGAACAGACATTATCAACATTTTTGAAAGGTTAGGTTCCAATGGAAACTCTGCCATCTAAAGCAATATGTAAAATATAAATTTAATTAGTGTTGATTATTAAAATTGTTAAATTTTTATATATATATATATATATGTATATACCCGTCTTCCTAATCTGGTGAGTAAACCTTCATCATCTAATGCACTCAAAGAATGCAACGATTCTAAAGCCATGATTAAACTTTCAACTGGTGGGGCATCCATGAAGTCAAAATGGAGTAAATCATTAATACCCATAGTTTTTAGTTGTAATACCTTAATGTAAAACACAAGTATTCCATTAAAATTTTATGACATAGATATAATAAGATATTCAATAACATACTGTAGTTGCCAAATTTGTACGTTGTATTTCAGGCACAGGTGTGGGCAACATTTCATCCCGATATGCTCTTTCTGTATAGAGTCTATAACATTTACCTGGTCCGGTACGGCCAGCACGTCCTGCTCTCTGTTTAGCTTGAGCCTATAAGTAAATTATCATACTTTAAGTAATGCCTATGTTTAACAATGGATCATAAAAATCATATTGCAGACAGACATACTTGTGAAATGGGTGTAACAACTAAAGAATCCATACCAGTTTTTGAATTATAGACTTTTTGTTTTACAAATCCAGGATCGACCACGTAATAAATACCATCAATTGTCAATGAGGTTTCAGCAATGTTTGTAGCAATTACAACCTAAAGTAACCAGATTATGATCATTTTATTTCATTTAAATTATTTCGAGAAACAAAACTTAAATAATTTAATTAAAATAAATATTGATATAAGAGATTGAGTATTTCATACTTTTCTAGATCCAGGAGGAGCAGCTTCAAAAATTCGAGTTTGCATTTCACTAGGTAGAGCTGAATAAACTGGTAAAATAATCAGCTCAGGTATATCAGGTCCTAAAGACTTCATTCTTTCATACAATATTTCACAAGCGGTATCAATTTCTTCTTGACCAGTCAAGAAAAGTAGTACATCACCAGGTGGTTCTCGTAAATGTATTTGCATAACTGTAATAAGCGATGCATCTAAATAATCAGTCTCAGGTTCTTTAGTATATAACACTTCGACAGGGAATGTACGTCCTGGAATTGTGAATATTGGAGCTTCGAAAAAATACTGTGAAAATTTCACAGCATCTAAAGTTGCAGATGTTACAATCAGTTTTAGTTCTTTCCTTTTGGTAACAGCTTGTTTTAATAATCCAAATAAAACATCGGTATGTATTGTTCTTTCATGAGCTTCATCCAACATGACCACAGAATAGTTTTTTAAGTCAAAATCTACTAGACATTCTCGTAGTAACATACCATCCGTCATGTATCTGTAACAAAAAATATTTTATTTGAATCATTTAAAGTATATTAAATATATTATTACAAATTTATATGTATTTAATTTTTTACTTTATAGCAGTCTCTGGACTAGTACAATCTTCAAAACGAATAGTGTAACCAACTTCTTGACCTAATCTGCATCCAAATTCTTCAGCTACTCTTTTTGCCACAGACATGGCTGCTACTCTTCTAGGTTGAGTACAACCAATTTTACCTCTTGATGTGAATCCAGCTTCTGCTAAGTACTGAGTGATTTGAGTTGTTTTTCCTGAACCAGTTTCACCAATAACAATTAGAATTTGATTATCAGTTACAGCCTAAAGAAGGAAATAAATATAATATATATTTTTACAATTTTATTAATTATGAATTATAAACATTATTGAAAAAGAACCCCTATAAGAAACAATATTATAATAATATAATTTATTTTGCAAAATTAGTACACATACTATAAACAAAACAATATGCAACATTCAACACTCTGTAAGCAAAGCTTGTAATGGGAGTGTTGAATTCATTAGCCTTTAGTAATAATATTAAGAATAAAATTATTTACACAAATATGACTAAAAATGATCTGATTTAAAAAAAAAAAAAAACTCAATAAATAAAGTAATTACTTTAATGAGCTCATCCTTGAGTTTGTAAATTGGTAAACTTTGTCTCTGTTCCAATAGAGTTAAATTGGTTTTCATTCCAAATGAACTTTTTTTACCACCAATAACATGTTTTTTCCATTCTGGTACATCTTGTGTAGTTAAACCAATTCCTCGCATGTTTGAAGCCAATTGCCGGCCCTCATCTATAATTTGTTATATATTTGAATACAAATTAATTTAAACAAATACAAATAAATATCACTTACTATCTGGTAGAGGGTCAATCCAATTTTTAGTAACATTTTTTGGCACAGAGTCCATTTCTTGTTCACGCTGTAACATTTTAACTTCTCGTCGTTCCTTTGACAATGCACTTTGCATCATGGCTGCTTGAGCAAGAGATCCATCTGGATTTTTAACAATACGAACCTATATAAAAATACATATTAATATTTTAATATTAGCCTATTCATATTATTATTGTTATACTATACTATTTATAAACATATTACTTTTGTTTATTGAAATAAATAATACTAATTTTAAGTGTTAAAAAAGTTTTGTTTACACTTTAATTACTTACAGGACTAAGATCATGAAGATTTCTACCATGACCATGTAAAAACGGAGGTTCATCTTCAACAATTTCAATTTCAATATCTTGTTCTTCTTCAGTATTATCCTTGGGTAAGATACCAGTTTCTTCATCAAAATCAGGAAGTTCACTTTTATCAATACAATTAGCTGACAACATCTAAAGGTAATAATAGAATTAGAAATCAAAATATAAAGTGATTTTATATGTATGTATACTTGTTTTATTTCCCAACGCTCTGGAGATGATATTTTATTCATTCGTTTTAAATTTGTCATTTCATCTGCATCAGCAATTGTTTGTAGTTCTAATAAGGAAGTAGGTCTATCAGGGTTACGACCACCTGTCATATCATCCTCCTCACTAAAATAATAGATTTGGTTTATAAAAGTTATTTTACACAATATATTTTTTCGTTTACTCTAAATCACTAGGACGGATCATTGGGTTTAAGTCTTCACCGGTTTCTTGATCAACATCTTTCATGGATAAAGATATTTTTTGGTTATTACCTATTGATAAAACTTTTACCTGCAAGTATAAAATAATAATAAATACATAATACATTTGTTAACTCACTAGATTAAAACACTAAAGTTTGTGGTAAGACATAAAAAAAACTTACCATAACTTTTTCACCTCTTGAAACAACATCAGCTACAGAAGTCACTCTTCCTTTTTGTCGTAATTGTGATATATGCACAAGTCCCTGAGATTGTCGAAATTGATCCAACTGTACAAAACACCCAAAATCTACAATATTCAATACTTTTCCAGCATACACATTTCCTATTTCAGGAAATTTGCTCTTGGGTACAATTCTACTCAAAAAATCAGTAAAATATTAATTAGTTAATTTTAAATACATATTATATATTTAAAAAATTAATATATCATACAAATTGTGATTAAAATCTATGCAAATACATACTCTTTATTGTACTTTTCTTTCCTTGATTCATCTATGCTTCTACTTCTTCTAGAACGATAGTCATGTCTATCACGGTTTCTGTTACGATCATTACTCCGATCCCTTCTTCTTTCTCTACTTCTATTTCTGTAACGATCTCGACTTCTATCACGATATGACTTATCATTATGATGTCTATCCCGACTCTTATCTTTATATCTATCATGACTTTTATTTCTACGATTTCTTTCTCGACTTCTACTTCTATTTTTAGAATTGTGTCTTCTATGATGTCTATCACGACTTTTAGATCGACTTCTGGATACATGTTTTGAACTTGAAGTTTTTAAATCATTGGTTTTATATTTAACATCACTATAAATATTTTTTTTACATTAATAATTATAATTATAATTTTTTTTTAAAATAATAATATATATCATACTTGGTCATATTATTTGGAGCAAAAGCTTCCAATTCAGCCATAACATCATCGATAGGATCATTTACTTCACTAACAATTGTTTCATTAGGAATAGCTAAACCAGGAAATTTACATGCTAGTGTATCATTTGTTTCAGTTTTATTTGATTTTGTCTCAGATTGTTTAGATGTTTTCGGTTGCATGTGTTGAATGATACGCAATAAATTGGCAATAAATGAATCCTTGAAAAAATGTAAATAACAAAACAATTTAGAAAGTTATACCTATAAAATAATAATTATAGAAATACTAGAAAAAAAACTAACTGAAAATTCTGCACCATTTTGCAAGAGTGCTTTCCTAAATGTTTCTAATGTGTCGTTTTTGTAAGCTAAATCAATGATGAACTCGGCTGATAAACAATAAATAACACAAATTAATTTAACATCAATAATAATATTAAGTAGGTGTATGATAATTTTGTTTAAAACATTTAGTACCTAAATCTTTGTCGTTGAGTCCCAAATGATTTTCTAATTCAGTACATATTTTGGAAACTAATGACAAATGTTCTAATTTTGGTAATTCATCCATTGTGTTGTAAGGGATATTAAAACAGATTTTGTCACATTAAAGTTACATCGAATGAAGAAGTATTAAGAAAATACATGTTTAGTGTTTACTTGCAAATTGCAATGCTTGAATGTTATTACTGATTATTGTTACTATCAATTATCATTTTTGATAACAATAACGATATGACTTAGGTACGCCAACTTGATAATATATTTTAATATTGATTCTGTTAGGTTGTCGTCTTGCTTATCACTGAAACGAGAGACTTAATACAATTTTTTGTCAATTACCTATACATAAAATATTTTAATTTTCGAATAAACGAGTCAATGTTATCTATTTGTAGTTTAAGTTGTGTTGTATTTGTGTAAAATGTAAATAATCCTACCAGTGTCAATATTTTTACTTTAATTGCAGCAGCCAATTAGCAGAGCTAGACAAATTAAAAAAGAAAAAAGAAATGATTATCAGTGAAGATAATACATCCATTGGAATTCATCTATAAACTTTATGTGAGTTAAGTTTTGACTAAAATTATTTAGCTTCGAATTTTAAAAACTGAATAAATTATAAAACGACAAATAGGATTGTGCTTGTAAAATTGATTTTTTTCATATAATTGTTTTAATATTAGTTTATTGTTGCATTTAACAAATATTTTCATTTGTCATTTTGGTTAATATTTCTTTAAGAAAAAAGTAAACTGAATACATGTAGGTAGTTAGTTTTTGAAAATAACTTGTAGATAAACATGACACTAAATTTACTCATTAAGTACCCAATTTTAATAGTTTTTGTTTATGTTCTAAATAATAATGATCTATAGATATTTATTATTTAAATACTACATTTGTTCATGTATTAATATTGGGAACCTAACAAAAAGCAAGGTACACATTTTTATCTAATAAAGCCATATACATTATGTTTAATATTATATAGGTATAAGTTTGGTTAAGTCCACCACAACTGTTTGTTTATCAGTATTGAACTGTAGAAATGATAACCTGGTCAAAAATTGTATACCTATACAGTTTCATTTATGTACCAATCTTGAATTTGTATTTGCTTAATAATAAAGATTTTCAAATAGGGTAGTTATCTATACAAATGCATACATTTTTTGATTAATAAATGCATAGACTTATAATATTGCATTTGAATAATGGACCAATTATTTACCTTGTTTATTACAAATAAATTGTAAAATCATAGTTTTTAAATACTGTATAGGTACATATTTATTTATGTTTAAATACATATATTGAGATACATAAATCTGCTACAATAACAATGATTCAGTATTTATCTACATCTTATGTTATAGTAGGTATATCATAGAGATAACCTTGACCTACATAAATAATACATTAGTAATGATCATTTCATTTTCATTTGTTATGAACTACCTATATACAAAAGTGAACTCGTTGTTTACATGATTTTGATTATTAAATTGAATATCTGAAATTGTAAATTTAAATTGTTTATTATGTTCAAAAAAATTAATTTAATACAAATTTATTAGGTATATATCTACTTACTTATTAATTTCCCTAAAATTACTATTTTATTACTATACATTTAGGTATACTTACTCTTAGTATGGCATTCAATGTGATTGACACTTCACCTTGATAGATGTAAACATTTAAAATTTACAGTACCTGTAACACCTTTTCCAACAAGAATACAAAATAATGAATCTATCTACGCATACAATTTTAGTGAGTTTTAAATGTTCTCATTTTGACTTTTTTGTACTGTATTATAGTTCTTGTAATAGGCAGATAGTTAAAGATTTTATTTTGGTTACCTAACATTATTTGGGTAATAAAAATAATACACTCTTCCATGGTTATTGCCCTATAGGGTTAATCATTAATTTTACAGATAAGTAGTAGAACACAGGTCTTAGATTAAATTATAATTTTAAATCTATAGTTCAATAAAAATAAAAAGTGAGAGAAGATTTAGGTATAATACTTGTTGAAATTTTAAAATTGTGCGTTTGAGCTTCACTTAGAGTCTGTTTTTGTTTTTAAATGAGACCTGCATTTAAATATGAAATAATAGTAAGTACTAAGTACACCAGCATTTTGCACTGAGGTCTTAATTTTCTAAAATTGGATTTTGTTTTGTTCCTATTTGAGTTTATAATTGGTTTTATAATTTGTGGATGTCAATCAGTTGGAAGCTGGTTGGAGATTCTGTTGGGATATTAAAACAATTCATAAATATGGTTGATTTTGTGTTACACCATTAGAGATTACTGTTGGATTTTCTTCCTTGTTTCAAATGTCAAGTATTGTAAATAAAATAATTGCGCAATTATTTACTTATTCTTGTTGTTCAGAACCACGGATTGTGCATAATATTCTCAATTTATAACGTTTATATTTACACTTGGATTATACCGCTGGATGCATGCATAATAAAAAAATTAAAAAAAAAAATTAAAATAAAATACACAATATTGAATTATTTAGCGGCTTAATATTATTGTTAAATTGTTCTGTACACAATATGTTGAACCCCGAAGCTATACTTAATACTATTGCGATTACGGTGTAAATGCTGGACGTGTTTTTACAACCGATTGCCGTGCACGTTTTAAAACTGCGATCGCTCAGCTCGCGTGCGTTTAATATTCGTACTTTAATACACGTTGTTTTTTTTATTTTTATAAAATTCAAACAGTTTTGGATATAGCGGCGTGCCCGGGGTAAACTCTGCGGAATACTCGACCGTGCAAGTTGTCCAACTTTCTTTGGGAAAATTGTGTTGTTTATTGGTTTACAAAGGACACGTTTTGTGCGATAAAAAAAAAAAAAATAAAAAACCGGCGTGGAAATTGGTTCGACTCTTGCGAACTGCGGCGGCTCATCGCGGGCGTTATTTTTTTTTCTTAAGCGCACCGCCATCGTTATCGTTCGCGTTTGGCCGCAAACATCCCGCGGTAAAACGCGTGTGCGCATGTACTCGCGTACCTACTACAGTTGTCGACCGTTTTTTTTTTTTTCTTTAAATTTCATTTTATTTTTTTTCTGCTTTACTCTCGTCAGCCAGCGAAACTCTTCGGACTATAAATAGCCCCACCACCGGACCCATACAGTCCCGCCCCCGCCGCCTTCGCCCGTCTCACCGCCGCCTTAGAGCGGCTTAGAGCTTTTTCGTGTCATACGAAAACAAATGACTCATTTCGCGTTTGGCGTTGGCACACGGTTTATGGCCTTATTTCATTTTTTTCCCCTTCATACATTATTATTATTTGGCTTAGCTGGAACGCAAACCGTACGCGCGTGCCCGCAATATCAGTACTTATACACGCGCGATGTACGTACGCAAAGTACTATAACACCAGGCGCATTAAAATACTCGTACGGGTTGTGTATTATAATATGCTAAATTATTTTTCGTTATTGTCGCGTGTATTTTTGCGGCGCGTGAAGGATTGAAATCCGAGAATTACCGCACACGCGCTCTGCTTCTCCTTTATCCTCTCCCCCATCCCCTTTGACACGCCCTAATAACGGCCTGCGACCGGGATTCTTGTCTTCTCCTCGGACGTCAATTATTAGCGAACTCGTGAAAATGTACATTCTATACGGGGTTTTCAGCGGTTAAAACCAAGGGTCGAAAATCTGGCGGAAACGTAATTTTGTATACATTGTGTTTTAACCAAAGCTAGGCAAGTCAACCGGTTTTTTTTTTCAATTGGTTTTAGCCAAGTTATTATCTTGAACACGGGTGTATTGTTTATGGGTGTCGAGTAGTGGAGTTGTAAGGGAGGATGTATAACAAAGTAAAACATACAGCTAACGAAAAACCATTCTCAACAGAGTATTCATCAGTCGTTTGTTGCCGAGAAATCAACAAAAATTACAGATACTAAAAATTAACCGTTTTCCCCGATTTATTAACAAAACTCCAAAGACAATCAACAAATGACCTCAACGCACCAAATAGATTAAAAATGCTATAAGAAACATTCTTATAAAGTGTTTGTTTGGAGTACGATTTGCGGTAGACAATTTGTTTACAGACACACACGCAAAACACATCGCGCAAAACTAAGACTTGTATATCTTTGACAGCGTTTAACCAAACAAGCCTTTTTAACATATTTATACTCTATTGTTTGGAACCGTTGAAATAGTTCATAGGAATCTCAGTGACCTTTACCATTATGTGTCACTTTAACGCCTTGATGGTGACTATTGTGGATTTCAGAGTGATATTATCTTGTATGACACTAATAGCCGGTTTTCCTGGCCGTCGCTTACGATTTTCTCTTAGTACTCATTACCATATTATTTTACATTCGTATGTAACTTTATATTTTATTAGGAGTAGATGTCCGTCGGATCATTACGTGTTATACACACGCGTTGAGTACTGAATAGTCGGTTTTCCGTGTCGGAAACGGTTAATAGGTACGAAGTACACACCCCGTTACACATAAACGCGATCGAAACGTAATCGTATTAATGGCCGAAAATACGGCAACGTCGCAAAGTCATTTTGTACGGAATCGTGCGAACGAACGAAAAGTGGCAGACAGGGTATTGTTCAGTGAATATCCGCCGCGCGTCCGCTACCCGTTCCCTCGAAAAAGCCCTACGAAAAGACGGACCGAATCTTCCAATTTCGGGCTTTTCTCGGTTATCTCTTTCCTTTCCCCCCCCCTCCTCCGCGCACCGGCGGACGATACTAGCGGGTGTCCGGTTGGACGCAGAAAACTCTCAAAGGAAAAAAAAAGCGTTCGGCAAATCGCGAATGATCGGGACGAATTTCGCCAACGACTAAATGATGTAAAAAAAAAAAAACCAACAAAACCAAATTGTTCGGTGATTTTTGCGTTTTTCCGCGGCATCGCGAACTCCACGGGAGCTGCTGCGCTATTATAATTTATGTTGTTGTACATTCGGTCCGGCCGTCACGTGGGCGGAAAAAAAAACCGACGGCTTTTACTCGCGGTTCCCGTAATTATAATACCCGGCGAAAAACGAACGGGCCGGCGCAAATATTTTTAGACCGGAGAAAACGGCGTTCTTCTCGCGGGACACTGCACTGTGGTAATAATAATAATAATAATAATTATTATTATTATTATTGCGTTTCGAGTCGAGTATTTGCGCTAAACGACACTAGCGTATAGGTTTTATTATCATTATTATTGTGCACAACGGCGGTCGTAAACTCCTCGTGTAACGTTGTTCGTTGTCAC